GAGTGACAGCCGTTCGGTTCCTCGTTACTCTTCTCCTCGGGTCCGTGATTACGGTCAGTTTACCCTGACTATCGTTAGTTCGCAGGAATGCGATTTAAAAAGCACTCCTCCTCCTCCTTGAGAGTCATGCCGACGACTCGGGATGATGCTGGGGTTTTTTTCCCAGTCCATTCCATGAGCCATGCGTGAAAAGAAGAGCTTTAAAAATGCCCGTTTTATTTCTCGACGGATCCAGACAAACATGAATGAGATGTGAAACCCGGGGTGGAATTAATCTGAACATCGACAAAGAATAAATTCGTGAAAAGTTCGTAATCTATTGGAAAGCTGAGAGAAGATCCAGAGAGTTTTATTTTTATTGGTGAGTAAAAAGCAGCTGGATATCAATATATACAGTTGAACTTCTAGGGACCAGGAAACAAATTCGACTTCGAGAGGTTTTGAGTAAAGGAAACAAACATTTTTGCTGCGAGGAAAAGGAAAAAAAAAATTGTGGGAAATTGTAGACCATGATATTCTGAGCCTAAACTTATTTTGTAATGGGTTTACAGCTTGCTGAACTTGGAGGTAGGGGTTCATTTGTTAAATTAGTCTTTCACTAAAATTCAAGCTGCATAAAAATAACTTGTTTTACTCATTTTCTTTTTAATATTTCAAGGAAATAATAACCAAAAGCTTCAGAAAATTCGACTTACAGAGGTTTGAGAGAACAAATACTTCCGAAGGGGTTCATTTGTTAAATTATTCTTTCACTAAAATTGAAGCGGCATAAAAAAAACTTGTTTTATTTATTTTCTTGTTCATATTTCAAGGAAATATTAACCAAAAGGCTTCAGAAAATTCGACTTACAGAGGTTTGAGAGAACAAATACTTCCGAAGGGAGTTAAATTGTTAAATTATTCTTTCACTAAAATTCAAGCTGCATAAAAAAACTTGTTTTATTCATTTTCTTTTTAATATTTCAAGGAAATAATAACCAAAAGGCCTCAGAAAATTCGACTTACAGAGGTTTGAGAGAACAAATACTGTACTTTCAAGTTAGGGAGGTTTTCAATGCATTGTTCTTAAGGAAATCCAGACAGGGACTTGAAAAAAAATTCGAGTTAGGGAGGTATTCGACTTAGCGAGGTTTAACTGCATAGGGAAGGATGAAACTGCGTAAAAAGCAGTGAAACAGGGCCGATTTTTGCAAGAAAATTTGAAAATGTATTTCTTGATCGGTGCGAGATGTCACGCTGAAAAATAGTTGCGATCAAAGTTGAGGCAGTTATTTTTTCAAATTTTCGATTTTATGGTTTCAGTTGCATTTTTATATCTAGCACTCATCGGCTAGTGTTGTATTGAGATATAAAAAGCAGCTCGATATCAACAATGAAAGATAAAACATTGTAAAAGGCCGGGAAATCGGACGGATTTCCAAAACAATAAACTTGAAAGGTCCGAGATATCGCGCTGAAAAGTAAATGAAAATCATTTCATTTTTCTTATGACCAATCTCATGATTTCGGTTCAAATTTTTTATACCGAGCCCGGAGAAATTTATCAATAGGGAACGATAAAACATAAAACAGCGTAAAAAGCCGTGAAAATCGAACCAATTTCTGAAACGATAAACTTGAAAGGTTCGGAATATCACGCTGAAAATAGATCAATAAGTCATGTCATTTTTCGAATGATCCATCTCATGGTTTCAGTTCCAGTTTTTATACCTGACCTGGGGGAACTAAGAGCGTTAAAAGCAGTGAAATGGGACCGATTTTCAAGAAATTATGCAGGTATCTCTTGAACGGTGAGAGATAAAACGCTGAAAAATTGAAGTTAGAGCAGTCTCGTATGAAGTTCAATTTTATGTTTTCAGTTGAATTTTTATGCCCATAGCACCCGATGAAATTTGTATTGACGTGTATAAAAGCAGCTAGATTTCAAAAAGAATAAAGCTGTGAAATTGGACCGATTTGAAAGTTTTTTTGAAAGGTTCGCGACGTCTCGCTGAAAAATATTTAATTACAGCTAGAATGACTTTCAATTTTATGGTTCCACTTTGATTTTTATACCTAGCACACGAGAAACTTTTATTGATGCGTGAAAAGCAGCTTAATTCAAGCACGGAAAAATAAAACAGTGTGTAAAAACAGTGAAATGGGGCCGAGTTAAAAAAAATATTATACTCTCGAACCTTTCGGGATATCGCAAAGTAATTTCAAATATTTTTCGAATGATGACCAATTTTAAGGTTTTATTCGAAATTTTAAAAGTAGTACGGGCTTTTGAAAATAATAAACCCGGAAGGAAAGTAGCCTTATGATTTCTTTCGAATATTGAAAAGGTGTGTGTAATGGTTTTCCTGATTTCCTCGGTTCAACATTTTCATATTCTTTCGCCAGCTTTATTTCGTTCGTTTGAGAAGAAAAAAAAACAATTCCGGTGATGATATAAAGGCTTGTTTATCGACCCAGTTCCACGCGTCTTTAGTGGAATTAACCACAAAATGTTCTTTGCTTTGACCAGGTGCTTAATACAAAGAAACGTAATTAATTCTTCAATTATGAACGACGAGGATTCATAGAACCCGGAACTTCAACCTTTCAAGTTGATTGTATCAATTACCCTAACTTCAGCTGACATTATTTCTACGACATTTACAACTTTACTTGAGTTGCGCACGTTCAAAATTGTGTGAACTCATCATAATTCCATGAAAATAGAAATTGTCTTCCAATTTAAACTGATTCAATCAATATATTTCAACACAATATGCCCGGACATTTAGGGAATTGAATACTGATACATTTGTATCTGTACATAGAAATGTTGGCATTCTCTGTAAAAATAATATTCAAGTGGAAAAGAGAGAAGGAAGTCCCTCTATGCTGCAGGTAATTTTTAAAATGAGCTAAATGGATGGTAAATTGGTGAGAGAAATGCCCAAGAACTTTTCTTACATCAATTTTAGCGTTGGAAATATCTGTTTCTTGTAATTTTGCCTGAAACTTATTTGCGATTTTCTCACAAAATGTCCCGTTGTTGATTCAATGACCTCATGTTGGACCTTTTTTTTTATTAATTTTTCATATGGGCAAATAAGTGTCCCTGTGTGGAATTGTCTGCATGTTGAGGTGTCCACATGTGGGGGCCTCACTGTATTTATATGAGGGTTCTAACAAAAGTTCTCGGAGTAGCAATGAAAATGGCCTACAGTTGAGCTGAAAAAAATTATTCTTTAGGGAAAACATATTCTTTGGTACACAAAAAATATCAGATCTGTTTGACAAATTTGTTGGAATTTTTTTCATAATTCACCCTGGCAGAGTTTTGCTCTCCACTCAAAAGATGTGGCGCCCTTTTTTTGTTGTCGCCCAGCTTTCCCCTCAGAATTTTTTCAATCAACTTGGCATTCTTTCTAAGGGTTGCCTCCAGGTCATCCCAGGCGATTCCACCATTTTCATCAACAGCCGCCACTTTGGCGGCTGTCGTATATGTTGGAGACTCGCATGACTTTTTGAGTCACCCTTCGCAAAGAAAAAACAAACAAAAAAAGACACGGAATAAAAAGAAGAAGAAATGTATTCGTTATTAAAAATTAAATAAAAAAAGACCCGCTTGGCACGGATGAGATGCTACGCCGAAGCGTGAGGACGCTGTAATTGATGGGCGCGCGGATAGATGCCTTCCTCGCATCCATCTTCCTCCGATCGACACTCAGGAATGCGCAAATTGCGTGCGTCGAGACTATCGAGGGGCCTCTCCTACTTAATCGTCCGCGGCCTCATGATGGAATCCCCCATCTTTGTCCGCAATATTCATTTTTTTTATCATTATTATTATTACTGTACCATATATACTGTACTCCTCATCGTGCCGGTCTTCCTTGCTGCTGTCGACGTATACCGTATATACGCTTTCAAGTACGGATGCGGTACACGCGAAACAAGAACGTGAAACCCGAAGGGGCCTGACTGGAGCCCCCCGCACAATATTCCCGCCAATTGGCGAGATCAGGCTTTGCTATGACATCATTCATGTAGTACAATTGAACCTCGATAACTCGAACCTCCTTGAATCGAATTTGTTTCAAGTCCACTTTTCTGAATCCCTTCAGAAACAATGCATCAAAAACCTCCCTAACTCTACAGCTTTTCGTCTGAAACCTCAGTGAACATTTGAAACCTTTTTGGCTATTATTATTTCATTGATACAGGAAAGAGAAAAAAGTGATAAATTTGTAACTTGATGCACGTTGAATTGAATGAATACTTGCCTCAAAGTTCAGCATAACGCATTTATGAAGCAATTCAAGGCCCAGAATATCACAAATTGCAATTTCCAGTAAATCATCTTTCTTTCTCCAGCAAAAAGTGCTTGTTTCCCCAACTCAAATTTCTTGACTGGTCCCTTGAATTTCCACTCGGAGAGGTTTGACTGTAATAAAAAAAGTAAGTCGCAGGCAAATGATGCTTAATTTCTAGGGCCAAGCAAAAGAACTAATAGAGGCTCACGTCTTATACATTTTTATATCGATCACGGGTACTGCATTGTAGTCACTCAAGTTTCATATCCAACCACGCTAGACATTTATTTTTTTCACCAGCCTCTTGAAAAAAAGGAACCCCTATTTATTTATATGATGCATCCACCTCGGGTTGAACCGGGGACTGAGTTTTCCAGTTCATTTTTTTTTTCCTCTCTCCTTCATCGCTGTTACGCGGCGCGTTAATTCCCGGCTTGCTGGGCATATTTGCTTGACGCGATCTTGGCCCGGGGCGAGTTTCCCACGGGGCCTTTGAATCGATCGCCAGGGCGGGGCTCGTGATCCCCATCAAAAAATAAAATATGGTAATAATAATACGGAAGGAAAAAAATACACACGCTGGTTCGTCTCGGTGGTTTTTTTTTTCCTTTCTTTTCTTACCTCGACTCGCATTGAAGTTGACCTCATAATGCCGGTTCTCTCGTGCGGGGAAGAGTATTTGCGGAGAGCAAGAGAGAGATTTTCTCACGCATGAGCTGTCAGCTTTTGAAGACCGGGCTGCAACTGAAGCAGCCACTCCTCGTGGCGTGAGAGGAATACGGGTATTAGTGAGGAATCTTGCTCTCGACTTGTGGGGAAACGTGGGGTTGTGGAAGGGGAACCAATTTTATTTTATTTTTATAGAGCGAAACCATTGCTGGTATATGTTTGGTCCTCTTGGGACACTTGCTAAATAATATGACTGCGAGAAGGTGCAATTTTGGGAAATATTTCTTCATTTGTCCCGAAGGACTTCGGAGAAAGTTTTGAGAAAAATAAATGAAAGCCCGGATTTTTTGGCATTGATTAGATCATATGCGCGGAAGTGTGAGCAACTGATGGATGCGCGGATTACAAATACTTTACAGTAGAACCTACGAAGTCAAATACCTCCCCATGTCGAATTTTTCCAAGTCTCTGTTCGAATTTTCATAAAAGCAATGCATTAAAAACTTCCCTAACTCAGAAGCTTTCCCTCTCAAACTAATTCATTAACCGTATGTAAGTGGATGGTCTTCAAGGACCTCGTTACAGTCAAATCTCATCACAACAAATACCATCGCGACATATTTTTGATCATAACAAACTTTTTCTCAATTCCTGGCTGACAGTCCACTGAGAACAATTATGCATGTTAAAACTAGTTTATCTCGAACTTGCAGTACAGTATAACACACTTTTTAAAGGAGTGTTTAATAGTTTTACCTCGAGAAATCTAAAATTTCTGATCACATAGTCCGCTTGTGAATGAATCTATCAATTCCCTGAATGAAAAAGACGTCTATAAAGAAGAATGAAAACCAACATTGAAATTATGTATCTCATGTTTTACCCTTTTTTTTCTCTTCATTTTCCAGGCAAAAAAAGAGGCGAAACCGACGCACAGAGACCCAATCTTGGATCGCATCCCGAGAAACGTGCGCGATGAGAACTGCGCCAGTTGGTCCGGCAAGGGGGCTTACAACCAGTTCCAAACGGCGGCGATAGTCAACAGCTTGCCAGACGGCGGCCCTCGGTCCATCGGCGCCTCGTCAGCCAAGTCCGTGCCAGAGTTCCTCAACTCCACTTCCGACAGCGTCGACGTCGACCGGTCCCACGACAATCTCAGCGACTTGAACAGCAGCAGCGCCGAGTCGGCCCTGTTGCCCAGCTTCTCGTCACCCGCCGCCGACGACCCGACAGTGGACGAATTGCGCGACTTGGGCAATTCCGACAACACGTGTCAAGCGGGGAATGGAGCCAAGCCGACACCAGTGAAGAAGTTGAATGGGATTGCAGGAAGTAATGCCTTGTCGCGGTCGGACGAGGTGCTGGTGTGCCAGGCGGATTGTCAGGGACGATTTGGCGGCTATGTGAACCAGCACGGGATGAGGAATGGCGGCGGTGGTGGTGGCGGAGGTGTTGGGTGCAATGGCTCAGTCTTTGCGTTGGACGCTGACGCCCGTTGTTCGCCGCCGTCGTCGAATGACTTGAACGAAACTGCGAGTTCTACTGCAACCTCCAAGTCGGGTTTGCGGGTCCGGATCCCGCAGGCTGATGCTTGCTTTGACAACCACTGGTGAGTTCCACATCCCTCCTCATCGAACGAAAATCGAGAGGAGAAAAAAAAACAGAGTTTGAGCAAAGTTTTATACACAGTACAGCGCTTGAACAGTAAAATCTCGTTGTTACAAATTAATGGTATAAAACAACCTTTTTTCATGTCCAATACAGTATCCACAATGGTCTTTTAATTTGGTTTAAACATTCTGTAACTAAGCTTGTCACATTTCCCAAAGCATTTCGTTGTAACGAGATTCTACTGTATTGGAATAAAGGGACTTGACGGTAAACCAAAATAGGAAATTTAACAAAATAAAATTTCTTCCGAGGGTTTCAGTCCTGTATTTTGTAGTACAGTAATTGCCATCATTACTCGATCATGAATATAACGAAGTTCGTCTCTCCACTTTTTGGCAATTCAACTGGCAATCCCCTCCTGCTTATAGTGACTGAGTGCGAGTCGAATTCCAGTCATTTATTTGAAATGAACTCGATTGGATACATTTTCAAAAAATAATAAATAAATATAATTATCGTGACACTATTTTTTGAGCAGTTCGATTATGCATGATATACGGTAATTTGATGAAATGTTTGGTCTGGTCTCTTCGAATGATAAAGAAATTGCAAGTCTTTCCTACATCACACGCTGTACGTGCATTTAAGATTTAATACAACGCTTCGGGAAAGAAGATGGGAATAAATGTATGTAAATGGATACAGCAGACAAATGAATATTATTTTTATGTTTGCAGCTGTCCGTCTGATAAATGCGCCAGAGCTTCGTCGAGGGCCAGTTGCGGGAGTTCGAGCACAGGCAGCAGCATTGCCGGTGTTGCAGGAAGCAATTGCTGCTCGCCACACAGCTTCTGTGGCTGGGGAACACCTTCTCCGCCTGAAAGGGCTGAATCTGTTTTGCCGTGTGAAGAAGAGAACCTCCGTGGGGCACCGTGGTTTCAAGCTGGAATCCCCAGGTTGGTACAAAATCACAAATACCTTTATTGAATACGGAATCAGGGATTCTGAGGTTATTCACCATTTGAAAATTTGATTAAAAGTATAACTTTCACTTAATATCTTTCAATCACCGAGCAATAATTATATTGCTTTTGGACTATTTTTGAATTGATAAAAAATCCGCCAGCAAGCATTTTAATATTATTGAAACTTCCTGGTGAGTAATATATGGGTTCCAGGAGATTATACCGCAGCATAACCCCGTTAAGATGCCCCCCTTGGCAACCACCAATTAATTTTGAAAAGCAAATCTTCCCTAAGGATAAAAGCATTGGAAACCACGTTAAAACGCTATCCGCCAAAATTCTCGTCTACTTAAATATGCTCCTGTCAATCAATTTTGTCTTATAGCTCGCCAACAAAAGGTTTCCAATTATAAAAATATCATGAAGACAAAGACGAAATAATTTACTTCATTTTGATTTCCTATTTTCGTATTATTTCAGCGCTTATACGATAAACTACCAATTCCCTTTAAATTGCCACACATCTCACCAGCATAGAAATTTAATTCAGTTGTTTTACATATGTATCTTCTTTCATGTTTTTAGAGAAATCGCTTTGGAGGTGCTGAATGAGGAGCCGGAAGGCGCGTTTCTAGTCCGTGAAAGCACAACCAAGAAAGGTTGCTTCGCTTTGTCACTCCGGGTTCCTAAGCACTTCCAGCCAAGTGGCATTGCGCACTACCTGATCATGCGAACTCAACGCGGTTACAAAATTAAGGTACTTATCTATGATAAGAAAATGACTTTACTTAGAGATCTTATGCCTTGAATACATGTACGAGTAAAAAAAAATCAATAATTTTTCTCCATAGCGTTCTCCGTATCTAAATTCAAATGCCAAATTCGACTCGAATGATCTTTCCTTTCTGATACGAATGCAAGAAGTTTTTCTATCCTTTTCTCGTACATGCCACCAAATCTAACATCCTAGAAGGAGAAAAGGGCAGATTTGATGATATCTTTCCAATTTGCAGGGTTTCATGAAGGAATTCCCGTGCCTGACATCCCTCATCACACACCATTCAGTCATGCCCGAGTTGCTGCCTTGTCCACTCAGTCTCGCCAGATATAATCCCAGCTTCACCAAGACGGATTCGTCGAAAGACTTCGCCGAAATCGACACCGACCCCGATTACAACACTCTGTCAGACTTCAAGCGAATCGCTCTCGAGGCGGACAATTGATTCGCTTCTCCCACGTCCGACTTTTTTCCCCCCAAATGTGATACCGCAAGATTATTGTTCCGGCTGGAATCCGGTGATATTTTATGCGTATTGTCGGATGATGTGGATGTTATCAAGTGCAGGCGTGAGAATGCGAATCATTCTTTTTCCCTTCCCGTTGCTTCTCTCCCGCCATGTTACTTGAAATTGGTTCAGGAAAAACTCGGTTCTTTTCTTCCGCACGTGCTCAATAAAAGCACAGTAATTTCCTTAGCGTTAAATGTATGCTTCGGGAAATCTTGAGACAGCTCGGCAGCTCATGGTGATATGATGGGAGCGAATCGAGAAGGGGAAAGCTTTCTACTACCATGTTTCGGGATATCCTTAATATTGTTGTAAAAATGAAAAATGATCCTGGTTGATTGATTTGGAATGATGGAATTAAATGAAGGCAGAGAAAGCCATTGAAATGAATAAAATTGTGTTTCATTCAACTAGGACTGCAAAAGAACCATGAAAGTTCCATCAGAATTGGTTCTCTCTGGGATGACATTCTCTCTTAAAAGAACCAAAATTTTCGCTAGTTACTCATGGTCATGGACTCCAGGTACGTTTAGGAGAATAATAAATATGAACATCTTGAAACCTCACTCAAAGAAGTTGTTTAAGGTCCTCAGAGGCGGATCCTTTCGATGTAAAGATCGCGGTCCCCACAAACATTCTCCGAGCAGAAAAGGCGATGGGCGACGTGATGAACGAACGTTTGCAAGAGCTTGAAGAGGAGATCATGAACTGCACCGAATTACTTGACGAGAAGATCAAACGCATGGAGCAGATTCAACGAGATCTTGGTCTCAAGGGATCCTTTGATGACCTAGCAGCTGGGGAAAGACCTCGTTTGAGAAGTGGACGTCACAAATCAAGCGACTCAGGGTTTATGTCTTTGCCACTGGTGGAAGCTGTAACACAAATTGGCTCAGGAATCAGGTGAACGTCTTCAAAGAGTATCAAACATACCTGATCTTCAAATAAACACTGCCAAATATTTCGAATTCCACACTAATTTTCAGTGTTAAAAGTACCAAGATGAAACTGGACCTGATTTTCAAGCCGAGACTTCTCCGTAAATGCTTCGATTACAAGTACAGTGATACTTCGTAAAATAACTTTGAAACTTTGCAATCAAACGAAAGTCAATTGCATGAATAAGCCAGTGTTCATTTGATTTGGCATGGCCAGAGTAAAAAAAAATTGCATTGTGCTTTCATGGATTGTCATAGTAACGCATGCTTCTGGATGTGTCACAAACTTGATCATTTACAAACCCGTTTTCTACTCCTGTTCGAATTTAGTTCTTTTTTCCAGAAATTTCCTTCGAATTCCTCAACTCCATAAACATGCTTACATTTCTAATAGCTGCAGATAGTCCTCATATCTCAATTCAGCTCTTTCGAAAATCCTACAAAGGTGTTCCAAATTTTCTCAACTGAACAACGAATAAAATCTACACGGTTTAAGTTTCTTTAAATACAAAAAGCAAGGTATATTTTGCATTTGAACATTTAATTACATTAGCATCCTGTTGGGGCGAACGAAACAGGAAGTTCAGAATGTCTCGGAAATTGCTGAAAATTTTCGATAAAAAAGTATCTGGCTGACACAACAATGCAACTGAACCAACAAAATAAGGCGAGGTCAAAAATTACCGGACAAAATACTTTAATGAACTTTCACGCGACGTTCAACTCTAAACGAAAGCTTAAAGCCTTCAGGAGTAACCACAACTTGAAAATCAGTCTACTCTGTGGATAAATATAACAGCTTATTACTAAACATAGCAATACTTGATTCTAAACAGTGAGGCAATATTCGGTCACCTTGGCTCCGATTCCCGTTCGCATGTGATCCAAGACGTGGTCATTGGAGGACGAACTGATTCCCGAGCTCGTCTTCTGGAAAACACAGATCTCAAATCCGACGCTGAGGGTTTGACTGATCCGGACACTGGAGTTGATCCTTCGAAAGGGAACCCGAATCTCATGTCGCTCGATGACGAGTCCTAAACAGGAACCCTGCATGAAAACGTGAGAGGCTACCAAAAAAAATTAAGAAAAGGTGAACTCGGAAAATCCCGCCGCAACGCATTTACTAATTCCAGAAAATTAAAAAAATACAACCCTGATTTTCGATCGAGTGCAAATATTATTCCGAACACCGGCGCACACAAAAAAAAAAACGCAAAAAAGTAGCTACCCTGGCCCTCGTTGCTCGCGTGGTTCAAAATACTCGTAGAATACGTGATTCCAATTGAAAACCTTCGGAAGGAAATGAAAGACAACTGCGCCGTTTGTCGCACTGCAAACCTAAGAAACAGAATAGATTCAGAAACGTTCTTCAAAATTGGTTCCCGTTATTGCACAGTCCGGTTCGCAAACAGCAACAGCAGAAATCAATCGGTTGAATCACAGACGAGATCACCCACATCAAATCACCGTCGTGCTACATACGCAAAACTACGAAAATAATCCCTTCGTGATCAGCATCTCAGAAAACAAAAGCGTGAGTCCGCTTCCCGCTCCCTAAAAAACGTCGCATTCACGCTGCAATCGAAACGCCTTTAAGCGTCGTCCTGTTCATCCGAATTTGTGCCAGATTTTAGCGTCAACAGCAGCTCGTCATGAATACCTTTTGCGAGATTTATTAGTCTCGTCACCTGACGAAAGAAAGAGGCGAAGAAATGCATTTTATCTGTTTACACAGTATATTCCTGGAATTCTGATTTATCGTTACACATTACGCGTCGTTAAACTTATAATCGTTGATTATAAGTTCAGTAAGAATATCCATGCATGGATTTCAAATTTCATCCAGTGTCATTACCTCGCTGGTTAGATGGTGTTTGGCATAATGCTAACGGATTCAGATTTTATCACAGTACTCACTCCATTAGTACCATTTCAATTTTTGATGAAACAATTCGAAAAGAAGAAAAAGGGAGTTGAAAGTTTATCCCATTGGAAAAAAAATCATTACTTTTGATAATCCAAGAAATTTCCGAATCAGAAAATCCTGTTTCATTGAAAAATGCTCCTTAATGTCGGCAAGTGACGCTGCACGTGTAAGTTGCTTGCATTGCCAATTAGTCAGCTAGGAATTACACAATTCACTGCTACATTATAAAGACATTTCCAAAGAATGAACTACTGTACTGCTTGCTTCACTTCTTATTGAACCATGCTAGCGGGTACCCAAAAACAACATCAAGACACTGACCATATTTTTGGAAAACTCACACTCTTAATGAATCGACAATCGAAATCTGAATTCAATGGAAATTCCGACATCAAAAAATTTGCGGTCGTTTTGAAACGAACACTCACTTTCTTAGCGATAACTTCCGTGTCACATTGTACCAACGGACGACGAATTGGAAGATTTTGCGCATCGCCAGAAGAATCCTTGTCAGGCGACTTCATGGCAAGCTTGATGTAGTAAGAATTTACCTTCGCTTCAGCACGATTAACTACTGCTTCCGCATGGTCAATATCACTGAAAAGGAGAAAAGGGAAATCAGAGAACGTAAGACGGATAAGGTACTACAAAAGAATGAGGAGCGATAAGATACAGTTTCTTACAAATGCAGAGGTAAGCCTCGGAAAGTAATATTAATATTAGATTTCCTAGAGTTCGAGGTGAGATACAGTATTTCACATATTAACCAAAGGAAATATATTTTAGGTAAAATTCTCATCCTCAATCACTGAATCAGCCAAAAACTCGCAAAATTTGTGTTGCATCGAGGTCAAGTTTCAGTAAATATTTGTTCACACTGGCAAATTCTGCCACACAAGACAACCACGATTCGCGTAATTCATTCAAAGCGTAACATGTCCATCGTAAGAAGGCATCATGTAACGGTGAACGACGTTCAGAAATCTAATAGCCGAAAAATTAGTCGAACCTCTTTCAAGTAGAACTTTACGGGACCAGCAGTAAAAAAAAACATTCAAGTTCAGGAGGTTTCGAGCTAGGGAAACGATCATTTTTGTCGGGGAAAAGAATGAATAATTTACAGGCAATTGTAATTGGTGATATTCCTGGCCTTAAATTGCTTCTTGAATGGGTTGACAGCATGCTGAAGTTGAAGGCGAGGGGTTTATTTGTCCAACTACTGTAGTCTTTTACTTCCTTTCAACACACATGAAGTTACATTTCTATTGTTTTTTATCTTTCCTGTGTTCTCAAAAAATAGCTAAATGGTCTCTAGAAAATCCGACATACAAAGGTTTGAAGGAAAAAGCCTTCGAGTCAGATTTTTCACGCACAAGGGAATAAAAAAAGAAAATAATTTTTTTATGATTTAAAAATAATTGAAAAATGTTGACACATCCTGGGAACACGACGTTCATTGCAATGTTCATCCTCGTGATGACATCGAACAAAACTTTCACCTCCTAAAATTGTAAAATAAACCAAATTACCTCATATTGAACTCTACAACAACGGAATACGTCGACTCGGGTCCAGACCGCGTCAAAACCCGCAACAATTGACTCGAAATCAACGCAGCCATGTCCTCTGCGCCTTCCCGCAGTCTCTCGAAAGCAATAAACATTTCCGAAGTGTCCTTCTTGTTGAGAAACAACAGAAACTCCTGGCCGAGGGCCTGTGTGCTAGAGTAGCGAGGCAGAGCAGCGTTGGCCCCGCGCAACACTCTCGGGGGTCGCACCCGTGAAGGTAGAAGTCGGCTCTCGCTCCGACTGTGATCCCGCACTGCGTTCGCTGTTTCCGTCGCGAAGTCCAGCACACCCAGCGCGGGTTTCGTCACGGTGCCAACGAAACCCTTTCCGAACCCAGAGACCATTCCGACGACGCCGTCATCTTGGTATCCGTAATAAGTTTGTGAGACAAGGGACCGCACGCCTCCAAAGACCCCGTGTCTCAAACCCTAATAAGGAACACGGAATTCCATCCATTGTAAGCGTCTCAAACTTTTCTCAAAATGTGTCTCTCGTTTAATACCGTTGTACCACACGCATCAGGATTTTCAGCCAATTAAAAAAAAAATATTTGTACCCCCGAGTTTCGAGTAAGATACGCATGCCATTTTAGAAACACAAAAACTGCAATATTCCAAAAATAAGAGCACCCAAACTAGAATTTAGAGTTTTCGACATTTATTGATCCTGAATTCGAATAAATTTCATTCATTTCTATTACACTAAGTTTTTCTGTTGAAATTGGTCAAAAATTTCCCATTAAAATCAAACTTCTAAAGCTTTTTTTGATAATTCCCCTTCTTTGACGCGCACCCCTTTTTACCCTCTCATATTTGGAAAAAAAGGTGCGCGTATTACATCAATAACTTGTAGATACTAAGGAACAAACCGAGCACATTGAATGCATGTGTTGACCGACAAAGTAGTTTTTTTACAGCAACCGCGATGGTAGAAAAAAACAAGCTATAGCACACCTCTAAGCCAGCCCTCAGATGCTCATAAAATGCGGATGAAGGAACAGACGAGAAATCTTCACCCGTTCGCACAGTCAAGGCAAGAGCGGCATCCGAATCATTCGGCGGTGGAGAGGCGTATCTCGCCAACTTTATACGCTTCTGGAATTGTGGCAAACTTTTGATGCGCTGACGTTCGATTTCATGTCGTTCATCCAAAGTGACCATTCCGACTGCATCAGATATTGTTCCTGAATACATGAAATCGTAAATGCGCGTTCGAAGGATTAAAAAATTATTTGAAAGGTTCCCTTCGAAAACTAATATTCACAAATTTCCAAAAAGCACACTCCTCAATCGAACACGAATAGCGCGGAGGACTAATTAAACTGAACACGCAAAGCAAAACTCGGTTTCCTGCAGCAAAATACAGCGTGGACCACGACAAGTTTGACCAGTTTTCAACAGTTGAATTTCCTCAACGGTTTACGATTTCGAAGCTAGCAAGAAAAAAAATTTTCGAAGTTCCATCACCTTTCCTACGATCACCGAGCTCATGGCTCTGCATTGGTTTGACCAACATAGCCATTCAAGTAAAAAAACACAATCAAAACAAGAGATATCATTTTTTCAAATTTGTTTACAGATTCCGTGCATAACAGTACTGTAGCAGAACTCCAGTGGTTTCCAAAAAATTAACCGAATAAAATTTATATTTGAGACGGTAGATCCAAGTTCAGGAGATGCAAATTTGAAAATACATTTTTACTTCTTCAAAATCTACCACGCCCGGAATTATTGAGAAAAATGAACTAGTGTGAGTACCTCAATAAGGCAGCACAAATCTTGACGGAACGACCTAAAATAAAGTTGAACATAGGAGTAAAAGGGGTCTTACCCGTAAACTTGGCCGTTGAGTTCGCAAATCCATGCGTAACATTTTTCACAAGCCCAGCAACGTTTCCGCCCGACAAATCCGACAAGCCTTCCGTCACGTCAGACAAAAATCCGACAGGATTCCCCAAAATGTCCGTCGATCCCACGATTTTTGCCAATTGGCTGAAAAAATCCTGGAACAAAAGAAAAAATAATGATCTGCCGCGAAACTCCGGAAAAATCAACTTATTCCGCAACAAACCTCTGCGTAATGTTTCATAAGACATTGCACAACAAAATTCAACGTTTCGAAGACGTGTGATTTCACAAACGGGTGGAATTCGATGTACGCGTCTTCGAATTGAATCAATGTTAATCCAAGTCGTCGCTTAACTCCCAACAGCGCCGGAGCCATTCTCGTACTTCGATAGACACTCAAGCGGATCTAAATACCAGAAGAATCAAAGCTTTAAAGGAACTAAACAAGGTACGCAATTCAACAGCGATTTAAAACCAACCGCAGAAGGAAATTCAATCGACGATCAAGCCTTAGAATACACGCCGTTTCAAAAAAATGACAATTGACCAACCTGACACAGAGTTATCTTCAGCAAACCCAGGTAATATCGAGTAGCTTCTGCAGAGCCGGAAACGGAGGCCGAGGTATCGCTGTAGCAATCCATTGTATCCTCCCCTGATTCATCTTCAAGCTCTGAATCGGACTTGTTCAAATTGAAGAACAAAATGAACTTGCATAGCTGCTTCTCCTCGATATTCACGATCAGAGGCTTTAACGTCAACATGAAGTGCTGCAAGGAAAATGGTATTTTTTCATCATGAGCGAGGATAGTGTCCATACGATTTTCGGCAGGTGAATCAGAATTTTTTTTTTCGAATACTGTACAAGTTTAAAAATCTTACCTTGAGTATTTTTACTGATGTTGAGCCGAACTGCGCGGAAACTTGGTGAATGTTGAAGTGCAATGCATATGGCAAAGAACGTGCTCCATCTTCTTTGGATGCAGAAATCACACTCAAAATCACTGGAACCTGAGCGTCTATAGATGGATTATCGACCTGAAATTAATGATAAAAATTCAATTTATTTTTATAATTGCTGACACGCATAGAAACTTTTTTCAAGTCACAATACCAAAATTAATGAAATTCTACGGTTTCCACAAACACGGACGAAAAATTCAATGCAAGGTTCAGTTCATTTTAACACCTGACCAATCTGGATTCACACGAAAGTCGGGCAGATGTCACCTGAATCACTGATCTGTACTGTACTTCTAATAGAATAAAATTGACTACCAAGCTGTGAATCTTGACTAACCTGGCTTAACATAGACTAGCCTAAATTATGCTTAAAAACGTAACAGACAATAATTCAACGAAACCTGAATAGTCCGGAAAAAGAAAACTACAAAATCGTCAAACGATTTTATGCAGAAAATCGATGAGACTGGATTTTAGAGTGGAAAAGACTACAGTACCTGAATATTCTCGATGCTCCCGTCGATCTTCAGCTCACTGTCGCTTTTTATAATTTCTCCGATAACGTTGCTAAACATAGCATACGCCAACTCCTCAGGGTCACCCAGACCGTGGCTAACAACGCTTACACCAATGCCACTCGCCAAATGGAAATTCAATCGCAAGCTTTTCTCCCGTTTCCCGTTCGCGCTTCGATCATTACGAATCCCATGTATCGCAAAATGGTCAAACGGCCAGGTTCGATCCCGTGAAGAATTCGGCGAAGTTCCATTTACAACGGCATTACTGTAGGGACTGAAGATCCAGTCATGTTTCTTCTGGTTCTGCAACACGAATTTAAAACGTGGTTTAGAAAATCGAAACACGAGGTTTAGAAAATTAAAATACGAGGTATACAAAATTAAAATACGAAGTTTAGAAAATTGGAATATGAGGTTTAGAAAAATTTAAATACGAGGCTTGGAAAATTTAAATACGAGGATGATGAAAAAACTGAAATTTTACAGGTATAACTTTCAAAAATACATAAACGTTCCAAAAAGGGGCACGCAGCTCAAAATCCTTTAAATTTCCTGCATTCACTTCCAAGTACCACGTGCACATTTTTTCTCAAAAACTGGAGGAAAAAAGAGGGTGCGCGTCAAAATTAGCAAAAAATCGGGGATGAAATTAGCAAAACGATTCAGAAGTTTAGGTCTGCGACTCACTGGATTCTAATGTGAAATTTCAGATCAATTCTGACAGGAATAGTCCTTTGTAATCAAAACAGTTGAAAATTAATTTAATTTAGATGGAATTAATGTCCATATTCAAATTCTATTATCATTCAGAGACATATTGCTGTCTTTCAGTCACTAAAAATGCGGTGCAAGTCTTACAGGTAAGTGGGATTTTATCAAAATTGTAGGCTGAAAACCCGGGTGCGCTTCTCACTCGACGGCGCGAGGAACTCCAGCAAGTACGGTAAAACTTTAATTTTACGAAACGAGGAATTTCTTCTTTGAGTAGCCCTTCGAAGAAAATTTATTATAATACCTTCTGATGAAAATCTTTGATTTGCAACACTCTGGTAGGTCCGTCCGAAGTGACAATAATGTGCAAGAACCCCGACCCAGGGCGCAAACGTTGTCTAGAAATAGCTTGCTCTACCGGGACTCCATTTTCCATGAACATCAGAGCGCGTTTATCAATCGGTCCGAGAACAACTTCCGTCCCTTCACATAAAGAAAGTAAAAAAAAATGTTTTCAGACGATTCCACATGCTCAAAACCGTACTCGAATTTCACACCCAAGAGATTCGACGGAGCTGTAGAATTAGATCCCTGTAACCACAACAACAAGAACTGAAACATTGTATTTGTTAAGGATTGGGACGCAGATATTCAGAACTTCCACCACATGAAAATAAGTTACAACTTTGGATATCCTTTCTGGGATCTGGGACAGCTACATCGGGACACACAAACGAAGAAAGGTCACATTCACAAATAAACAAAAAAAGGGTTTACGTATTCCGCACGCCGTCAGTTCTCAAGATTTTCTAAACCCATTTCAAAAAAGAAGTTTATGTGATCACATCATTCCAAAGGACTGGTATAATAATTTCCCATCATTCAAATGTTTCTTCGAAATTTCCCCTCACTGGATTTAGTAGCGAAGGAAGACAAAAGGATAAGGCCATCAAGTTCTTCACTCATCATCATTGCCGGAAATTCGTGGTTTCGGAGTTGAAGCTCTTTTATAAAGAGAAATAAGTGTTTCAAATAATCATCAAAAACCGTCCAACGTGATGCCTTCATGTCATCAATTGCTCAAGAAATAAAACTTTGAAGGTTAAGAAGGGAAATTTCAAGTTCGAGCCAACGTGAGTACCGAAATCGGAATTTACGAAATCTTCAATTGGGTTACGGAGAGTTGAAGATGTTTTCAATTCGGTAGAAAATACGCAAAAAGGTTATTTTAAAATAAAGTAGAGCCACTTTTTCTTGACGCGCAAAGAAATGTACTACTGTTCTACAGTAATATGTTCTCTTACTTAGCTAAACGTCAGACAACTCAGCGGAAAAGTGAGATTTCAACTGAACACACAAGCTACCGATAAAGCCCCCTCAAACAAATACATACACAGACACCATTGTCCAGATCCCCGCTCCGGAACACTGTCACCTAGAAGCAACGAACAAGCGCAACAAAGCAGTGTTAAGGACGACGAAGCCCCGAACAAGCAAAAGATAATATTGCCATTCAGAAACCTCACCAGCTATGATGCCACGAAAACCATCTTTTGCTTGCACGCACAAATTCGCATGCATGCAACATAAACGTCCGTCTTCGGTAAAGCGCCAATGTTGGGTTAAGGTTCGTCTTCCGTCCGGAGGGCGTAACGTCAGCGGCATGTACTCATCAGGCAGTACTGCTTTTGAATCTATGTCAAGTACCTGAACGAAATCAAAGATGAGTTCACAGGTAAAAACAAAAACAAAAAATGGCTCGCATAAAAATTATTGCGCGCGATTCTGTCGGACTGAGGGAGGAGCAGATTCCCAGTCAATCAAAGTGAAATGGAAAAAACAAAGCCTCCTATGAGAATAGCGATCACGGAATTCCATATCTCTGAAGACTTCCAAAGACATTCATAATGAAAATTTATTGGAACTGGAATAAGCTCGGTAATTTTAACAATTGGAGACTTAGCCGGCAAACAAATCAACTTTCATTACAACAACCGCACAGATTAATGTTCAAGAACTCACCAAAACTCGATTCATTTCCTTCGAGGAATTCGGATGCTTTGGATCTCGCGGTGGAGAAGTTCCTTCATGAGCCAGTTTTCCGTCAGTCGTCATTCGCCACAACTGTGACCTCTGTCCAAGTTGCTTCGGCTTCAAAACAATCTTGTACTTCTTTTGCCACGCCGATAAATACTTCGAAGAAGTGCTGCATTCTTCTACGTCCAAAACCAACTGAAGATTCTTGTCCAAAGAGTTGCTACCCAACTGCTCACCTTTGAGCACTTCTGTGTACTCGCTGAAAAAAAAAAAAACGCAATTCTCGGAAAAATTTCCACAAGAAAACGAGCACAATAGTCTAATTCTTCCATAAGATTATTCCATGGACCTTAAACACGTAAATATATCAAAGAAAAAAATTTATGAACATTCGACAGTTGATTCAAAAGAAGGTAAGAAAACACGATTGAGATACTGAAATAATCAAATAACGTCAATCATCGCGCTTAGGAAGAGAGGGAATATTTCTGTCTTTCTTGGTCAGATTCATATTCGGTATTGTGATGGGAAAATTTAGCGAAACATCCAAGAATCCAAGTCAAAGATGATTTCCGTCAAAATGAAAATAAAACAAATTTAACATCCTCAATAAGGAAAATTATTCGTATGTTTGTGTTGGCAAGGTTACGCATGAATCATAATTAAATTTGCATTAATAGGCAAAAAATTTCCCTTTCATTTTTACACCCCAAACGCGTGTCGAGATAATCGGGATGATTTCAGGATTTTCGGATTTTCTGCCAACCAACACGCCTTCCTTCTTGTATTTTGATACAATTTCAAATTTTTATTATCAGGAATGCAGTTCCAATAAAACTGAGAATTACTGACGCTTTAAACCGTAATTTTTTGACTGATTCATGAGGTTAAAAAAAGAAAGAAGTTAACCACTGAACCAGGATTTTCAAGATCATGTTCTTGTTTGATCCTGCTTACGAAATACTGCACAGAAGAACAGAAAACGGGAACATACCCGGAAAATGTGCAGGAAAGCGCCAAATACAAGAAGTTCTCATAGCTGAGCGATGCTGTTAGATTCAACTCAGTCATGTCGACCACAGTGGCAACGCCGCCCGGTGCAGAAACCACCATCATTTGTCTGAACGTCGGCTCGTCCCATGCATAAGCTTGAGACGAATGCGGCCTCACATCAGACTGCCGATAAATCTCTTCCACCCCGTTCTGATGATACTTGATGGTAACTTCCGAAAAATTATCGATTCGCAAGGGAGGCGGCAACACTGCTGCATCCATGAAGATCACGTAGAAAGTGGCTCCTTCCAGAATGATTTCCACACGCAGGAACATGCTCAACTCGCTGAAGTCTCTAGATAATAAAAGCCAATGCGTTCTTGACACTTCTCAGTCAACAGCGAAAAAAGCTTAGTGATGGTCCTCATACAATTAAAATTCGTGAGCTGCGAATAATTTTTCAATTCCAACAAACTTGCACCAGATTTCTCAAAAGTAGGCCGCACCCCGATTTTGTGGGGCGATTTTTAGGGGTATGTCCTTAATATTCCAAAACAAGCACGGAGAAAGGCGGGTTTTACGCGGGCAAATCCTCTTCCCGAAAGAAAATTTCGATAGGTAGAAATAACACGAAAACCTATACCCGCTCAACGGTGCTCTTAATTTATTACTGTTATTAAGGTTTCTTCTTTCTTTTGCTGCGAAAAGGTTGCCAACACGCAGATAAAAGAAACAATATCTCGAACCTTAAATTCAAGTAGAAAGACTGAATTTTCTCAAGCGGAAATGCACCCGACCATCGACATCGGAAAACGTCAGCCATGCGGACACAAAGCAATTGGTCCAGATCATCCCGAGGCCAATGGAACGCAACATGCGAATTCTGCTTAGCTTCAAGGTAAGTTAGCTCAGCCATGGCATTAGAATGCTGGGAATACTGCAAAAATAGGCAAACAATACACACCGTAAAAGCAATTCTCAAGAAAAATCGATATCCCACTCTTACATCAACCGCAAATTTCTTTTGAGCGAATTGCAGCGAATGGGAAGAACGGTTGAAGATTTGGAACATCGGTGAAAATGTGACAATTTTGGTGTCTCTGTAGCGACCGCTTCCGGGTTGAATCCTAACGCTGATGGAATAAACTATATCCGGACGTTGAGAATCTCTCAACGCAACTCGCAACCTTCGCACACATCCCGGCTTTCCCAAATTGAAATTCTTCGACCACTGCAACAATCAAGAAAAACAATGATCAAGTTCTGAATTCACTAGTAAGATAAACGACATTCCCGGGACCTGAAAAAAAAAAATCAGTCGTTCAAGAACTGCGACGAAATGTCAACTCACTTGAGGGATGCCATTCGGATGAAGATCCTTTCCAACACGAGCCACCATAAATGGAGAAGAAGGATCGCTCAAGGAAAACAACAAAGGTTCCACAGAACGACCCACTTCATGCTCTCTAGATTGCCCGGCAAATTCTTGAGATATCCCATCTTGCTTGAAGATCAAAGGAAGTCCGGTTCGGTTCACCAGCCAAAATGGAGAAGAAACCGTTATCTAGAAGGTGATGGACCAAAATCCTTTATGTAATCGAATCATGTAATGCGGTCCATACAATGGAACTAAAACACAAAAGGAGTATGAAAAAATACGTTCAACCAGCAAAATCCTCGAAGAAATCTCCGAGATCGGCGATTCAACAAAAGTAAGCGTAAAATAATTATTGTACAGTACAACATTTCTTATCCTTCGATGATGCGGGTAGAACGTCATGAAAAAATATAAAATTATATAGTATTGACAAATAAAAAATTGCAAGCATGGCATTTAGTTGAACAGCTACAACTATTCCAAGAGCTCATGTTATATGGGTGTCTGATTTCCGCTTGGATTCCAATTCTTCGTTCCTACACACAGGAATTCAAGCGTTGAGCAGGGCAATTGAGACGATTAGTACAGTTCAAAGGTTTATCTTTCAATCATCCGTGTTTACCTCAAATATTTCAACCCCATTTTGCCACCATGGAAGACGAATTGAAAAGTTGTCCCGCGGAGGATCCCTTTCAATTTCAGTTGAAATTATTTCAAGCTATTTCTTGCAAGGTCTCAGAGCAAACAAGTGTCTCAATGAATTCATGAAAATATTTTCTGAAGATGCAATTGAAATAAAAACGTTTCGGGAGTGATATTGAATATTTAAAAATAGCACTTTCAAGCTTGGCGCAAAAAATTTAAAAAATCGACATCCGTAAAATATTTCGATTCTTAAATCGAGAAATGCGCTCAAATCGAGATTATACGGAAAAAGTGCGACATGAAGAATATAATTCGTGACAATTTCTTCAACTGGTTTTGTATTTGATTTTAAATAATGTTTTCACGTGCGAAGATGTTTAGTGGAATCGCCAAAAGCACGCAGGGAGTAAAAAAAAAGGAAGAATGGCGCTTTCTGAAATGACCACAGTGCACAGTTCAACAAACCTTTATTGAAGCCTGACGAGGCGTCATTTTAACATCCAATTCCAACGGCCTCTCTTCAGAGTCGAACAGCGTGACCCTCGTGGCGTAAGTACTTCCGACCCTCGGACTGAAGTGAAAATCTGAAACCTTCTGAAAATGCTCCGTCCACACGCCCACAGACAAGCGTTCCGCAAGATCGATTTCGTGGACAGCTGCTTCTTTCCCAGCCAAAACTAATCCTTCAGTTCTTTCGGTACGATTCTCATCCACCGGATCGATGGATGACAAAGAGTAAAACAAAACATATGGCAGCGAATTGAAGATCGTGATCGGCGGCTTGAGAACTATTGAATGCATCGGCTGATCAACGAATTTCGGAGAAACCCGGCGAATGTGGTCGATCGGCAACGGCAAACGGATTATTGACGCACACAACCTACCAATTAAAAGAGAAAACAAAGAATCCGATCACTAAATACCGTTTAATCTTTTTCAATTGTTAAAATCAAGGATCAAATAATCAAAGATCGATGAACTATGAAGATTCTTTCAGCAGACCCGCTCCTTTAGAGAGAAAATAACGCCTAAAAAGCAAGGGTGAGTTCGGCCCGTTTAAAATTTTATTTTTGCGGGTAGTGGCGCCGAGATCAATAATCTTTTTTGCTTTCAAGAATTACTGCAAAACCGTGAAATTTCTCTTTCGCTATCCCTTGTGCAGAAACAAGTTTTCTGAAAATATTTGCTACAAAACGAACTTGGATGAAAATGCGCACTTGAGTTGAGGAGACAAAATGCAAATCTGAAGACGGATGTCGGGCTGAATTACGATAATTGAAAGGTTTACGAAAATGATGCACGCAAAGGTAAATACAGGTGGACTATCTATACAACGGAATTCAGGGGACCAGAAAAACACATTTGTAGAGAGAATTTTATCGCGGAGAACCCCAGTAAGATGGTTGAGAACCCCATGATGCCACAAAAAAAGTCGCTATAGAGTGAGTCCACCTCTATGTAATGCAATAATTCAACAACGCACCTGAATGGATTCCCTTGGTTTTCCAACAATGGCTTGCAAAGATGCAAAACTTCTTGAGGCTCACTCATGTTCACTACCTTATTCCACGGTAATGCTGCCTTACCAAAACCATACTTGTACGGATTGACCTCCAACACAGGCCTCAAGAAAACTCCACATTGCGCTTGACAAAGTTTCAATGGGACCGGGTAGGTTTCTCCGGGGAAAAGTTTGATAGAATTTGTTCCTAAAATAAAAATCAAGATTGAAAAAATGAAGAAATCGTCGCGCGATCGGCTTCCACAATACCAGAAACCGCTGATGATGAGGACGAGAGAGGTTTGAGATCGAGTTTGATTTCGACGACTTCGTTCATTCTATTGGTGATTGAAAACGCCGAGCGAACGGTGACCAGTTTTCGAGCAGATCCCTCCGTGGAAACGGAAAAGATGAGCATCGAGGAAATCAGCTTCTCCAAATCCATCTGCTTGAACAACGAAAATGTGTTCAGACTTTTTTTAAACTCTACATAAACCTCATGAGTTGAGATTCCTAACCGTGTCCTGCACAACTTCGCGAAAGTAAACCCCAAGCTTGTCGATGGTTACTGGCTTCGCCTCACTCCATCCATCCACCTTCACGATTATTTGGTGAACTATCCCCGAAAGAAGAGTTGGATCCTTTTTGTTATCCGCACCAATTCTGGCTCGAATGCGTTCCTAAAATACCAAAAGGTACATTAAAAAATGTTTCAAGAAAACCGAGCAATCTCAAAACCACGTCGAACAAACTACTGTATGTCCGCTAAGCACAACGATTCGATGACCAAGTAAAGAACAACTTCGATGATAGGTGAATGATTTCAAGATGTACTTCCGAGTAGAAACTTGCCTTGAAAGAGAATGACTCCGTTGCTCCCGAGCTGACTTCAACAATGTTCGGGGCACTTCTTCGCGAATCATTCGCAGAACTGGAAAAAGATCAAGAAATCGTACCACTCGATCATCGATACTAGGTACAGCTCGCCGGAAAATCGGATTTTTTTTTCCTGCTCTCAACTTCAATTTGTTTTTGCATAAAAATAAACGTACAGTATCTCTACAGCTATTCAACGATGATTCCTACCTGATAGAAATTCCGGATCCGGATCCCCGGAACCAAATCGTGGAGCCAGTTTCGTTTTTCAAGGCAAATGGGACGAACGGAGAACGGCGCTTGAAGCTGGCCACTTCAAACTGCTTTGTATTTTCCGACGGTGAAACGCCCGACGTTTTTGATTCCCTAGAATAATATTTCATTTTTTAAAAGCTTTCCTGTGAAAAACATTTCTGTGAATACTTGTTGAGAATATGGCTGACGCTGCCGGACAAACTGGATGCTTGATAATAATCTTCTTTCCAGTTCTTGCTGACCATGGTTAATAAATCTATGAGCGATGAAGTGATATTAAGGTTCAGGATTTCCAACGACCGAATTTCCAGAACAATATCCCTCTTCCGAACAGTTTCTTGGATGTTCCATTTTGATTCTAACCTAAAATAAAAAAAATCAAAGAAATCTTTCCAGATACGAACATGGAAGCAACCCAATTTTACGAACTTCCAAGGTTCCAGAACGGGTTCCCAAGCAGACAAATCTCTGTTGTAGAAGTCTCCAGAAACTGTGCAATTCAACGAACCCTCTTTCTTTCGCAAATCTTGAGTGAACGCCAGATGATCAAATGTGAAATCTACCAAAGGAACATCACTGTCCTTGCAGTCATCAATCACACATACGCTCAAGCATGGTAATCGAACCTGGAAAAATTCCATGTTGAAAAAGAGACGAGTCGGTTTATATTGAAAAAAAAAAGTTGTGCGCACGAAGTACCTCGACAGTGCTATAATCACTTTTAGGATTTGATTCAGAAACTTCCTTCGACAGTCCGTCGCGTTCTTCATCAGTCGTCACAACCGGCACAGCATTTTCAAGCAACCACAATGCAGATTCATCAAGCTTTCCATTTCTTTCCCTCAATGCCTTCAAACAGTCTTCTTCGGTAAAGCCGAGACTTTTCAATTTTTGTACGTGGTCTGGGGAAATTTGAGCAAAGGTTGGGTCAGACGTTAAAAATGAGAAAAAAAAGTTCAACCGCGGAAAACAAACCTTCTTGATCAACCGGCAATGAACTCTTCTGCCCGAGTAGACTGTTCCTTCGAACCTCTTCAACAATTACTTGCCTTTTAGCTTGAATTTGCAGGCTGTTGAAAATTCTCAGGAACATTTTCATGTCGTTATATGAGAGCCTAATTTTAAAATGTTGAGGAAAAACGACCTGAAAAGCAGATACGCATAAAAATATGCAGAAACGCTGGAAGTTCCGAAATTTCTCACCTCCAAAGTTTGTTCAGTGAAGTCGGGCGGAGTGGCGTCCTGAAGTCCTAAAGTAACAGTCCCGTCTTTGCGCTTCTTTTTGGCACTGATTTCCAAGTTTAGCGCAACGGGCTCGATTATTGATAAGGCCGTGTCTTCTTCCGCAGTGCCCAGCAAACACGAGAATACTTCACAATTACTCAAGTTCACTGAGAGTGGTTTTTCAGGAAAGTCCGGTCGATGCGATATGACTGCAGTTGTCTGCCGAGAATATTTTCGGATTATAAACATTTTCCCTCCAAAACCAGCTTGTTTTTCAAATTGTTCAACCCTTCTACCAAAAAAGCTTTTATCGTTGAAAAATTCATAACTTCTAGTTCAATCAGGAAAGGAAACTACCTTTAAGATCACAGCGTTGGTGTCGACGGACTGACAATTTTCAAGAGCGACAATTTCACTGTCGGTGATGTTCAGCTTTAGTTCAAACGCTGGAACTGGTGGAGATATTTCCCTTTTCGAATAAATTCCAGTCGAAGTTTGGATTGGATTCGGAGCCATAGGAACAAATTCTCCCTCAGTCGGAGGTACTAGAAAGGAGTCGGCTTTCTGAGGTTCCTGCGTTGATTTATCTTCTTTAGCCGTTGTTTGATGATCGCATGAGTAGTTCACTAAAAAATAAATTGTTACATATTAACACAGAAGTCATGATCGGGTGATTTTCAGCCAATATAGAAATACAGTATTAAAGATTATCTAAACCATATCGGAGCACCCAACTGTTTTAATTACACGTAGAAGTACTTATTACAATTATTTTAGTATTCTAGTTGATAATATCAAGCTGAATTTTTTTTAAAATCATGGTTTGGCGATATCACGGCAAGAACATGTCGCAGAAAAAACTTTGCTGATGAACTTCCGTTTACCGGGGGGATCAGGTCGAGTTGTGATGAAGTCCAGAACAGCTCTCCACCAATCAAAAATTGCTAGAAGTCTCATTGAATTCAGCAGAACGGTCAACCGTGTGAAAGTTTTGCTTTGGCGAAAATGAACTTCGGCTTGCATCGATGTCTTGGACTGAAACACGGTCGATTTTTCTGCAGATTTTTTCTCTGCATCAGCTTCCGATCTTTTGATGGGCTGAAGGATCCTCTTGAAGCGATTCGCTTCCGGGTTCAAGGGATCATCTGCAATACGGAAAGAGTCTCTCAAAACCAGGAGTTATCTCCCAAGAATTTTCCAGATCAATTTATTTACCAGCATGTCTTAAATCATGCAGTCGGATTTCCTGAGACACAAGATCTATATCCCTGGAATTATCCGTGTGGGATTCAATCGTCAAACGCGACTGAATGAAGTTGATCTTGGCAAGCGGGTTTTTCTCCGAATGGCTCCATTTTGCACGCAAACTAACATCTTTCAGATCAACGATCAAAGCAAACGTCGTCCACACTTCTTTCTCATCTCCCGATAGAATTGATGCGGGCGGGGAAGTTTTTCTCTGCAGAAATTAAGAAATTCTATAAACTCGCCTTTTCTTTGGGATTTCTCGAAAACTATCAAGAAAGTAGCTTCATGTAAGGCGAAACTTTCAATTCAGCTGATTTCTCTAGGTACAGTATTTATGAAAAGGTCTCTATTGAGACTCTGGGTGAGCTGATTTCTGAAGTTCGATTTAAAATAATTTGTACTCGTATTATTTCATCAAGAAATAGGAATGGAACTTGCCTCATAAATTGACTGAAGGTCATCAGGTAAATGTTCGGAACTAGCTCCAAGTGCTCGTTCAAGTTCTTGGAAGTGTACCATCGCACCAACGGGGTCGTCCGTGTTGACGCGCTCCAAATTTTCACCGAGATTGTAATCCAAAAGTCCTCTGATGAGTCGATACTGCTTCAAATCGATGCAAGCCTCCATAGCGTACAGCTCGGCTCGGATAGCAAGATTGGCAACTGAGAGAAAAATCTGAATGACGAGTTCAAGCGAAAAATGAAAACACTCGCCAATTCTTACTGTCATGCGACATTTCGCCATCCAGATTCCGCTCAACCTGAACTTTGAGCTTTCCCTTTTCTTTTAAAAAAGAAGGACCAAGCGGTCTCACGCGGTACGATAGTCCAAACGTGATGACATCAGATTCTTGAACTGGCTTCGCATGACGTTTCCTCATCCGTGGTTCTGGGGAGTCAAAGGCGAGAATTTCTGCAACGAACACATCCATGTTCACCAGATCTATTCTGATAACGTCCATGAGGCACGGATACACTGAAAAAGAAAAATCTCAGAAGTAAGAAATTGTCGCAAGCACTAGAATTCGCCCAGGAAAAAAATTACCACAAGCAGCAGCAGCACTGAGCATTACGGAATTCTTGCGATTTCTGACAGCATTTGATCGTGTTTTCAAGCCGAGGTACGAGATGCAATCCTCCGACCCAGCGACTTTGAAACTGTTCGACGCCGTGATTTGTCCAAGGTCAACAACAATACCTTGAGGATTTCCGGCACTGTGCGGAATGATTATAACAGGATTGTCGATCTTCAGGTCTAGAAGACATCTGAACCCGTGCCTCGGCTTTTCAAACAACTAAAAATTGAAAACAAACGTTAAAAATATAATGTTTACAAACGAACAAGCTCTTACCTCTGCCCCGACAGCACCAGCTCTTAGACGACCCAACACTTTTTGCAGATCAGAAAAGCTCGTGAAAAAGTCAATAACATTTGTCATAAACCGATGTGTATGGACGTAGACAACGGAAGACATGTTCAGCTTTAGATGAGCATCAAATTCTCTATCATCAACGGCATCCAAGAAATCAGAATCTTTGTGCCTAAAAAAATAAATAAAAAGGAAACAATAATTTTCAACAGATCAGAAAAAAATAAGCTGTGCATTCAGCGACTTACTTGAAGAAATGGAAGTGAAGAACTTCCTTCCCCGCGGTCCGAAATTTCTGCCTGTAGCACCCTTTATTTTTTGACAGGTCACAAAGCGCGAGACTTCCAAGTCCGCCATTCATTTCAACATTTCCGTCCTAAAGTTTAAAAAAAAAACGACTAAAAACTCCTATGTCATGAAATGAACTCTGCACTTACCTTCGTGTTCATATTTGACTGGAAATTACAAATCGTGGCTTGAGCGAGATCACCATCAACAACTTGCAAAATAAATCCAAGCGAGTGAACCTTAATGTTCCACTCACTGTTCACAACCGGTCCTTCATCTGGCAATTTAAATCGGCGGTCAGTAGAACATGGATGTGTGAAAAACGACCAGGAATACATTTATTTACAGACAAATTTCTTGAAAATATTAATAAAATCAGCGGACATTCCACCCAGCGCATAAAAAAAAAGAGATTCTCAACAGAGATTGCTTTTCTGCGTGAAATTATCTCACCTTTGAAGAGATCTCTTGTTTCTACACCACTGACAAGCGAAACTGCACTGCTTGAGGCGATAACGGCATCGGAGGATGGATTCTCAACAGCGGCAGGTCTTTCATCAGCATTTGTTCCCAAGAAATTACTATTCGAAACTTCGTAAACAGTAGTGCTAGCTGTACTTATGCCGAAAAAGTCCAAGACCTTGACCCAAGATGGAGGGTTCAGACGGATGTCGAGTTTATTGAAGTCGACGTCGATAAATCTAGATACCTAAGAAACGAAAAAAGATCAAAACCCAAGTATAACTTGTGACTCAACACAGAAGAAAAAAAATTACTCACCGATTTGAATTTGCTCACAAATCCAGGATGCTTTCGATCAACAAGGAGTATGTTGATTGTGACAAGCGACGAATCCCGAACTGGATCCTCTTGCAACGCTTCAAAAACTTCGGGCGACGGATGCTCTGGCGCTTCCGGTCGTAGAGATTGACTTCGTGGACGTTCTAAGAGCATTAAAACACACTACATGTTTTCCAAAATCACAAAAAACTACATCAACACCTCAGCCAAAAATTTATGCGAGGAGCCGTATTTTCAGCCGTAAATTCATGACAGAAATGTGATCTGCAAATACGAGGTAATACCTGAAGTGGAACCTTTCCTCGTTTGTTTGCGGAAATACCGGAAGACATTCTGAGTATCAAGATTTTCCGGCATAGAGAAATACGTAAGAAGCGTAGGATCAATTGTCGATGACAAATCAGGGCAAGAAACCGAAACCGGTCCATTCAAAATATTCCTTCTCGGCACCGACTCATTTGATTCACGCATTTTGCCGTGAGACAGCATAATTGTTCTCAATACACTGTCTTCCGGCTCCGTGAGATCTTCCATGATGATTGAAAACAAAGAAATCTGTAATTTTAATCAGCATCAGAATCAAAGCCCACGGGATTAGACGGGAAAGCATACTTCAAGTTTGGACTCAAAAGGAGCGGTTGCTTCAAAATCAACGACGAACTTGTTCAAGCTAAGGCTGACGATGGCCTGCTCTCCTTCATACGGATCACCCTTCAATTGCACGATGAATTGTGGAACTTCAAAATTACCTGGAAGCAAGTTGAAAATAATTTTAGGGCTCTGCATAATTTGGAATACTGCACGTTGCCCATGAAAATAAACGCAGTTTATTCATTGAATGAGCAATTTAATCCCAAAAGAATGCTGCTCCAAGTAAATCATGAACGCAGAGTGGTTTCCATGATTTCTGTTATGAGTTGCCCATTTCCCAAAAAAATTAATTAAAAAACTTGAATGAGAATAGAAATTTCGCTGATACATTTTCGGATCTCTATACATAAAAAAGCGAGTGCTCAAAAGCGTGGCTTTGAAATAAGTTCCGGGATAGACTCCTCATATTATGTTGCGGTAATTGTACTTCAGTTAAAATTACCAAAATTAGGCTATCTTTCATTTCCGAAAGGCTAGATCTTCCGTTGTTTTCTTTTCGAAGTCACCGACTAAAACGATAGAACTTCATTACTGCCCTTATTCGAACACTCTTCCCACGATGATAGATGAAGAAATTCAACTATAAATTGAGGTGAAATCCAAGAAGTATTTGAGGATTCACAGCTTAATTTTATAAAAATGAAAAATAAAAATATACAACCGGGCTCATTTCGAAAACGGCTCATTACATTGAGACTGCTCCCAGGTCATGTGAAGATACATAGTGAGGTTCCATTTGAGAAAAGAATGCCTAGAACGAAACTAGACAAAGCATTTCTTACCTTTAACGAGAATACTGGATTTTTTTCCCGAGTAAGCCAAGCAGTCGTCGAGCTGCGCGGAAGAACCATCGTTGGAAGCCGCATCAAAATCAACGTCAGAGCTTTCAGAAATAACATTCACGATGTCTCTCTCTTTCGTAATCACTGGACGATCCGCATGCCCTGGGAAATTCACTGCGTACTCCAAAGTTCGCAGAATCATTTGATACTGCGTTTTGGACAATGAAATCTTCAGAGAATCCACCAGAGAAATGTTCACCTTTAACAAAACACCCCCAAAATATTTTAAACTTCACAGCAATTATTTATGACGACATTACCTGCACTACATCGGGACACAACTCCGCTTTCGGGTCATCCATGCACCGAGGCTTGCCGTCAACTCTTGGAAAAATTGGCGCAGCGAAAAATCCCAAGTCAATGTGGATTCGTGTATCGTGTAAAATCGGGCGATCCGCTGGTGTTTTGCAATCAAAAATGTCACACGTTCGTAGTCGGGACCACCAAGGAGCGTCACTGGAAGAATACAGGAAAAAACTTCGAGTTAGAACGTAAAAATGGCGTACGCAGTAAAAAATCTAAATAAAACCCCAGAACTTTTCGGGATATCATGGCTGATTTTAGGAAATGTCATGATCCAGAAAATGCGAGGAACGAGAATTTTACTGGGTTAAATTCGAACATAAACCATTTTTCGATCACGTCTGAGATGCAAACGTCGAACAAAATTCCTCTAAAAATACATATCACAATAAAAGAGTTCTATCAAAAAATGTATGACTCACGGTCGTGCGTTCGGACTACGAAACTCTTGAAACGTCTCCGTTCTCGAAGTCTGCGCTTCATTGAATGGTTGTGCCAAATATCGCATTTTTTCCTCGAGGTTCATATTGTGCAAGTTCATGTCCTGTATCAACATCTCATACCGAGCAACGTGAACCGTCTCGTCTTCAACGTTTTGCTCTCGTTCTTCGTTTCGAAAATCTGAAGAACGCGAATGTGGCAACAGCAAACGCTTTGTTTCCGCATTCCGTACAAAAATCCGACCCAGTCGCGCAACCAGTACATCCGGGCTGTTCGGCCCCATGGGCACAACTAGAACTGGGGTCTCCAATGTTGCGGTGATTCTGTAAAGAGGAAGAAATTACTTTCGATTTGCAGACGATGGGGAGCCCGAAATTTGTCTGCATATCAATGTCATCGGAAGTATTTCTTCAATTTCATCGGAATTATTCTGAATCATCATAAATTACAAAGCTTTGAATTTCTACATGGAATTTCAAAAATGAATACGGTACAAGAACTAAAATTTTTCCGGGCAAGGAGCCGGTGCCTTTGCTCGGAAAATCGAATAATATTTACAGTATATTTTAAAAGAATCGAGCATATCCTGAGGAAATTGCCGACATTTCCTCAAATTTCGAAATACCATGCAATGACCTCAGAAAATTAGCCAATTAGCAGGACATTTTGCTTCATCTCAATGAATCGAAATTTTAGCTCGTTTAAGGTTTAATCGGGAGATCAGTACATTTAAATCAGAATTCCGAATAATCGAAATTCTAGTTTAATTTTTTGTGCTCAGTTTGGTCAGAGCAGTTGTACAAAGTTCACGCGAAAACTTTTGATAAAAATTGTAATACCAGTAGTTTTATTCACCAACTTTCAAGATCGTGTTTTCTGGAGACAAAGAAAGTAACAGAAATTTTAAAAAGTTGATTAAAATAATTTTTTCAACTGATGGGAATGTTCGTCATCGTGCATGACGCTTACTTCAATTTTTTGGTGGCAAAATTTCGGGAAAAAGGAATAAAAATGACAATCCGTAGTTGACTTTTTGCTCAAGTATGTGTTCGCGGCAGTTAATGAGCACTTGTTAGGGAATAGGTTCAGTAAATCAAGTTTGGTGTGAGCCATCGCAGAAAAAAATATAGTCCCTATCATGAATTTAAGCAGCCATTTCACGGTGAACTCGAAAAAATTCGACTTTTCGACGATAAAAAGTGGCTTAAACAGGACTGAAAACAGGAACCGCATCTAGTCTGTGATCTTATCTACAAACGGTACAGTACTCGGGAAAATCATTTCGCTTCAAGGTTCCTTTCCACTACTCGATTTTCTTTCCACTCGAGCCTCAATAAATTTGTCCTCTTCATTTGCCAAACCTAATGCAATACAAATCTGAGATATCTCAAACACAGGCATTAGTCTCAGCCATTCAGCAGTGCCTAAGCAAGGAAAAATCGTGCATAAGACACACCAACTTTCGAGACCATGACATTCGTGGCAAAAAGGGATGATAAACTCTAGTGGGTAAATACTGAGGACGATTTCGCTCTGTTTTTCACAGAAACACATCGAGGACGATTACAATACCCAAATAAACTGCAGAAGGTGCTGACAGATTCACCGAAAATCAGTAAATCTTCTTCTGATAAAGAGGAGATGCTAACAGGGCAAAAATTAATTCTTCGTAAAACCTGAAGAAGGTGACACTCACCGACGATCCGCCACTTCTTAATCAGACATCTATTTAATCATTTTTTCCGTCTTTTCAACTTTCAACCTTCCGATTTCTTTGTCGCCCTCGCAAGCGTTTAAATTCTCTGGCCCCGTTACGCTACTTACTAAGCAAGAGAAAGCATCGAGAAACCTACTCATGATCCCGACCCAATATAGGCTAAAGTAAAACTCGAATCCTACACCATGGATCGCAACAATCGGCAGTTCTACAACCGTCAACATTTTCATCAAGCCAGTGAGCACGAAAATTGCAGATCTCACAATCCACACGATCCTCGTCGAGCTGCCTGTTCTCGGTGTTCAGCTCATGTCACGCAAAATGAACGCGTGAGGCGATTCACGCGCGAAAAACGCGACCAACGGTGAACATTTCTCTCTGCGAGCAAACTTCATATTCGAATACAGTATTAATTTTTTTAAACTATGTCACGTCAGCGCTCGACGTCTCAGACTTCTAGGTTTTACTGTGGTTCGCATTTTCTTTGCAGTGGGAATGATTAATAATATGCTTTGGACACAATACACATACTGTAGTTGCAGCAACAATTTCAGCACCGATGACAGTTGAACATTGATAACTCAAACCTCTCCAAGTCGAATGTAACATGTGACTCTCGACGTCACATTTTTTCCAAAGCCTCTTTTGAATTCCCTCAAACAATGCAAAACGAATTCGGATTTTTTGGGGGGCTTCTCGGCAATTATTTTATCGACACAGCGAAGAGAAAAACGAAGATTTAACTTGATGTGTTTGGAAAGGAATTGAAAGATTAATTGGGCAAATGAACCCTTCAGCATCGTGTCAACTCATTTTATGAGCACTTTAAGGCCTGGAATGTCACCAATTACAATTTTTGGTAATTCCTTGTTTTTTTTTTTCCCCAAAAATGCTCGTTTTCTTTTACTCGAAAACTCCCTAACTGCAATTTTTTTGCGGGTCCCTTTAAATTCACATGCGACTGTACTTTTAAAATTTACAAGAAGCATTTTCAGACCGCGCTTCCCTAACCTCTTTAACTCGAAACCTCTGAATACTTTTTTTTTCTGGTCCCTTTTAATTCGATTTTGAGAGGACCTCATTTCCGTAACCTCCCCAACTCAAAACCTCTCCAAGTCGAATTCATCTTGTTTTTTCTTTGAATTCGACTTCGAAAGGTCCGAGTATACCGAATTTATACCCATTCCTGGAACTAAACATTTTAAACTTTGATTTCCGATTCTCATTGTTAAATCAGGCAACGAGCGTTGCACCAGCAACACGAGCAAGCGCAGTCTCTGCGCGACCGATCCGCGATCGCAGCCCGGGCAACTCGCTCAATTCCCATCTTACTCCGGGTCACGGCAGACGAAAGTGAAGAGAGTTCAACTCTAGATTCAAGCTCCACGAGTCGAAGCAGTTCTTCAATGAGCGACGTTCTTTCAAAGCGTTCCAAGAGGAAACGAAGATCGGCTCACAAGTCGAGGAGCGGGATTCGCGGGCGACTCGATGTTCATAAAGTTGTTCGACAGTATCCCGTCGGGGCTCAATTTCACGGCTTCACGGTGCAGCGGAGCGAGCTGGTGACCGAGTTGGATTTGGCTGCAATTTTGCTGAAACACGACGACACCGGGTGCAAATATTTGCATTTGGCGCGAAACGACACAGACAATGTTTTCGCCACCTTGTTCAGAACTATTCCAGAGGTGATGGGACGAAAAACCTTTCAGAACAAAGAACTAGATTGTAATTTTTCGAATATACATCGATTAAAAACGTTTCCCGAATATTCTCCCTCGGCCTCTGATAACAAGATGAATGAGGTAAATTTTCATCAATTAATTCAGAAGGGGGAAAACATTAATGTTCACTTTGTTGCTCTTGGAAGATTTCTTTGATTTCAACCACATGCAGATCCACCAGAACTGCAGAACCTGCCCTAAAACTCATAAAACGTCTCGAAAGACGGAAAAATTCATAGCACTCTTCACTCTATGAAGTAGAAGGATTTTTTCCGAATTCCTGCCATCTCCGAAAAATTTTATATCACACGTAAAAACCAGTTTACGTATGCTTAAACGATATTACAGAGGGAATTTAATGCAGATTTTGTACTCGATAAAATTGAGCAGAAAAAAATTTCTAGCAAGGATCCTTCGAAATTTCTGGGGCGAAAAAAATACAAAAACGCGCCGCGAAATCTTCCCTCGACATCACTAAGACATGTTTGAAATGCCATTGTTCTTCAAAATGATATATTTCCTCTCACCACAATAATATGGTTTCAAAAAATGTTTATCTTCCCGATGCCTTCATTGATATTTTCTAGATGATCGGCAAAACTTTTGGAACCTCTTGCGCAAAATTTTCGAATGAACTTGCTAAAATCATAAACTTCACGTTGAAATGGATATATGGCAAATCTGGCTCATGATTGCATTCACGTCTAGAAGATTTTCTTATTCTGTTGGCGTACAGTTAAATGCATCAGCTGGTTCTGGCGAGTGGTGACTTGTTGAGTAAGACGTTTAAAAAAAATCGAAGTACAAATTCGACCATAAATGGATAAACCCCCTTGTCCATCATTTCTGAGGATTTAACTGAAAAAATGAATTACGAAATTCCGCGAAGGATTCCACAGGGGCTCCGCACATTCTCGAGCATTACGTGCTCAACGGGAGCGAAAAGTACCCCATCCGAGACGCCCTCCTCAAAATGATGACCAGAAGCGTCTATTCCTTCATGAACGCTTTCACAGCCGATGATTTCACGCTCTACCCGTTCTCCACGACGAACGCGAAAGATTTCAAAAATTTGCAAAGCGTTTACCTCGACGGCATCTTCCGTCCCCTGCTCAAAGAACTCGACTTCATGCAAGAAGGCTGGCGGCTAGAGCCTCTTAAACCAGACGACCCCAGCAACTCCGAATACGTGTTGAAAGGGATCGTGCTGAACGAGATGAAAGGCGTGTATTCGGATTCTTTCGGAGTTATGCGGCGGAAAACGAAAATGGCGCTGTATCCTTCGGGACCTTACGGACACGAGGCCGGAGGGGATCCCCTGAAAATTCCAGATCTGTCTTGGGAGGGTACCAAATCGTTCTACAAGCGGAACTATCATCCCAGCAATGCAAAACTGTTTTCCTACGGAGACATGCCGTTGAAAGATCACCTCGAGTTCATGAAGCACTATTTGAACAAGTTTCAGAACAAAAAAGTACCAGCTCCGAGGACCATCACGGAGGAACCTCGTTGGACAGAACCCCGCGAACTCACCGTCTATTATCAGGTACTGTATATTTTTTTTAATCTAGTCGCGTCGAAAAAGCAAAAAATTGCAAGCGCATTTGCGTTTTTTTGGAAATGTTTCAAGCTTGAGCTTTAAATTTTTCTTTGGTTCCAATTACAATTGTAACAAATTTTAAATTCAGATTTAAGCCACGAGGATAGGGAAACTTACAGAGAACTGATAATCAAACGTAAGCTTCAATTAAGTTTAGTAATGCAGTACCTCCGGGGAGTGACCGAACTTGTCCATAATTATGCATAATCGATCGCCTTGCAGTGATTTTTTCATATTCAGCATTTAATAATGTTGATGTTATAATTAATACTGTATTTAAGAATGTTGGTATTATAATTAATATTTAATAATGTTGATATTATAATTAATATTGAATACTGTTGATATTAGTATTAATATTTAAATGTTTATATTATAATTGATATTTAATAATGTTAATATTATAATTAATATTCAATAATGTTGATATTAAAATTAATATGTAATAATTTATAATTAAAATAATTTAAAAAACTACTACTTTTCATCATTTAATGAAACGAATGTTTTTGTACCGTACAAACTTCTCAACGTTGAAATACGAAATCAACGATGCATTCCTTTTGCAGGAAAACCCTCAGTCGAAGGAGGGAAATAAAGCTGCTGTGGCAGTCACCTATGCTCTGACGCCGATCAAGAATGATTTTGAAAACTTTAGCTTGAAAATCCTGTCAGAATTGTTGGTTGCAGGACCAAATGCACCGTTTTACAAATGCCTCCAGGAAAGTCATCTGGGCACCGGAATGCTTTCCTTTTCAGGATACGAGGGCTTGGGAAATGAGCCTTACTTCCTCATTGGTAAATTCGAGTGATTCATAAGAACTTAAAAATTATTTTCAATTAAAAGTCCAACGTTGGAGACTCAATTTTTTTGGCATGGGTGTGGTTTTCGCCCAAAATTAAATTCAACTTCTTTCTTTTTTGTCCAGAAAAAGTTAGTCCAGGTTTCTCTAGTCTTAACTCAACGGTTACATTCCCCTCCTTTTTTTTAAACTGGTCGTTTCTTTTGGTCTTTCAATTACAGTATAGTTATTCATAATTTTATTCCCTATGGCCTCAACAAAAATGATTGAAAAATTTTGTTCTTCAACCACTGCCTGAGTTATGCCTTTCTCATACAGGTTACGCCGAAATTAGCCCACACTGAGTTAAATCAGCCAAAATTATCTTAGATTATTTCCTCGTTATTTAAAACAGGTGTTAAGTCTCGTTTACAGTATTTTATGTAATTCATTCCAAGTAAGATTAGCTCTGTTCAAACCATATTAGCAATGATAGGGTGAAGTTTAGGTTATTGTCCTGGTTATTCAGGCAATATCTTTCTTCACAACCCCGGAAGTAGGGAATCACCATAAAGCGAACCTCACTCAAAATAATGAAATAATATCATAATACGGTGTTTGACCAACAAAATACAAAACCTTCCTCGCATACCTAAACGGAAAGGCAGGAATCACCAAGAACTGAACTTTATTCGTAAAGATTAGTGTTATGCTGTATATTAATATTATTTAATACTCTAAAAATACTTAGGTTTGCAAGGGGTGGAAGCAAACCAGAAGGACGACGTCGTGAGAATGGTGGAAAAAACTTTCGCGCGAGTGGCCAAAGAAGGTATTCCAAAAGAGCGATTGGAAGTTGCACTGCACAGCATCGAGTTGTCACTCAAGCATCAGCAGCCACACTTTGGCCTCGTTTTACTATCCGCCATCCTGGATCACTGGAACCACGACAATGACCCTATAATGAATCTCAAGATCAACAAATACGTTGACCGATTCCGGGACACTATCGAATCGGACGACCAATTCCTCAGCAACCTGATACAAAAATATTTCCTGGACAATAAACATAGGTTAACTACGATCCTGCTTCCGAAGGCAGATGTGAAGAACGAGCGGGAACGCGCTGAAGCTGAACTCGTTAAACAAAAAGTATGCATCATATTTTTTCCTATCAAATTAAAATCTCCTTACAACGAACTCCCACGAACCTCAGGAGAAATTCATTGTAACCGAAAATTCGTTAAAATTCTTGGTGCTTTCAGCGTGTAGGACTGAAATTTCCCGGGAAACCTGATTAAAATTAAAATTAAGCCCTAATTAAAATGTATCTGGTTATATTTTAAAATTTCTGTGCAAAAACTCTAAAAGGATTGGATTTACATTTTGAGAAAATTTTTAAATTATGCTCATAATCGAAAAACCTGGGTTTCACTTGATAAAAAATTGCCCATGCCCCATGCACACCTGATCAAAACAAAAATTGACTATAATGAGATTTTAAAGGAGAATTAGTTTGTTACAGCGAAACTTAATTAACTATAATGAGATTTTAAAGGAAAACTCCTTTTATATGAAGAAATTTTTATATTATCTCGATTCAGCAACTGCTGGGACCAAGAAAAGAATCGATTTAATGAGATGTGTTGCGACGGAGTTTTTCTGCATTCGTCTCAAAAATACGAATTCGTCTCTTTCAGCTCGCTAAAATGAGTGCAACGGATAAACAGGAAATATCAATAAAATGCAAGGAATTGCAAAAGCTCAACGAGCAAGTGCAGGACAAATCAAAGCTTCCGATTCTCAAACTAGAAGATGTCGAGGTCGCACAGCCTCCTTGCGACTTGGTCCTCGCCATTGCAGCTGGGGTTCCTTTCCAACTCTGCGCCCTACCAACAAATGGAGTGACTTACTTCCGCGCCATTATCCACACCGGAGGCGTTCCGGAAAAGAACAAAAAATACGTGGCTCTTTTTGCGGACGTTTTGACGGAAATGGGAGTCGAAGGTTTGGACTACAAGGAATTGAATCACGAGGTAAAATATTTTGAATCAAAGCCGTTAATTACGAGGATCAGGAGATATTCAAGTGAACAGAATAAAAAGCACTCAACAAAGCAGCAGATGTCGAACTTTACTGGAACAATCGAACGTTAAGAGCGAAGATTAAATTCATCACTCAAATATTTGCTGATCCTGAAGATATTTTTAAAAAACCCCGCAAAGATGCTCCCCGATTAGCTACCATCCTCGGAAACCGGAAATTTATTTTTAAAAATAAAAGCTTCCCTATTAATAGAATTGGAAACCCCGTTAAAACGCTTTACGCCAAAATTGACAACTCAAAAATGTTCCTGCCATTCAATTTTGTCTTCAATACACCGCCAATATGATTCAAGTTCCAATGAGAGGCCCCCAATGAAAAACCCACACAACGATGACACAATTCAATTCTTGGGGAAATTAGCTAGATATAATATAGGTATTCAAAGGTCATTTTCATTGAGTTCCAAAATAAAGCTAAAATTATCCCATTACACTAGGTATTATTTTGGCTGTTTGATTAACCTGCCACAAACATAAAAAATGAATGGCGGCGACTCATTGAGGTTTGAATAACATTACTAATACTAAAATATCAATTACCGTAAATCTTACATGGAAATTTAATTTAAATTTATCAATTTATTCTTCAAAACATGCTATGTTGTGGAGGTTTGAGGGAGAAACCCGTCTAGTAAGGGACGGTTCTGATGCATTGCTTTCAAGGGGATTCAGACAGGGACTTCAAAAAATATGAAATTTGCATTTCGACTTACGGAGGTTTGAGTTATGGATGTTCATCTGTAATAGAAAATCATTTTTTTGTATCTTCCATTTTTTCAGGTTATGTTACGGACAGGTGGTTTGCAATCTACGAGTATTGTCCACTCAAACCCTCTATTTCCGGATTTGGCAGAACAAACCCTACTGTTGGGCAGCTTCTGCCTGAACCGCAACACGCAACAAATGTTCGAAATCTGGAGGAGCATTTTCACTAGCTTCAAGCCAACGACAGACCGACTCAAAAACTTGGTCAAACAGGAACTCGCATCCTTCGAAAACAGTTTCATTAGCGGAGCGCACACTTTAGCACTCATCACGGCAGCAAAATCCATGTCCGCCTCGGCCGCCCTCAACGAAGAAATCATGGGACTACCGTATTTGAAATTTCTCCGGGAGATCAACTCGAGTGAAGAGAATCTCCAGCGGGCGGCAGAAACTTTAAAGGATATTTGTGAAAAGGTCCTCGATCCGAGATCAATGACCTGCGCGATCAACACGAGTCAAGATTTTATGAATGATGCGCTGAAGCTCGCGGAGAGATTTGTTGGAGGGATCCCTGCTCCTTTAGGAAGAAGTGGTCCCGGCACGGATATAATTTCGTTACTCGGAAGATTAATGGAGAAGAAAGCGGCTACTGATGGAAAACGTGGTTCGCAAGTTAAAGTCGAAGCGACGTGCAGGTACTGGGGCGATACAATTATTTTTTTAAATTGATTCAGGGAACTGCCCCAACTGCCTCGTTGCACCTCACGTGAGGCATAAAAATACTAACGTCATACATCATGAACGATAGCGCCCCTCGAAATAATCACCTGTTCAGAAGGGAAACCGATCTTCAGGGATTAAGTGGCTTTGAAGCGTCTTAAATTATTACTGCAACTTGAAATTTTAGAGTTTTTTTACATTTAAAATCTTGCGCCAAAGGCACGAGCAATCTGATCGAAACGGGTTATGCCTAAATTCTACACATATAATATTTTCCCGTTTCAAAGAAACTATTTGAAGATAGACTCGATAGATTTCTAAAAAACTTTAAACAATTGCCATGAAACGAGAATAATTTCAGAAAAAAATGTATCATCATTGATCGAATTGACGAACACTAGCTCACCTATGTTCATTTGCGGATCATGATGAATCCAAAAGTATAGTATAATCTCGTCACAAGCAGCTTTTTTCCATTAAAAAAAAAAGGTGCTGGGAACAGTAAAAAAGCTTCGTTGTAGCCGAAAATTTGTCATAAAGGAACTCTTTAAACCTTGTGGCTATTGGGCAGAGAATTTGAGAACGACTTCGTTGTAATCGATGAATCGTTATACCGAGGTTCTACCATGAAGAGAAATGACGAAATTTAAAAATTTCCCTATGTGTTAACTATGAAGCATTGCGAAATTTAACTCCATCGTGAATACGCATGTTTCCTTATATTGAATGAAATGATACTATTGATTGATAGTTCAGGGGTAAAATTTGACCAGCTTTTGAGGAAACTGAACGCACCGTTGAGCTGCTCAACAATCCGTATTATAGTACAGTACTGTATTGATAAGTGATGAATGCAGAATTCTGGTCGAAACTTCGAATCACAATCTCGATTGCTACGAGAATATTACTGTATATCATAGGCAGTCTCAAGTTGTAAATCGATCATTTACCCTTTTTAAAATACTGTACTGTATTCCAAAATTAAATGAACTTACGAAGTTTTTTTCCGTAGAAAAACAAATATCGTCATGCACACTCCAGTATACTGGTCTGCAATGGCAGTCAAGGGAGTCGATTTCATGGACAAAGATTTCTCGTCTCTCGAGCTTCTCGCTCAGATTGTTGAATGGAAGTTCCTCATGCGGGAATTCCGCGAAAAGCGGGGCGCTTACGGAGCTGGTGCCCGAGTTCTTCCCATCTGGAGAATCTTCGCTTTCTTCTCATTCCGCGATCCAACAGGGAAAGCTGCGTTCGACATATACGACAAAGCTATCGAGTGGGCTTTGAGTCCGGACTCCTTCAATGACGACGACGTGCACGAAGCAAAATTATCCGTTTTCCAGGTACTCATTCGACATAAATTGAAGTGGTTCATTATACAATCAATGAGATTCGAATGATGATTTAAGGCCGAGAACGCGCCTCAACCACCCGGAGCTCGAGGAATGGTTCGATTTATTCGAGGCATCAATGACGATGTCAGAACAACACACAAGCAACAACTGCTTGATTTGACGAAGGAAGACATCCAACGGGCAGGAAGAAAATACTTGAAAGATCGGAAACAAACCGGCATTTGCCTCATGGGTCCAGAAGTGGACAACAAAGACGGAGACTGGGACATCATACATCTCGACTAAACCATTTTCTACTTGCACTGAACACTTTACTCAACGCCCTACTTGTGTGATTTCTAATTATCAATTCCTCGTGCAGTTTTCTATACTTCGTCGTGAAAATTTTGGATTTCGAATATATTTTTACTCGGTGACTAAGGGCACAGCGAATTGACTCTTCAATGAAGATGACATTCTTGAAGATGACTTTAATCAAACGAAATCAACGCTAACTCTTGACCGGAAATGATAACTTCTGTCAAATTCAAACATGTCGAATACCATTTTTACAAGAGTACCAAATTAATACTGGATTTTTTAAAAATTGGAAATATTAGAGGGGTTGTGCGTCATAGGCGGATATGACATACTGTATATAAAACATACATATTAAGCTTTAGTGCACCTCATACAGTATTCGATGACACGAGGGAATTTTGAACCAATTGCAAAAATTTTAAAAATGGAAACGATACAAATTAAAATTCTATTTGACTAAAGTGCAAGTCAAAATGTAATTCACGATACCTTCGATCTTCAAAATATTTCAATTTCCATTCTTCATGAATGGGGTGCGCGTCATACTTGGGAATACAATTTTATCCAAATTTTAGATCGAAAATTCGGGTGTGCGCCTCATCTAAGGGCGCGTGGTACTCAAATATACAGTATACGGTAATTGCTACGCAGGAGAAATGCTTTCAATTCCAGTTTTAAATCACAGTTCAAACGCAAGCAGAAATGCATTAATTTTTTTTATACTGAGAAGGAAAAACATTGAGCGATTGACAGCCAAAACAAAGCAGATTCCTTATCAAAATGGAAAAGGCATGTCGATAAACGTCAAGAATTACGAATCCGTTCTCGTGCAAGAAGGCACTAGAACTTATTAATTCTTTAAAAATTCACCACTAATGAAGTAAATAATTTTGGTACTAACCTGAGCGCTTCAATGATGGATGGCGAAGGAACGCGCTTTTCCGACGCTGTCTCAGCCACGATCGGCTTTGGTTCTGGAACCATGGGCGACGAGAGTCGTGCGAACAATGACCACGGTCTTTCAGAGAACGTTTTCGACGCAGCTGACTTTTGCTCAGAGCTACATGATTCAATAAAAAAGCGTTTACAAGTCTGAAGATAATTGTCCGAAATATGTGTGATCTGGGAACTTACGAGCATCTTCCGAATGGCTTTAGCCTATCCCACAAAGCAGCAAGGAAGAAAATGTCGAAGAAAAAAATTTACGAGTTAAAAACTTGTGAGTTGGCTGATTTTCATGCGCAACCCTATGTTAACCGTGTTCACAATATTTAAGACAAAAATGAAGTTTGAATCATATGATTTTTCCATCAGAGTTGTCCAGAATATCTAGATCTTCTTGTTTTCTTACTTATTATTTTAAAATTTTGAAATCAAGGACTGAAAAAGAAAATCCAACTCACTAATAATCGATTCCCTTATTTTTCTGCAAGGTTCCGCCAAGTTTCAATAGAACTTCAATCTATCTTTTCCCAATAATACACTTTAATCATGTCCGCAAAAGGTACTGAAGGTTCAGAAGTCTTGATTTCACGTTTGAAAAAGGTTGGCCCCGTTTCGTGAAATGATCCACTTTTTAATAATAGAGCGAAGTGAAGAATAAAGACAATTTTTAAAAAATTGATATTTTGGTTTTCTTTATTGGCCTCGCAGGAGGTTGGATAATTTTGATTCAAAAACTCAAATAAGACTCTAAAAAATTTGCAAACCATCCCTGAAAGTCTCTTTTGCGTAAGCTGCAGAAGCTAAACTCTCTGGAGTATTACTGACAAAAAAAGCCCTGAAAATTTAATATTCATTCACAGTTCGTTCAATATTTTAAAATCAACAATAAAAACCGACGTTATAGCCTTGGATCAAAAAATGTTTTCTCGACTACAGCTTATAAAATTTACAGAAATGGGTTCTAGTTCACTAAAGTGCATTTCCAATAGATCAAACTATGGCGGAGAATGCGTTAAAAGTACAGCATACGAAATCAAAATGACCACGATATTTGAACAAATGATAAATTTGACTACCGTGCACACAAAAATCAAACACCCTTCGTACACATTAATTAAAGCATTCGACCTGAAGCAATAAAAATTATTTACCGTTCCGCGAGAAGCTCCAACGCAACCTCTGCCGCTGCTGTTGTCATGTATTGCGCTAGTCTCGCAGCATATGCTCTGAATTCGGATGCGCATGCAGAGAGTTCGGTCAAGAACTGCGGTGAATGAACGTAGCTCACAGATGATATGTACAAATCCAAGTCTATCGCAGGAGAATTCATGACTTCAGGAGATTCCGCAGCTGTAGGAAAAAAATATGCCGTATTTCATAGGCATGTCAAAATGCTACGTCAAGATGCTTCTCTTAATTGATAATAGAGTTGAAATACTCACTGCCGTTCAAAAATTAATCGAAAAAATATCTTTCAGAATGCTAGAATTTTAGCCAGGAAGGTTTTTCAGACAGCTATTATTAATCAGATCTAAATTCAATACAGCATGATTAGCAATCAACGAATATTCCCAAGTCAATTTATTCATTTCCAAATTTTAAAAGTCAAATTACCGTAGGAACTGTCGATCTCTTTCACAACCACGTGAAAACTGAAAGCGTGCTGCACCTTCGTATCGTTTGCGGAAAACGTTTCTATTTTTTCTTCATTTTTTCCGTAAGCCTGACGATGTAGTCTCGATAACAAGGCCTCCGGAGATTCTTCGGCAAGAGAAACCAATCTAGGATCGCGTGGACCCGTAAGAGGATCATGCCCGACACTGAGAACCCGCTGATACGGCAACGGCTGTATTTCGGGAATTCGATCATAATTCGGACTTTCTATCCCAGAAGCGGAGCTCGTTTGCGTCAAGTCGAGTAATTGCAAGCCACCCAAACTCCCGCCCACGTCTAAGGTGTCCTCTGAAAATATAATCAAGGTTTCAGATTGGAGATACCGGTCGAAAGATTCATAAAATCGAATTACATAAATTTCACACGTTAGTCGAAGACAGAATTATTGCGCACTGAAACCAGATATTCAATGTACACATGAAAAATTTCTGTACGAGGAATTTTCGAATATTGTATCATCAAGTTAATAATTAACGTAATCAACGTACGTAATTTTTTTAAAGTTCAACGAAAGAAATTACCGTGTATGTGTGCCTGTATCCTGGCGCCACTAATCGTAGCAGTGGCAACTTTGGCCGCCAAGTCACGTCGAACGGATCGCAAGAACAAAACATGAAATTGATGAAACTCAAAATTGATCAAAACTTCGGTCTTCTGCGTTTTTCGAGCTCTGGAATCCAGGAATCGCGAGGAGAGTTCAACATCAAACATCCCCGATTCGTCCAGGGGCGCCAGGGTCGTTCCCGGAGTTGCAGTCTGAATTACAACGTCAGGCCTGCGAACATTATACTGTATAGAGTAGAGACCCTTTCAATAATAAAAAGGATACTGTATCTTAAAGAAAAATGGATAAGAACGACGAGATTTCGAGATGCTTCCCCAAAAATGAGGACATGTCCCGACGAAAAATTTTTCCATCAAAAATTCGCAATATCCTTTTTGCCGGTACCGTTCAGCTGGTAGACTGAGTACTTCGGGTTAGACTTGAAAATCGAAAGTTCAAAAAACTACGAATGTCGAGAGAAATTAAGGGAAAAAAACGTTTGAATTCAGTCGCTCCACAAATTTGAACAGTACCAATGGAACACATTTTCTATGAGCTAAATAAAATTAAAGAATCAGAATACCGTGTACGTCCTGTACTAATACAGTATCAAAATTAAATCCAGACCAGGCCTTTTTTGTTGTTTTCAGGACTGACATCACAGAACGTACCTGAAAATAATATCACTGTACTGTACTATTAACTTATTGAGTCGACCATACTTGGGGGGAGGGCGGCAATTCAAGAAGAAAAGATATACTGTATACTGTAACCCGATGTACAGAATCTCAAAAATCGCAAATAGGACTAACCGTTCGGATGCTCTACGTCGCATCTCTACGGAATGAGTAGATCCAATCGCAGGCAACGATGATCTCTTTAGCAAGGCTCCAACTTCCGCAGTACTTTTGTTACCTCTAGATGGTGTCACAGTCTGCTCACTATCCGTACGAGAGACGGGAGCATGGGTACTCGAAGGAACGTCTGTCCCAAGCGTTTGAACATCGCTCGAGTAGATACTATCAACTGAGGGATCAATCCCTTGACTTGACCACTCGAGCTTAGCATTTGAAACTGAATCTCTTCTCAAAGAATTCACGGAATCTAATTTTCAGGGAAAGGATTCGTGAAAAAATGAAATTTTTTCATAAATTCAACCTTGAAACGACTTACTTCTGTGAGCCGCCTTCTTCCCGGCTTGACTGATCATCTGAGACAACCGGTGTGTAAAAGAAACAAGCTCAACGATGGTTTCTTGATTAGCTGCGAACGACCGAATAATTGATTAAGAAACGATAACGTCATATTGAAACATCGCAACAACAAAAATCCCCCTTGAAATGCAGAACACGAGCTCACCTATCATGTCAAGAGTATTGAACTTGACATTTGCCAAAATCACGGTTTTGGCCATGTTATCACTGGGATCCGACGGCACCGAAATATGCACATCGCCCAAAATTAAAGCTTCCTCTCCTTCGACTCCAACGAAATTCCCTTTAGAAAACGGCATCCGTCGAACTTGGCACTGCGGCATGGCGGAAGTTGATGTAGACGAGGCGGATGCAGTACGCGAGATTCCTTGGTGTCGATTTTGAGTGTCTTGTCCACTGGTCGACGATGACGAAGGACCCCAAAAATTTGCCATCCGATTCATCACGTTTCCCATAAAACTAGCGGAGGAATCTGCCGGAGGTATCGTCGAAGGAGACAGTGTACGTTGAAAGTCGGGAGAGGCCGGAGAAGCAGGAGATGCTGGTGAGCCTGGCTCGCTTTGTCGGATGCTTCCACTGACACTGTCGATGCTGTTCAAAAAGAAAAAAAGGAAAATACGTTTATACTGAAGAAACACGCGAACAGAATATTAGTAGGGAGGTGCACGCGGATATTAAATCATGACGGCTCTTGAATCCACTCGGTTTAGCTTATTTAAAATACAGTGAAGTACTGTACTATGAAATTCATTCAGCTTCTCAATTTGATTTTTTTCGAATCCAAAGAGAAATAAAATTATTGCAGCATATTTTCATAAATGTCAAGCAATACAAGGTTCCGCAGTTCACCTGGATTTTGTATCCATTTTTTCACCCCCGCTTTCACAAGGGACACTACTGATCCGACATTTTTATCGCGCACCTTCGAAATCCTGTATTGTAATCTACAACATGTGGATTTCTGAAATTTTGTAAATCTGTGTTGAAAGTTTAAAAAGAAAAAATTAATATGGTTAGCCTTCATCTCATTGGACGATACTTTCTAAATTTTCTGAAGACTCTTAGGATAAACACTAAAACCAAAGCGTTACGAGAAAATTCCAGATAAATCTTGTTACGAGAAAATTCCAGATAAATCATTCAACGAATTGAACAGTTGAGTGTAACTTCTCAATCCTTTTATGGCTCTCCAGAAGGAAAGACGGTCAGATTTCCAATAAGAAAAAATTTGCACGGTGGTCGAATCAGATAAATATACTGTACTTCGAAAATACAAAAATCAAAATTTCCATCGCATACTATGCATTTACGTAAGTTAGTTCGCTATGCTAGGACTCGAATATTCAATATTCATGACATCAGAAAAAATTTCTTCATTCACGTAAGCACACAATTTTGCATCAGGAGTTTAGTACAGTAGATTGACGATTCCTTTCACGGTAGAGAAAGAAAATATATAGTACTGTACTGTATTTGCTTTCTTCTATGATCTTCGTCTCGAGATTTTCTGAAGTGCTCTGTTTTCAGCAAAGCCTTGAAATCCTGAAGCGAATTTTTAACGCGAAATGACTCTAACCTCGACCTGAATACCACTGACGTCCGATCAACCCATGTTTTACCCTGTTTTTTTTTCAGTCACTTCAACGCATCCGCGAATTCGCTTAAAACTTCATAATCTCAGAAGATCGGTTCTAGCATCAGAGTGGGATTCAAATTCTTTGCAAAAGCAAAAAAGAAAGAAGTGTAACTTACGTCACGTGACGATGACTTGCCAGGAGCAGCTCAAAATCTGAGCCGTAGGTCTGCATGGCATCCGCCAGTAATAATTCATGTATTGATATGGTCACGTTCGAGTCGAAAGGTTGCTTGATGAACTCCATTTTGACTCCACTGACTTGCAGTTCAGCCACTGGAAGTCCTCGGCTTTGTACCTGAAACGTAGCGCATAAAAACACAGAACAATCATGGAAAAGAATTAACGTGAATCTGAATATGTTAAAACGCACTTCAAAGGATAACTGATCTACGTTGAACTTCATTTCGAGAAGCACGGACGTGGGTGCGAAATGAGTTGCAATCGGAGAACCAACAGGGGTTCCTTTCGGTTGAGATCTTCCATTTGGATTCGGCAAGATTAGGGATGACGGTCGCGGAGTTGCCGACTCGTCGCCAATTATTTCTTGAGCTTCCAATCCCAAATTAGATACCTTACGGCTTTTTCTGTCAAACGCGTACGCAGAACTTCTTCGATGCGAATTCCTTCAAAAAAAAATTTCAAAGTCTGTGGTCAGGAAAAGGTGCCGCTCTACGTCACAACGGCAACAGACATTGCGTGGGAAATTTCATGAATTCGGAGAATTCCAGCACTCACTCGAAGGCTTTCAATGAGTACAGCACAACTGCCAATGAATAAAGCTTCTGCTCGTTCAGATGCAACATCAGCTTTTCCAAGTTACCAGAAACTGTAACACTTGGGTATCTCGGGTCCGAGGTTTGAACTACTCTCCTCTCAATCTGAAATGAGGATTTCAAACTAAGCATGAGTGCAGCAGGCCGGAGGGAATCTACATTTCAACTATCGTACCAGAAGCCCGATGGAAAATTTGTCGAGAATATGCATCGGGCCATAACCCTGATTCAAAGCGTAACGCCAGGTTTCCTTCGCATGAGCGACGACAACTTGAAGATCTCCGAGCTCACAAACGTATCTAAACCGAATATCCCAAGTCAGAATACCACATGATTCATGGAGCGTGTAACAAATATTCTCGTACTTGTCATAAACTTTGTCACGGAGTAGATCAGTGCTCAAGTCAGCTTCCACTCCAGCTCCCGAACGCGGTTTCGTCTGGGTTTCAGTCAGGTTGGTTTCATCGGCTGGGTCACCTATCCGGAAGTCTACGGAGTCTCGGCGAACGGTCGTCGCCGTTCCAGAATTTGGCGACAACGAGCACGGAGTCAGATACACGTCTACAAAAACACGAAAGAATAGATTCCTCAATATGGTCGATTAACATACAGTAACAGAACGTTTAAGTAAGAATTATTCCTACACTTTTATGATAAACCGGAACCAAACGAACCTGAGCCTTCTTCAGATTCGACGGAATCCGAACGTTCTCGCCCAGCAACTTCACGAGGAATATCCCCTGAAATGGGACGAGACGTTCCACCCGAGGAAACGTCGGTGTCAGGGCGAATATTTGCGTTTGTTCTTCGCTCTTTCGAAGTCACGTTGCAGAGATGCATTTTACCCAAGTCCACAACAACGATTCGAGAATTCTTCTCAACGAAGCTTTCAGGTAGGATGATTTGCGGCGCAACCAAATTTAGACTGATGTCCCAACTTCGCCTAGTTGCCTAAATAATTGAGACAGAAAACATATATACTGTATTAATTTACACGTTGAACACATCGCACCTTTCAGAAATTCGAACTGGGAACAAAATATTGGAAACAATCAGTTCCTAAACAACGTCTTCACTGAACAGAACAAGGCAATCAGTGCAAAGTAAGACTTTTTTCGAAGTTTGGTACGGGAGTGAAAAATGACTTACGCTTTTTCCTTCCAGTAGCTCCACTATTTCCTTTTTGAGCTCATCTTTGGCCTGTTGTTTAAGCTCTTCGTACTTCGCTAAAGCTTTTGAAAACGCAGCATTCATCTGCTCATTTTCCCGCTCCTCATCAGAGCTTTCATTTGGGCATCCTTCCGGAGCGGATATGGGGCTGAGATCTTGTAAATACGTTGCTTCGAACGGGGTAACAAAAAAGTCTCGAACAATTGACATGAATTTCGGATTGTACACAACATCCAGGGATCGTGAAGACACGACAATCCTGAAAGCAATAAAAAAATCATATTTTCGTTCACACTTGAAAGATACTGAATCTATGATATTACTTGAACATTCGTTCACCAGAACCTTCTGGTCTGACTTCGTATAACAACTCAAACAGCTGATCTTGAACGGCACCAGCCTGATTTAAAGCAGTAGCCGTGGACTGCTGACCAGCAGTAGGAAATAATGAAGATAACTTCAGTCCCGAAGAACCACTTGGCTTGAACGATAAATCCCTGTGCCCGATGGGCGAAATTATGCGGGGGAAAATAGATCCCTCTGTCCACTTGTCTTCAACGAGGATGGACTTCAAGCTAACTCGAACTTGATAAGATTTCGTCCGTGGTCTGCTTTCTATGCCCAGTTTCATACTCTCGCACTGGAACTCGCTTATAGGCCGCCTGCAGATATTAACAACAGCACAATTTTTATGAAACTTTCGCAAGTGTTTCAACTATTGCGATTATTATATACCGAAACGAGAAGATCTATATTTTTAATCGAACGATTTCAGAAGAAAACGTGTTGAGGCAACGACTCGCTGTTTCCCGTTTCGAACACAAGTCATCAAAAAAGAATGCGTGCGCTTTGACGGTAATAAAAGCCTAGAACACACGGAAAATATCCGAGACTCACGTTTTGGCCAGATGTTTCCAACGCTTGACACCTCGGGTAACTGTTGGTGGGATGAGGAGTTTTGCCAAAGAGAGGGAAACACGGTTTAGATCGATCTTCGCGCTCAAAAATACAGCGTCTCTTTTGAAGTAAGTTTGATTTTCTGTAGGATCCAACGTTTCTTCTAACGCGTCAAGCAGTTCCTCTTCCAGCGCAGAGGCTTCTTCACGAAAATGTGTCTCGGATTCTTGAGCAGCGGGCTCTTCCGTTGGCACACCATCAACTGCAGTCGACGTATACCAACCGTACCAAGTTGGGAAGACACGCTGAAGAAATCCAGTACGTGCAGCATTCGTCGTTGATGGAGTCAATGATGCACTTCCTGACTCTTCACCAGCACTCAATTCGTCCATAGCAATTTGACTGCAGATAATTTTGAGCATTTGTATATACTGTACTAAGGGAAAAGTTCCGGAACGAGACGATTATGCAAATTCCAAGCAGTACATCCTCATATTTTAACCTACAGTCCAGAATTCTATGTCAAACAAATAACTGATCAAAGTTCTGAACGCAGAGGATCATAAATTTGATTTGAATTCCAGAAAATCTTTCGACTGTGAAAAATTGACGGAATTCCCACGGAAACTAATGGAAGTTCTGACTCAGACTGAGCATTCTACATATTCATGAGAGACCGAAAAGCAGCTCATCTATACACACACGAGGGTTAGCAAAATAAGCAATAACACTAACCGTAAAATACGAATCTCTTCGTACGGCCATTTTTTCTCAACACTTAATTTTGCTTCTTTCTCATTCGTTGTCAAGGACATGGGATCCACCAGATGACGACGGTAAATTGTCACATATACAATTACTTCCGTTACACGTCGCGTCAAGAACTCCATGGTACGTTGCTTTCGCTGTCTTCGACATTTATCCAGATGGCAATTGACGGCAAAGTCCCACCAAGCCTTTGCATTCCCTTTGACCGGCACTTTCGGTCGAAATCGACAGTACTTCCGATTTCTCTCCAAAAAAACCAATCCTTTTAACCACGCGAATATGCTTTGGTATTGCAGTTGTGACAAAGATATATTGATTTCTTCGAGAGATAGGTCACAAGTAACGCGTGGTGTCGCTTTTGATTTCAAAGCGGACGCACTCAGATTTCGTTTCAGCTTAGCTTCCCCGCTTACCGGACTAATCACATAGTCGTATTTCTTCTCATTCGTTTGCTTGAATAATGCAGCCTGTGACAGAGAAGAAATGTTTTTTGTTTGTTTACGAAATGACAAGATAAATAACTTACGGCCAGTTCCCCAAGCTTTTTGTCGCCGAAAAACTGACTGAAGATGTTCCAGTAGAAGGAGAGGTTCTTCAGTTGAACAAGTTTGAAGCTAAATGATGCTTTGTCGCGAGAAACGAATTTCGGAGTCCACGAGCCATCGGTTGTTTTTGCAGTGAGGTATTCAAGTGTAAACCCGAAGGAAAACGGAATCTTTGGTTCAGTGAGTTCGTCTTCAATACGGACATGAACGTCTCGGATGTCCAGCTAACGAAGCCAAATTTTGATGGTAAAACCGTACAATAAGTGATGAATCGTCAATATATGAACTAAATAGTGTAGGTAGACTGTTCTGCTGAAGAACACCTCACAAGCAGTATCAATTCAAACCCTAAAAAAGGGTTCACAAGCAGAATCAATTCAAACCCTCGAAAGTATCAACAGTTAAAAATAATTATTTCGCCAAGAGAGATTACCATAAAATTTGAATCAACGCAAGTCACGCAGAATCGAACCTGAATATTCTCCAAAACGTCGGCCATCAAAGTGCCACTTCCAAACTGGTAATACGAATACGTTGAAGAGTACTGCGAAGTGGCATTCCTCTCTTCCAATCCCGCTCGCCATTCAGCTTCCAACGCGTCTAACAATCCCAATTTTCGCTCCAACGCAAATTCATCCTCAATAGCAGAATCGAACTAGATTGAAAAGCAGACGTGAAAGCCTTTAAAATTTTTTCTTTGCTTAAACAAAGGTAAAGACTCAAAACAAAGGAAAACGCAAAAATGCCACCTATTTCTGGGCACTCAAAGATTGTTAAAATCACAAGGAGCATTACACTTTTTTTTCAATTATGATCAAATTCATTCTTTTCCTTACACGTCTGGTCCGCTTAAAATGCTCAAGATGCTGCCACGATTTTCGCACAGCCTTCAAGAAAGATACGCGAAATGCACCAGATTCTAAACCGGTGATGATGGTATAGGGATCGATGGTATAGGGATCGTATCACAAACCTCATCGGGACTGAGAGGGCAGATTATCACATACAGCTGTTCCATTGATATCACCCATGGCGAAGATCGCAACCGGGTAATAGGTATGTCCAGCTTGACCTTGCCTATGAACCCGGCTTGGATTTTGAAAGGTAGACCCAAGTGCCGTAATGCATCTCTCCGTAACGGTAGATTTTCCAGCTCCAACGAGCCTGAAAACATTATTATACGTTAGTGGGGTTCCTTACGAACTTCCAAACGAAACGGACCTTTCAGCAGAGCAATGGACAGCTGGTCGGTGTTCAAGTTCTCCACGTATTTCCCGAGATACTGATTCAATACCCATGCTGCTAAGCTTTCCAACATTTTCAATTCTTACAACTAACCACATCAGTTACTCTTTCCATGAAGTATCACCATTTCAGAGCAAGGTTTTTCCACATAATTTCGTGAGCACTGAGAAATACAATGCAATCAGTTTCAAGCAGATGTACAATATAGCAGAAGCATACAGCAAACTTCCACCCATGATAGTGATAGATATCGAACGGTTGGATCTAATCACACGCGAAATGAACTGCACAAAATTGTCGAATTCTAAAATACTTTTTATCATCCTCTTCCGGAGGATCAACTCGCCCACTTTTGTGTTCGGATCCTCCTCATCTACACGCAAAATTCAATCACTAATGATGGCATCTTCAGGAACTCCACCAGAGAACTGCTGAACAGATGAAACGCTTGACGGTTCTTGCATGAACTTCGGTAAATGGCCATGCATTTCTTTCCTGTGCATTCTTGGTCCAGAGCAGATCAGTTGCCTTTTCTCATTGCTCTGGAAGAAAACATTCGAATTGAAAAAAGGTTTAAGGCAAAAATTATAAATGAAATTGATCCTCACAGCTCGTCTTTTTTCGTAAATCCACAATGGATCCAAATACGAGATGCCTTCCATCAGACAAACGTCCAGGTTCTACATCGGAAAGAACGATGCAATGAGAAGTCGATAAGCGTCATTCCATGACGACATTCAAATCTAGGTCACATGCTCCAACGTTCAATTCTTTCGAATGTTCTCCAGTTTTTCACCACCGCTTGCAGCACCTTCCTTTGAGTAGAATCTTTTATTTGCTTCGAAATATGGTAAGCGTCGGGTTCAGTGATCATCATCCACCAACCCCAAAACATCTTCAGACCACTTCATCGAGATGATTCGGCAGACAATCGTGCACAAAAATTCCGTTGAACAAAAAACAAATGAAAAAGGAATGAGTGACATAATTCTGAATCCTCGTAACACTGCCGAAAACGTCCCAAGAAATAATTACTGGGCCTCAAAACATATACAGCTCCAAGCTCAGCACCAAGATTTGATTCTTGAGAGTTAAAACGCACTTCACTCCCTCTGCAAATTCGGAATCCCCCAAATTTTCCATGGATAACGTAAGAACTTCATCTTCAAAATCACACTCGAATGAATCAAACACCGAACGCGAATTCAGAGAACGCAATTGATAAGAATGGCCACTGGGTCATGAATAATAATGCATTTTTCCGGGGACTGTAACATGACGCTGCAGATTTTCGAAATGCGTAGCGGGTTAACCGTGGGCCACTCATGTGGGAACACCATGACTTCTGGTGAAACTTAGTCCCATAAACGTCAACGGAAAAGAACAGAAGACACATACGAAGACATCGAAATACAGTAATCACACACTCTCGAATACAAAATCCGACATTTCCCTGTCTTGCTCTACACCGTGACAACCATTTTTGAGAAGCCTTTCACCCGTAACCGACTTATCCAAGATTTGAATTTTCAGCGCATTTTCCCATTTCGAACGCAGACTTATCTCAACAAAATAAAAGCAGCAAACATTGAACACGTTGCCAAGGAAAACGCTTTAACGGTCGAAATAAAACCGGCGTTGGAACACCTTTGAAAACGGCGGAAGGCAAATTCCCACTTCAACTCGAATCTAACCCAAGCTACCCCTCGCGATTGAATCAAAACTTCTGTGTCGTGTACAAGTGCCCTTGGATTTTTCGGTGGGTCACCTCTCGTGTACAAGTGCCAACTTCTGACCATGTAATGCGGAGGAAATCACGTTCACTTCAAATGACGGAAGCCATATACTGTAAATTGAAATAAATGAATTGGGAGAGACATTCGTCGCTACAGCTTCCGGCATTCTTCACAAAATTTTGACAACCTGAAATACCTCACCACAGACAGCCAACTAATGCTACACGGCGAAAGTTTAGGAGCACAAACACAGGAAATACGGCGGTGACCGGACGTTATGGTACACTTTCAAACTCAACGCAACTCACTTCCACGCTGCCCCTCCAGAGGGCTGTTCCCTACCACTCCATCCCTCAATGCCAAAAATGAGTGACTTCATGAACTGCGCATGCTTGCAGATACAAATTACATGTTGAAGAATTGTGTAGGAGTAGGAAGATAACATAATATTCAATACAGTACTTTCCTGTTATCTCTGTACCTCATTCCTAGACTGCACTACCATCCAGACAAATCTTTAGGACAAGTTCAAATTACATGTTGAAGAATTGTGTAGGAGTAGGAAGATAACATAATATTCAATACAGTACTTTCCTGTTATCTCTGTACCTCATTCCTAGACTGCACTACCATCCAGACAAATTTTTAGGACAAGTTCATAATCACAAGAACCTACCATTCAGAAACTGTGAATTTTATTTTCTGCATAACCTGACCTAACCTAACTTTACCTAACCACCTCTTAAATATCAAATATCTTTAATTAACATAAACTGACCTAACCTAACTTTACCTAACCACCTCCCAAGTATCAAATATATTTTAATTAACATAACCTGACCTGAACTAACTTCACCTAACCACCTCCCAAATATATTTTAATTAACATAACCTGACCTAACCTAACTTTACCTAACCACCTCCTAAATATCAAATATCTTTAATTAATATAAACTGACCAAACCTAACTTTACCTAACCACCTCCCAAAATCAGTTTCAGCAGAATGCAGAAAAATAAAATTCACATCTGTTGTGTTTATGAATTTGTCCTAAAGATTTGTCTGGATGGTTTAGTGTGGTCTAGGAATGAGGTACAGAGATAACAGGAAAGTACTATATATTTTATTTATCTAAAAAAGGTGTTTTTATATGTGCACTATGTTATGTGTCCCTTGGAGTCTCTGTTTACATTTTACACCGCCAAAGCATTGCAGTCAAAGTCACTCAATGAGAGGCTGGCGCTCCTATGGGTGGCGTGGAAGAGGTAGCGTTGAATGGAGCTGCGTTGAGTGGAAGTTGTACCATAGTGTCGTGTCACGAAATACGGCAAGTCGAGGAGGTCAACTTGAACTTTTGTTAGAAAAAAAAAAGACACCAGGAAAAGGGTAGAAGGTGACTGCGTGCAGTCCGGCAGATGATCAGGATGAATGAAATTTCGGACCTTTGACAACCAAAATATAACCTTCTCTTATCTAGGTGGTGTAGTTTCTCGCCGGACTACCACCTACCACCACCACAATGCAAATATCTAGTCAGCTGATACAACATAAAAGACCATATCTAAGGAATGAAAGCTGAAGTAGAAGTGGTGCTTCTCTTCCTGCCACCGCTCTGCCTCGCTTCCGATAGGCGGTCTGCACGATCAGTAATGCTTTCGGACAAGTGGTTAGGTGTCGCCCATGTTCATGCGGCTGTTGACCTTACTGCAGTTGACCCCTTTCTCGCCGGGGCAGCGATCGACGTCGGTGCAACAACATCCGCACCATGATATCAAGACACTATGCAGTACTCCCATTTCCACAGCACTCAGACTGGCCAATACTGTACTGTACTGCATCCAGCCAGCCAATAACTTGCTTACATGGGTTGGAACACTGCGGCATCTTCGCGACTACCATTGGTATTACTGGGACCTACAGTACAGTATAACCTAATATGAAACTAAAATCTGCAAGGCATTCCAGAGAAATAAATTACAAAATGTAATGTATCTCAACTCAAGTTCAGCTGGTCATGGAGATTGACCTTTCTGTTCTTGTGCATCTTTAAATAATTAAAATGGCTAAATTTTCTTGTCTTTCCTTTTCTCCAACTCTGCTCTGTGTTCAGTGAACTGTATGAAAGCCATGACAAAATTAAAGCAGAGGCTTGTCCACTTTCGACGGAATAAAAGTTTTTAAAATTCTTGTAAGTGTATTGCGGCGCTATTTTCATTTCTTAAGCAGTCATTCACATTCGTCATATTTTCAAAATCAATTAATTTGGTGCAGGACATTTCTGGAAATATAGAATTACCTTTTAAATAAGTAAAGCTCAAGAGAGTTCAGACCAAAAAATTTTTATCAATAAAAATAGGGCAGGGTTCGTCAAAATATTAGGCTGTAAAACTGAAGTGCTTGTTTTACTCAATGGCTCTTGGTGTTTGACTAACAATGATGCAACACCCATATACCCGATGCTCACTTCACTCGTCACATCTAGACACATTCGGAATACTGTCCAACACATAAGCCTGACCCAATTCAATCGTAAAATAAATAGAATACTTGAGTCTAGTACTGTAGTATACTGCATACGAAGTCCACCTAGTTTTTCAATAAATTGCATCTGGACTTTCAGGTGTCATTCCATTTCGTTGCACGAAAAATTTTCTCTTCCCAAGAAGAATTGAACAAGATTTCATTTTATAAACAAAAAAGCGTGTATTCCTGATCATATTACCCCTACACGTCACGGATTAATACCTTTTCATTCAGATAATCCCTTGATGCCTTCAAAAACATGAGAATCAACTACATTATCCGATTTTACTACAGCACAGTATTAGTAAGAAAGGATCTCAAAATGGAACTTACATACAGAGTTGAAGATGTTCAAAAATCCTTTATGCCTCATCATGGTCGATCTGGCTGGTTGTCCGGATGCGCTTGTTGGAAAGGAGGCAATTCGGCAAGAGCAGCATCAATCCTGAATATATTTGGAAACTTGTTCACATCAACTCCAAAGCGCCTGCGGAACAGAAAATTGACCACATCACCCGTCTGAAATAAATGGCACACCATAAAATCCCTCCGAATTACATTCGTCCATTGTAAACTTGGGGAACCAAGCAGCAATCAGCAAGCGTCACGTCATCTCCGATGCAGAATTTCCCAGCTGTTTCTTCCAGCGTTTTTTCCAAAGCTGAAAATTAAATTATTAGAAAAATGCATTCATCCCACCGGAATTCTGAGAGGATGATAATAAATCATTCGTAAAATTACAGCTCACCTTGAAACCCTCTCTCGATGACAGATTTGCACCATGCAGCACGTTCATTTTCAGGAAACGCGTTGATGACACGAAGATTCTGCAATGGCTGTATGCCCGCAGTAATAGTTTCACAAATTTGACGCATCTGTGCGAGAAAATTTGTGTAGCAAATGCATACATGGCATACAATTATAAAATTCCGCACCTTTGCTCGCTTAATCGGATCTTCAGGCATCAATCTTTTATCCGGATGCGTTTCTTCCAAATATTCCATGATGCTAATCTAGAACAAACGATTGCATTGTTCGCGATGGCGTGAGAAAATTATTTTTATACGTCATACTGATTCAGCCAGGATTTCTCCACTTGGAAGCGCAAGGGCAGGGATTTGACCCATTGGGTTCACACGCAAGAACTCTTCCTTGTGCTGAAAATTTCAAGAAGGCATGCTACCACCATTCCACGAAATAGTTTTTCAAAAAGCTCACTTGCTCTCCGCCGTCCCGGATAAGATTGACAGCTTTGTATTCATAATCAATGCCCTTCCACGCCAATACTGGGGGAGAAAATCGTGATCAGGACATGTAGAACAGACAAAAATTCAACTTTACCAGTCCGAACTCTCCATGAACAGGAACTTCTCCAGTAGGAATAAAGTATGAGCTGAAAAAATGGGCAAATCGTAGTAAAAATTTCTGCTTTGGACTATTTGTGGACCACCGCATACCTTCGTCATCTCAAGAACACTACACAAACGTGCAATTCACACGAAGTCTAGAAAACAAACGTACACGTATAACAATGCACGATGCCATGCAGAGAACAACACCGTCCTTCAACAGGCTTCATATAATTCAGATAAAGCTCCAATCGGCTTTGATATAATGAATCTTCAATCTGAAACAAAAGTACTCCGCCGTCCGAGACCATTCATAACAATCCAAAAATATTTGGTACAGAATATCGCATCGAATATCCCTATCATAATCCGTAGCACTCTCACATCATCACATCAAGCTGTTGCAAATCAAAGCAAACGTTCAAGGGTGCTTGACAGAAATCTCCGCAATGGAATGACTTCGCCGCTTCGAAGAAAGCGATCGATGATTTGCTCCTTGCCAAAAATACATCCCGAACGGTTCAACACCATTGCGAGGTTACGCACGTAGCGTTCAAGGCACAACAGTAGAGGTTGCAAAATTCTAGGAATGAGAACTGGTTCACGAGCTCAACTCGGATTCGTGAACAGATCATAGTAGAAATCCGGTAACGTTGTCTTAAGCTGGTATTTTTTTATAAGTTCTTGTATCCTGAGTGTCCTTTGAACGTGTGGCTGTCGGAATCTGTAAAAGAAATATTGTGAAGCATAAGCAAACGGACCTGATTTCATGGATAACCAATATCACTGAAAGAAAAGAAAAAATCTCGGGTACAATGGTACAAGTGTAACAAAAATTACCCATCATGTTCCAAACGCTGACGATGGTAAACATTCAGAGCCATTTGGCGCACTAAAGCTCCTAGGCTTCGTCTGCTTACGACCATTCCGTCGACCATCGGGATGGCGAACGATATCCTTGACGCATTAAAAAAAACTATCAGTATTTTTCGTCAACAAAAACTATTTCATATAGTACTTCTGCATGGCATTTGATTTCAAACGAATGCGGTACAAGCCCGTTTGCTGAGGGTGAATGCAAATTAGGAAGACAGGACGGGAATCTGGCGAGTCCTGCCAATAAGTCGATGGCTCCTCCCCAGTTTGACAAATGTTCACCATTTCCCCGACTGGTAAGGTAGCTGCATCTTCTTGCGTCTCTATCCACGCAACTATTACTTTTGTCACAGGATTCAACCTTCTTTGCATGGGCCCACTTGCCAAATGATCTCCACCTTCTGCACAGCTTTTATGAAATTATTAGCTAGTCATGACAAAAATATCCTTGAATTGCTCACCGCAGCCAGCAGAATTTCTTGAAGAGGGCGCTTCATGGGTCGCTTGAAATGCTTTGACTTTTCCCAAACTGCGACACGACGGAATAACCACAGCAATTTCTTGTCCGGCGTCTGCCCAGTATAAAACATCTTTGGAACCATCCCAAGTGGACGGGGCTGAAGAATTTGTTTTGCACAGCGAAACTTTAGTTGAAGTATTGTCTCCGGAAACCCGAACCGTTCCTTTCCTTGTTGGAGCTAGACCAAAAATAAATAAAAATTTGCAGTATTGTAAAAAAAAGGGGGAAAAAGTGACGGAAAGAAGAACTTGAAGCTCCAGAAATATTTCGAGGGTCGAGTTATTTTTCCTCGTTTCGTTGGCAAACGAACTAAAAGGAATCCAGAGAGCTCTTCTCACGAAGATATAATTCCCGTAGTTTCTGCCTTTGAAAAGGGGACAAAAGGATCTTATTTCCATCAGTGCAGTCTTGAGTGATGATTTCACCAACTGAGGAGAACCTATTACAGTACTTGATGACTAGGGGTTCGCATTTTCTGTTAATTTTCTGCCTCGGAGAAAGACTATCTTGTCGCCAACGCGACAAGAAAGCATCATATTGGTGGTGCATCATGTCGATGAACATATTTTCATCGACATAAAACGTGGAACTTTTTTCGACTCTCGATGCAGATGTTAGCACGAATCGGATAACGGCAACCCCAAGCACAATGGTAAACTTCTTTCAACCTGAATCCGGGATCAAGTCGTCAAGAATGCCCGACTTTCAGCGGGAAAAAAGTCATCCAAGAAAGGGGATATTCACTCATTTCCACGAAGCCATTAACCCTTCGATCGAAAGTCGAGAAGTATATAAAAGCACCCAATTTATTGCAGAAGTCCGGAAATTTGAACCGTTCTTTTCGAATTTTACGCGTTCGCAGATGTAAAACTCACTTAGATGCGGCTTTGAATCATAATGACCTTGCCAAGAAGTGGCCACGTCTCCTGTCCATCCAGAATGTTTCCCGATAGTAACTGGCCAACCAACCGATAAAAGGAATTCCACGAACTCCTTGGAGGTATTTTCAAATTTTTCCTGCCAAACAAATACAGCAAATAACGTTCAAAATGAACAGAACTTTCAAGAAATTATTATTATTCTGTCTGTGGCACGCACAACATTCTGCAGAAATTCCGACAGATCCCTTTGCCCAGCACCGACGTAGAACACGTGCAGAGTGTCATGTGTTCTAGCTTCCATTCGATCAAGTAATTCAAGATCATGCACGAAAATCTCCTCGTCCGCATTCAACGCACAAAGTGGGGGTTGTTGATCCCCATCAGATCGTCTTCGCGGGTCTTCCACCTAGAGCAATTTCACCCAAGATTATGTCACGAGTAACGGAAACTGAGCGTAAAACTTGAATTCGCAGGAATTAATTCCACCCATAAAAGAAAAATTCTTCTGACGAAGTCTAGCTCTTCCCCGCACACATCCGATGCATTAAACGATATTTAATTTCTCAAGTGAAACATTATGCGATAAATGATTGCATTCTACTCACGCCTAAATGAGGAGCAAGCATTTGGAAGCTGGATAAGAAGATTCTAGACGTCTGGAAATCGGAACACAGCGGAGGAGGTACACACTCGGTCTCTGGATTTGGATACTCCCGCTTGTAGCCACGTTTATCGGCAAACGCCGCATCTTCCAACTGAATCTGTTCTTTCAAAATTGTATCAAGCTTTGCGCAGACTCTGGAATTCTTCCCGCTCGACGTCAAAGACTCCAACGACGGAATAGATTTGTCACTGCAAAAAAAATAGAAACATCACGTGCAATAATAGGCTACTAGCACCAAAGATATGTGAGCAAGGTACCCACACTTTGCAAGGGGGAACCCTTTCAACATCCTCGGGCTCATAACGAGGATTTTGATGAACCTGGGAAGACGGTTCATTTGCAGGAAGAGGCCGCCCAGGATTGGAAGATGTAAGAAGCATTTTGGACCCGGATTTGTTCCGTGGCAACAATCGCAGTTGCATCGTCCATGCAAAACGGCCAAATGGTCCTCGGATCAGAACGCTAATGCTCGGTTGCGGGTCTAAAAACCATCAACATGATGAGATGACTGATGAGTAATTTACAGAAAAATCAACAAAACCATCAGCTATTAGGCAGGGAACAAATTAAAAACCCAGAAAAATGAGATCTTTTCCGCCTTCATCACTGTTGTCCGCTTTTCATCGGATTCGAAATGGGTTAGAACTGCACACGTATTCTTACCTTGTTCATTCTTGATAGGTTCCTCTAGTAGTGCCAGAATAGTTGAATTATCCAATGCAAAATAACGGAAATGCTTGACTGCGGCAGATTTCGTAAACGAAAACTCGGTATTCCCCAATTCCATGTGATGACGGCTCATCAACAAATAAGAGAGAAGAGTCTCTTCGTCAAGCTGAGTTGATAAGCTTTCCACGCCGATCTCCCTCTGAAGCGTTCCAACCTAAACAAAATATATTTTCGAGAATGGACAGGTGAATGTATTCGGAAAAAAATCTGACATGGTTGAAGATGTGCGAATAAACTGCTTCCGCAGCTTCCTTCACCCGCATAGACGTTGGGTTGCAAGGCTTGTCTTCTTTCATTAATGGTTCATCACCCGGATTTTCCTGGACATGAACGATACACAGATCATAAGTCGTCAACGCGAATAGCTCCCGAAACAAACTTACGACTGATTTACAGCCTGACAGTCCTAGCTCAATGGTTTCCAAAATTGGATACAAAGTTCCCCTCGCATCAGCTATGAGTAAACCCGGATAGTGTAACAGCCACATTTGCAAACAACGGAATGCAGCAACTATTGATGAATGTAGATCACGGCTGTGAGCTTGTTTTGGTCGAGAGCACTGATTAACGATGAAACTACAAAGCGCCAACACGGGTTGCCTTGCTTCGCTTATACCTTGAAATTTGGGAGAGACAGAAACAAAAATTCAAATGGTGGTATTCGCTGAATCTTCCATCAACAACTTACTGAAATCCGCAAGATGTGTCTGAGCTAGACTTCCAAGTGCCTCTAAAGCAGCCAAACAAACGTTCAGGTTTGAATACCAGTGCTTCTTCAACCGCTGACAAACCCAAAACGTTGCTTTGCTGAACATTGTCCTGGCGGAGTCTAGCGAATGGTTCAAAGAAAACAGAAACACTCGTGAAACAATAGCACACAACCCCTCCACAATTCAAATACTGCCAATTTTTCAATGCGGGAATAGATGAGGAGACAATCATGCTAATGCAGCCGGGATTCCGAAAGAAAAAGCAAAACGTAATCACCAGTTGATGAGTACTCCAAGGTTCCCAAGCTGCTGTAAGGACTTTCATCATCACGCCGAGTCATTTCACCCGATTGCAAGCTGGAGGGCGCAGATGCTACAGAGCAAAATCAATCATAAAAAAAAGACTATTTCTACCTGTTGTATGCCAACGAGCCAAATCTCAAGCTTTCGTACAATATTCGGTTCAACTTTCAAAATTCCCGCACTTCGAAACAAATTGATCAGGTACACAACAGAGAGATGAAACTAAAAAAATTTGCTTCGAGCATCATAAGCATAAGCAATGCTTTCAAGACAAGTCATACCTTACTTTGTTATATAACAAAAGCAGCAAGACTCTACGCCAAATCAATAGCTCAATCTACATTCCGGCGTCTTTGAGCCTTCACGATGACAAAAAATACAACAGCAGAAGCGAAATACAAATGGAAAAATTGAAAGAAGTAAGAGACAAAATAGACACGTTCTATACGGTCAACCAATCTCGCAGAATCAACTCACAAGATGCGTTTGAATAACCTGACTCGTTGTGAGAATTTTCCACTTGTGATGAGTGCACTGCCATCTCAAACAAAGCTGCGTCTTGCACCGACATGCTCAATCCACCTAAAATTAAAATAAAAATGCATGCAGGGTTCATCCTTCAGCCAATTACAGCGTTTATCGAGTCCCAGAATCCATGACTTGTAAGCTTTGACAGAGTGGGAGACGGGAGAAAGCTTGTAACTTGACAGGTTTTAATACACATTATAGAATCTAGATTCTAGAACACCCGTCGTAATAAACACACGGTTTTTCATTCGTACGACAAAGAAAAAAAAACCTGTAAGCTATAAATACTCACCCAGCAACATGGACGTGTTCAATGCATCGCTCTCATATTGCAATGCATGCGTCAACACATTCAGCAGCCGTGGACGCAGCTCCCAGAAATGGACAGGACGACCTTGAATAACACGCCCACCAGAAAATGGGAACAAACGATTGACCGGGAGTTGGAGGAAATGATGGGGCAAAGCAAGAACGGATAAAAGAATGCTTATTGCTGCACGACGTAGCTCAGGCACTGGTACTCCTCCCTTGTGTTTCGAAGCAAGGAAATTCGATGAAAATTCCGAGCTGAAGATAAGAGAGAGAAAATCTCGTTACCCATCAACCGAAACAGTTTCAACAGGCAATCATACGAGATTTACTCAAACTTGAGGGAAGAAATGTAAAAACTTACTCCAAAAAAAAAACGTAGGACACCCCGATATTCGCCTGCTCTCCTTCATAAAATAATGTATGTAAAAGCTGAACATTCACCTGAACTTCGGATCCTTTTCTGAACAAAGCACGGCTTCCACGGCAGCGACAATTTCTGGCAAAATCACTTGTACGCCATCTAAATCAACCCGTAATAAATCCTGCCCATTCATTAGCACACTGGCAATTACTTCACTTGATAAAACCTGAAAATCGAACTAATCACTATCTCCTTTGGTTTCCGAATAAAATCGTCGCTTACTTTAGACGCAAGTCCCTGATTCAGTGCAACATAAAAATGTGAGAGGTAGATTGGCTGAATGTCCTCATGTGTGCGTTTGGCTGAAAAAATTCTGCAAAGGGTGCCCAAAGCAAGAGCTCTTCCTCGCTCGAATTTGTCGGCAGTAACCGAATCCGGCAGGTCTGAGTTCTCATCATTTCCTAAAATAAACATAATCGAACAACCGATATATGAAAGGAAAATAACGCATCATTCGCAAATCTTTCAGAGTACACGCAATACTCCTACTAATGATACAAAGGCGTTTTTTTTCAAGAAGGTTGAAAATAGTTTGGAAATGTATTTCCTACAGCAAGACTAATTCTCCCAGGATCACAAAACCCTATTCATAAATACAGTACTGTACTTTACTGCATTTTTCCTTTAAGATCAACAATACTTCGCCAAGAGCAGCTTGACATAATTTCGTGTTCAAAAAATACTGCAGTTCCCTTCATTTTTCATTTTTCAGATGGTTTCTGGAATGATCTCCAAAATGCACACCATTCCATTTAATCACGCATAACATCAGTACTGTACAGTGCTAGATAACTTTCGAATTGAGAAGGGTTCACAACAACTCACTTGGTTGATGGCTGGGCAATGCGCTGAACTGACTCCCAACTAAGGCAGCTTCAAAAAGCCATGCACCGAATAAATGTAAGATCGAATTGACCTTCGGTCTCCCAGGAAGCAAAGCAATTGAACCTCGTTGAGGTGGCGAGTAAGAAGTTTGCTCTTGCTTGCCAGATGAAGGCCCAACTTGAACTGTCGTTTCGGCCGGAACCGACGTCGTATTGGACACACCCAAGTCTAGTGTTTTCAAAAAGAAAACGTTATTGGATTTGAAATTTTCAACAAAGAAAAGCCCATAACCATTCAGCCCGCAGAAATCCAGGCCGATCACCAATTGTTAGACTTTCTATTAAAAAAATTCAAGTGAATGGAATCTACATATGCCTCTCCATAGATAATGACTCAAATATGTACGACACGGATTTAGTAGGACGAATTCGTGACCATCACTGCTTTTCTACCATACAAAGGGTTATTCAAAAGTTCGAACTGCCACCCAGTAGCAATCATTCGAGATGAATTTACGGATTCCGTCAAGGTTCAGAAGAGTGTCTTCATCAATGGTAAAAAATCTACAGAGAATGGAGGAACCATCACTTTTCAAGATATAATTCTGATCTTTTTCTTTCTTTGTCAATCGATTGCATCCAACTGAAGTCCGCAGCCAAATTCGAGATCATGACTGAAATGAGTTAAAGGATGGAAGGAACCAGAGGAGTGAATCTACTTCTCCATTGACGCTGGACCAACATCACCAAATACTGTACCACCTACGATGTCGCCAAATTCCGCACACTTTTTCAACATTCCTATACTGCATTTCCGTCATCCTTCGGCGATGCGATCATTGCTGATTCTAAAATTTACCGTTGAGAATTATTTATTCAGTTTAAATGACAGATTTTCCGTATCGTCGCCAAATTTTTTTTCACATTTTTCAAGAAGCAGAATCTTCTCGTATTAAGCATTTATAATATGCGGCATTTGCTCATTAATCTGAAAAACGTTCCAATACACGTTCCCATCTCAAAGCTGGGGGTCACAGATCATATGAAGTAGGCCCGAAACTTTTAGGAAGACAGAGCGAAAAAGTTGAAAATTTTTTGGGCGGATGAACGAAAGCTTTCTGCTCAACGTGCGAACGTTTGAAAAACCATCCGAAAATTCGTGAACACAGCACGGTATCTCTATCATGCAACTCGTGAAAGAATAAATTTTGTACAGCAAGAAATTAAATGAATCCCTATGGATCGGGTGCTCCAAATACGAAGAATGGTATGCAAAACCTGATCACAAAACCGGGGATTCTTCCCGAGAGCTTTTTACGCGTCCAAAGCAAGTCGCGTCGAGTTTTACGGCGTCTGAGAAAAACAATCATTCCCTGATTTTTCCCCCCGTAAAATTATGATCATAAAAAATAGCACGAGTTCAACGACTCTGTAAGGGAACTTCCCCTGATCGAGCCTGGTTCAAAATGAAATCATAAGAAAGGGGAGTCAAATATGGGCTCAGCCAGAATAAATCCCCAACGGAAAGGAACCCATCTGGCAACGAAATCGTGGAGAGACCCACGAGCCACGACCAACGGGTGACTCAGTGCACCCATGTAAATGCGCACAAACCAGGCAATAAACTTTTGTTTCTTCCAACAGTGATCCTACAGTACAGAACTGTACTGCTCAATAGAAGTACTTTTTCAGCACGAAAAAAGATCCACAGAAAATGTGCAGGGTGGCAAGAACCAGCAATGGATTCTTACACCATAAGAGCCATTCTAGTCATTACATCTTGACAAAGCCAACAAGCCAGCTCAAAGGCAACGTACATACAATTTTACATTCTCAAGTCAGTTATTTGTTCAATTCCAGTCACGAAAATTCTTTTTTTCTTTTCTAGAAGTGATTATATTTACTGGTTGGGTAGGGTGAAGAACTGCTGGTACAAGATACATTCTCCACATCCTGCCCCGTTGTAGTGCAGTATTTCACTGGTCTATCAATTCAGGTAAAAAAAAAAATTCATTAATAATGCATATCTTTTATTCATTAGAACGGGAAGAAAACTTTGTGACATTTGTATAGGTTTTTTTCCTTCCAAGGTTAGATTAATTTTAAAACCAAGATGGTGCATGCGTATGCTATAAATATAAGATTTGCTAACTCTGATCGCCTTGCCACAATAAAGAAAATGTAAAAAAAAGTTTGGAGAAAATTACTATACCATGATTATTTGATCGAAACACTAGCTGTTGGCAATATTCATTAGTTTATTTTTATACACAACCACTGCAAAAAAAAGAATACAGGCATTACAGTGGAATTAAGAAAATCACGTGCTATGGTAGCATTAGCAAGATACAATTTTGAATTTTATATTTATCCCTTCCCATTTCTAGCTACCCTGGACATCTTCTGTGGACTCATTTTTAGACAGAATAGTTTTTACAATAGAGCAGTACAGTCTTGTAGGATCACAGGTGAAAGAAAACAAGAAGTGTGAGTCTTCTCCGATCTGTGCACATCTGTTTTCCTGCGACGACTGACCAACTCTCTTGGTTCACGTTGAGCCGCCGCTTCACTGGGGGTTTTTTTTTTTTCACGGGTTCCCTCTTTCTTCTGTTCACGAAACCTCTACTCCCGGGTCTATTTCCGTTAGGGACTTATTCTCCAGGAGCGAAAATATGGAAATCGATCAACGTTTTCCCCATTGCTGAAATTGATTTCTCACCGAAAGTGGCCGCACGGGGCCGCTTCGTAGAAAAACGTGATCTCGTATCTCCGTGACCGACGGCACCCGAGTGACTATCCGTAGATGCGGTGGAACACACGGAGACGTTTGAGCCAAAAGATGAGCTCTCCACGAGTGCTCGACCACAGGGCGGGGGTCCGCGAGCAACTATTTTTCAATCAAGTACTGTTTAAAACATATTTACAACTCTGAAGTCGAGTCAGCGCTCTTACATGAATGAATGAATGAACAGAAAGCTTTATTTTCCGCTTTTCAGCGTTCACAAAGTTCAATCAACATTGATTGTTGATGGAACTTTTTGAACGCTGAAAAGCGGAAAATAAAGCTTTCTGCGCTCTTATATCTCAGTTCCTAAACGAAGCAGGATTCGAAAGTACTGTACAGTATTGCAAATGTTTGGATAGTTTACCATGAAAGAAATGCTACATGACTCTTTCGAGCTTAAGGCAGTTTTACGTCGCGTAATTTAGGAACAGTCAATCCAATAAGAAAACCTCAACTGAAGCTGAAAATGCATGACTACCTAAGAACTAATATACTAAAGGGAAATTGCTGTCATATTCTGAAATACGCTCTGCAAGTCAATTCGATTGCCATTGAAAATTTTTCAACAGTATTATAAACAAAAATTGAGAAGCAGTGCAGGAAGACAACGAAGCCAGGCTAGTAAGCATGTCGACAAGCAGTGATGCATCGAACTCGAGTACGAACAATAAATACAAAAATGGCAAAAGGAAAAGTGGGAAAACGGCGAGCTGAGCCGGGAAAAATTTTGGATGCCTAAAAATAGTCTGTCCAAATACGCAAATGATCTCTGAAAATCTTCAAGCATTCCTTTAGACCTGATGAAACCGAGTCGCCTCGAAGTCGGGATCACAAAGTTCCTCAATACATACACATTTGTATATGACTCCAATCCGAAATACATGCACGACCAACTGAGTATACATTTTTGATCAGAGAGCTTTCAAGTGCAGTAACTCTGTACAGTACTTAAAAAATAATGCATCCCTATTCAAATGTAAGATCAAGCTTTCATAAAAACGAACACGTAGGGGGAAAAAACTGCGTCGAGGCACTTATTTCACAGTTCTATTAACGAATCGAAAACAAAAAAAAGCATACACTTCAAAACTGCTAAAAAAGCTGGAAAATTTGGGCTGAATTACAGGACGAAAATTTACTTGCTTATGACAGGCACAAACGATTGTATTGCTCAGAATGCTACAAATATGAATACCTCTTTCTTCACAATGCCCGCCTTCCTTTGAAACAAATTTCATAAATACAGTACTGTATATGCTAATAAGACCCATCTTTTAAGGGGTGTGATAGTGCGTGAATCATCTCTCATCACTAGCGTTCTGCACAAAGAGCTAGTCTGGATTTTAACAGCTCATACATCTCACAAAATTGTCTTCACGCAAACACAGAAATATGATAGCGCATTACCAGGCCCGGGGCTATTGCCGGGATTGCCCCGCGCGGGAGGGAAATGGTTAGAGCCCGACGAAGCGGCTGTTCCCAATGCCGAGGCTGAAGCAGTGATGGCGGCGGACATGGCACCGGCCCGCCGAGGGAAGAGGAAGGCCGTGAAGCGTGCATTAGGCGAAGGCGGCGGCTCATGAACCGAGTTGTGGCTCACGTCTAACGGAGACAAAGGTTCAGACAGCTCCACTGCCGGTCCGAACAGTGCTCTGGTATCCACCTCATTCCCTTCACGTGCAGAGAGACACGCGGAAGCCACACACCACATCATATGCAGAGGGAAGACTGGTGGGGATAGCACAGGCTCCAAGCCAACGCAAACTTCCCCCCCCCCCCCACATTAAGCACTACAATTTCGAACAAAACCCTCATCATAGTCCTAGATTTCTCTACAAATATCATCCTGACCGGTTTACCCCAATCCATGCCATCGATTCGCTGCACTTCAGTTCATCTATTGTCTCCGTAAGTTAGCGATCCTTCACTGTGCATTTAAATCCTGCACGGTTTTCATTGATAAATTAAATACTGTATATCTGCCATACGGCAAAATTTAACGACAAACAATATGAACTCAGTTCAAAGAAGTATGAATAATTACGAACAATTCCCTACTTTTCAACTACTTTTCGAAAATGAGAACCTCAAAAAACGAATGCAGAAATTTCAAGACCTACGAGATATCTTTTTGGCGAACAAGAACAGTTGGAAGAGACCAGAAACCAGCACCATCTAACACTCCCAGCCAACTCAAACAGGATTCATTCTCAAAGTCACTCTGGAAATCTATACACAAAAGCGATCCAATCAGATTAGTGAAACCGTCGAAGCATAAGCATCCACCTTAATAATTTCAACTTTGCAAAAATTATGCCAACCGCTGTTCCCGAGTTTGCCCTAAAAATAACTCACCCAAGAAAGCGTCTACCATTGCTGCTATGCCACCCATCGCACGGCCAAATGCCTCGGGCAGGACAGAAAGGCAGGGATGTTCACACGGCTCTTTCGGGTTGTCCTTTCGAACAAATCAGAAAATACGGTCAAACGAACGAACAATAATCAGAAGTAGCTCGTTCAAGAACAAATTGACTTTAAAAATTTGATATTTTAGGAAATTTCAGTTTTTCCTTCGAATTTTCAACGTCTCTGACTACCAGCGCCATTCAATAAGCGCGGCATTCCATTCGCAATTTGTTCGATATAAGACACTGTAGTCAAGCATGAGATGAGTATCGTTCAGGGATGGTAGCTTTCATTTAAGCATATTTGCTCGACCAAATTCAAGGTCAAACAAAGTCGCGTCGTCGAGCGAACAGAAACAAAAATTCAGAAGAACATCAACGGATAAACTTCAAAAGGTGGAACACGATTCTTCCATATGATCGAAGATGAGTTCCGTCAATCGTTGGGAAGTAAATTCAGAAGACCAAAAAATCAGGGTTACACTTTCTCGGACGGTTGATCAATAATCACCTGAAGTATAGCCCAATGCTTAAAATGCGGCGCATTACTGATAACTCCCACTTGAGTCAACTCGACCGGATTGCCCAGCAAATGCAGCATTCTATACCAAGTTTGCTTTATGGTTTCCTTCGACATCGATACGGGCACCAGGTTTCCGTCGTCCCGGATATCCACCGACTGTACCGCTTGAGCACCGTACATATCCGACAACAGTCGCACAGTCAGGGATAAACAACCTCGGTTCCATTGATCAACAACTGCCACTCTGTGTCTCCAACGCAAGATAACTTCTGCAAACGTTTTCCACAGGACAGGTGACGGGAAGTTCTTCAGTGTCCCCAAAAGCCAGACTTCGAACAGCACACTGAGGACGCGCTCTCCAAGCACGACGCCCATGTCGTCTATAAAGTTAATCTTGATTATCATGAAGCGCATGAACGAAGTAGCTTATTCTTCGAAGTACTTCATGGGAGCAATGTCCTTTACCTCCCATTTCAAATAAATTCAAGCATTATGAAATGAGGGCCATGCTTAGTCTTCAAATTCGAACGCTTGCCTAGACAAGGCGACTATAATAAGTAAAAAAAAGGAGGATCTGTAAGTACTGTACAACCAGGCATAATTTGGCATGAGCACGTACAACTTTTCTCGGAATCTTCACGACACTGAACCAAGCACCTCAAATATAGAAAAGGTGGGCATAAATTTGCAAGTTTTTGATCTTTGTATACAGGTACAGAACTATGTTATTCTGTTTTTTCATCGGCAAATTTCTATCGTCACGTTTTCAGCTGAGAAGAAATATTGAACAGGAAAACAACTTTCTTTTCACGCGTATACCGAAGACCACTAAAAATCGATTCACGGACTCATTCGAAACAACAACAAAAACAAATCTAGGGGACAATTCTAGCACAACTGAATCCAAGCAAAGCTCAAATTATTTTTCATAAACGTCAAAATATAAAACGAGTACAACGACACCGCTGATTTTGAACGAGCGGATAACAAGGAATCCAAACCAGAGCAACACACCAAATGTAACAGAAAGCAGAATCCCGCAACGGCAGCGAACATGCAACGAACCTACACCGAACAGATTACCCTTACTCCCAGACAGTAATAGCTTGCACGTCGAAACAAAGAAAAAGACTTACGGCTTTCGAAGCACCGGCTTTCGGATATTAAGAATGATAAACCTGAGGAAATCAACAAGACGGAAGACACAAAAATAGACACATTGACGAATCCGACTTCATGGGAAAAGGGGAAGTACAGTGGTGCAATGAAGCTGAACAATACTGCGTTCCCCGTTGGTGGAATAGTGCGGAGAAGCACGCGTGTTGAAAGCTGAGCTTTACACATTCTCAACCCGTGCATAGATAAAACCCCTTGTTCTGATACCAGGAAATGTAAACGTACAACATCGAATTCTCCCACGAAAGTACCAATAATACAATGTACCTCAAATCAATCTACGAGACTTACCTGGGCAACACTTTATGCAGCGTTATACGGAATTAGTCAAACTTCATAAATACTTGATAATTTTATAAAATCGAAGTGAAGACGGTAAACGGAGCAAGATGAAGAAACAGAACACGGGCGCGGTCAAGTAATGTAATATTTTTTCTTCAACGTTTAATTAGCCACTACCCACAATACCATTTACTTCGACCTTTAAACCTCAATCGGGTAAACTGCATGAAGTTCAGATTATCGTAAAACGCGGAATTCAACGCTCAGTTCACGGCTCTACGCGAACCATGTGCACAAACAACCCAGTACTGCCAAACGTTATTTCTACAGGATATCAGAGTCGATAATTTAACATCCCCCGGGCTTCCACTGTAAGTCTGGGACTTCAGGGCACATGCAAATTGTTCAGCGTGGACAAGAAAAGCTACCATAGCCCGATCTTACCTTTCTCGAAGGGAGGTGCAAGAAGAGTGTCATTAACGGAAAGCAGTAACAACAACAGCTCTTCCCACAACTCGTTGTTCATTAACAGAGAATTCTGAGCCACTGTTTGCAGGCTTCTGAGTATTCTATGGCACAGCACAGCTTGTTTCTGCACTTGATCTGAACCTTCGAAGAAAATAAAATATATTTGGACAGATCCCATGACAAATAACCAAGCATCGCAAACGCTGCAGTAATTTATGCCAACAAAATCAAAATACCTGTACTGTACACATATTTTAACTGAATATTATGTACCAATCAAGTCGATAACTTGTGCTAATAACAAAGACGTAAAAACATCGTTATAAACACGTACTTTCCCCAGGACGTGGCATGAAGACGTTATACAACTGGTTGATTATCTGGCGACAGTACAGCTCCGGAGCGGCAGACAACGGAGGAGGCACGCAGTTTTTCGGGTTTGGCAGCAATGATGTTAGCCAATCGCAGTAAACGTGGACGCAATACTTGATTGTTTCGAGTTCATTCAACGGCAGAGTTAGTCCATAGCAAACTACCTAAAAATATACAAAAATCCCACACATTTTAAAGAGAACAAAGCACAACCGACCATTTTACACTTTATCCACAATAGAGCCTTAAAATCAGATACAAGTGGACTCTCGACAAAGAAATTTTATTAAACCAAGAAAAATACGTTACAGTCTACCTATATTCAATAGTCTCCATCCAGCATCAAGAAATTTCCCAACTAAAAACTAATATTCTTTTCAACAGCGCATTGCTTTTCACTTCCGAGTCATTCGTATTTCCGTTGAAAAGGTTGCAGTATAATTCCCATTGCATGAGTTTGAACCTATATGCCCTTTGGTACTTCTCGGTAGGAAGGATGCATAAGCTTCCATTTTCCCAAACAAAACACAACATAACCAGGATCGACCTAGGCAAATTAACTCATCATTCAAGAGAACCATTTACAGACGACGGACTCACTTCCATTGTCCATCTGAGGTCCTTCTCGGAATGCAAAAATGAGGACTCTGTACCCATGTCAGATCCAGGCACACTGACGCTGTGACCTCGCGCGACGTGTTTGATGGTAGACAGTGCAACTTCGCGACCCACACCCGCGGGAAACGAGTGAAGAACACTCGAACTCGGTTCTTGGGCACTTCGCAAGCGACCCGTCAGGGACGCCCACTCGGCGTACATCCGCACCGCGGGCATGTTGCTTTCACCAAACTTGCGAAGCGAACGAAACCCGAACGGTGCTCACTCCACCGAGCGGAGTTCGAGAACTCCGGGAATATTATCCTTTTGCTACCATACGAGAAAAATCATAGCATTCACTTCATCCACCAAAATTCAGAAATACTGACACACAAAGAACTGCGCAGTCTTGCTTCACACGACGTGGGACGCAAGAAAGACGCTTTTATAAACGCGCTGATCCGATCTCGCCATCGCCGAATTGCTCTATTTGAATAATCATAAGAATGATCCGCGCTGAGGCGTCCGTTCCTCCAGAGATCTAGAGAAATCGACACCGCAGCCGTTTTAATTACTAAATTTGTGAAAGATGAAACATCAAACTTCGAAGACTTCCATTTAATCTTTTGAATCATTGATCGGAAAGAAGAAAATAAAATATGGAAAGATTAACTGTGGTCCTGCGCTCCGAAGAAAAGATGAGATTATTTCATACATAGTGAAGAACTTCCTGTCTCCTAATGCTCTAACTTCATCCATGTGTAAGAGGATTCCTTCACGCTATACCTACAGTATGCATTCATCGAGAGTAATAATGATTGTAGTTCAAGCGGAATAAAGAAACAATGAAGGAGTACATGGCTCAGTTAGATCACATGCGAAAGAAACGGGGAATGAAACTACAGTAACATTTAATTCATAGTTTGTTCAAGCCATAAAAATTAAGAAAACCAACAACGAACGGCGGACATTTTTACTGTTACAAATGACACAGTTCGCGAAAATAGCGACCCGAATCTTGACAAATTTCAAGCCGAAATGATCCGCGCTGAGGCGTCCGTTCCTCCAGAGATCTAGAGAAATCGACACCGCAGCCGTTTTAATTACTAAATTTGTGAAAGATGAAACATCAAACTTCGAAGACTTCCATTTAATCTTTTGAATCATTGATCGGAAAGAAGAAAATAAAATATGGAAAGATTAACTGTGGTCCTGCGCTCCGAAGAAAAGATGAGATTATTTCATACATAGTGAAGAACTTCCTGTCTCCTAATGCTCTAACTTCATCCATGTGTAAGAGTATTCCTTCACGCTATACCTACAGTATGCATTCATCGAGAGATATAATGATTGTAGTGCAAGCGGAATAAAAAAACAATGAAGGAGTACATGGCTCAGTTAGATCACATGCGAAAGAAACGGGGAATGAAACTACAGTAAAATTTAATTCATAGTTTGTTCAAGCCATAAAAATTAAGAAAACCAACAACGAACGGCGGACATTTTTACTGTTACAAATGACACAGTTCGCGAAAATAGCGACCCGAATCTTGACAAATTTCAAGCCGGAGCGAAGAACGCACTCATCTGGTAAAATTGAAAACGGGGTAAATAACAGATTGACCGTGCAGTATTGGATGGGAATGAATTTGATAATGAAGTATTTTGTAATTATCTCAAAGAGAAACCTGAACGAACGAGAGAAAACTCAACTTCACACAAGCGCAGTATTCGGGCCACAATTCACGAGAAAACTAGACAAAAATATCACTTCACAGCAGTTCAACACCTTCTGCGATTCAAGCACTCCCTTTCCTGTGAAAATATGAAAACAACTGAACTCATACACAGGTCTGTTCTCACAGACTAGGAAAAATGTCTATCGAAGAAAATAAACTTTTCCTTGCGAGTTCACTTTTTATTGTTCGATCATGGAATTTCCTGCGACAAAAAATACATATATTTATCGCAGCAGAGTATAACTTTTCAACGCAACGCCCAACTGCTTGGAGGCCGACAGAAGAGGCGGGTACGAAGAACAAGCTAAGTCTACAGCTTCATCACAGCTTTCCTCGTAAACAAGCCATGAAGTCACAGCAAAACAAGAGGCTTGTCACAAGGCAGTTCGTCGGAATGGTACCCTTTCATACCATAATTAGTCGGTGAACAGAGAAAAAACATCAGAACACGGGGCACAGATGACAGTTTCGGCCATCACCGAAGCATCATGAAGTCCAATTGACAGAAAAAAGAACCGGAATTCAGGAAAACGACGTAAGAACTCGTTGATAAATGAAACATGGAAGTGGAACAGTCAAAAAAATACCAAAGACACAAAATATCCATTAAAAAAAATAGAGATGAACAGGTGCACTGGATTTAATGTAAGAACTAACAAAAGCTCTTACAATACTGCATTTACCGACTTTAAAAATAATTTAAGATGATCGGATTCCCTTCTCAGAAATTGCGTAGACCGCGAGTACCGCTGCAATATGTACTGTATAGGGTGAAGCGCAATTTCCTTACACCTAAGTTGCGATGTCCCGGGTCTTTTCTTCTATACTTTGCTTAATTAAAACACCAACTTGTGAAGGCTGCCCGGAACTTGTTCAGTTAAGAGGCCGCTTAACTTAATGAGCCTTGATCCGTGAGGAATCATTCAAGTAAGTGATGCCGTTTTCGGCGATGGGGACAAATCTGTCCCCGATCTGTACCAGCAGGATGGTTTTGTCAATTAGATGCGATCTACTGACAGGGTTCTGGTGAAACGGAATCCATTTGTGAACCACTGTGCCTTCCATACCGTCGACAGGAACCCAATTTTTCCAGTAGTCACGTCCTCCTCGAAGCCTCATATTTTCGTCGGGCCATTGCACATCCACGCGTCGGCCAAGATTGATGGCATCAAAGACGAGATTGGCATCGGAAATCTTAAATAATTCAAGGGGAAAATGTGCAATGAATCACACGAGAACCCTGCGATGAATTTTGAAATCTGCAACTCGCTGAAATGGGAGGTGCTCACAAATGCTGGAGGAAACATTCTCAAGGACTGATCACTTTAAAATTTTGATCAAAAATCTCTGATGTTTCATATTTGACTCACTCTAACACGCGGCAGTTCCACAGGATCGAGAGATCCATTCCCTTCCAACGCACGTTTCGCAGCCGTCGCCTCAGCCTCTGCTTCTAAAGCAGCTTTCATCATTGACGCAAAAACTTGTATACGCTGCTTCGACCTTTGATCCAAATCTTGCATTGGTTGATTTCCTGATGAACCATTCACGATTAAATGAAACCGATTTTTCTCACGCCGACAGGAATTTGCATCGAAAATCCATGATAGCAGGATTCGCGCATTTCATATGAAAAAATTTATAAAAAATGTTGTTGAATAATGTTTAAGTTATCCTTCCAGAACCTCTGCATTCACGTGCCCGCATCTTCTCGGAATCCTACGCAGAAAGATCTATTTTGCTTGGTGAGGACTTGGATTAATTCTGTTAGATGAAGATTCAGCTAGCTTTGTAATAGCCGCTTTAACTGGATGAAATGCAGGAAATAATCGAATGCCTCAGCACATTTAATAAAAAAAACCATATGCACGGGTTGTTGAAAGATGGATCGCCGTTCTCTCTTCAGCTTCTGTGCCTTCATTCACGTAGGAAAAGTAACGTACTTGGAGCTTCAGCGGCACATGCCAACAGTGGATCACATCGCATCCGCACGCCTGACAACGTCAACGCCTTTTGGCCTTGAGCCCTCGGCCCGGACTGAAGAGCCATGGGTGATGGCAAACGCGGGGACATTCTCCCAAGATCCCAACTCGGCGGGACAGTTGAGCCCGTTAATGAAGTCGTTGTTGCACCCAGTCTGCCAACTTCCCCCGCGGCTTGATAAGGATTAATCATCGATGCGGATACATTAGCAGGCAGGCTGGTTGTTCCCAAACGCCGGGACGCAGAGCCCAGACCACCAACAGTTGCGCCGCCCGCTCGACTGCGACCACTATTTTGGGCACCACCGATGGAAATCCCGAAAGATCCCATAGACGCGCCAGCAAACCTGCTTTCATCCATGTCAAGATACGGTCGTGACGTAGGACAGAACGTTGCCATTGGGATAAAAGTTTGGAGAGGCACGGCGGAGTGACTGCCGCATGTTGAATATCCTACGATATTAGGAAGAAATTGGAGCAATAAGAAAAACAGTTAGATCAATTCGGATATCACGTTTCACAATCCTAGCCACGTCACGCATGCCCTTAGAAAATAGAATAATGTGGAGACCGTCGTTCATCTCTTCCCATGGAAGAAATATTTCGTTGACGCAAAAACCAGACAAAGTATGTAAGAATGTGCACCCCTGCACACTTAAAATTGGATTGCACACAAGGCATGTGATCTGTGGTCCAGTGTTTCAACTAGTTTACAATCAGTCATTTGATTTTGTGGCAAGAAACAGTGCCCTTTTACATCAAACAAAAGTTTAGAGGTTGTTGTCCCTTGCTCTGCTGTTATATTTATTTGAAATATATTTCTACAACTACAAGGAACTGAGTCACTTGTGTGGCTTCAAGTACATTTTAGACCAACACACACACACAAGGTAATATTTGTACAAAATTCAAATATACAACACAAAACGAGAAAAATACAATGACTAGAAAATTGAAGTATATTTCCAGAATTTTGGGAACTCAAGAATTCTCACAAGTGTTTCCTCCAGGTTAAACCAGCTAGGCATCACAATGAGCAATTCTTTATCTTCAGCTTTATCAGGTCAACTCTGAGCAAGGTCCAGAATCCAAATTCCCAGATCCAGGAAAAGAATCCTCCTTTTATAGCTTGATTTCATAGATACAGGGGGTTCACCATTCCACCCAACCCACAGTTGCATGACAATGCTATTATGAACAGATTTGGTCACTTGAGCTTCTGGGGGGATCATGCCACACAGAAGAGGCGGAGTAAACTATCATTAATTTCTGTCCAGCACAGAAGGGGACCATGAGGTAATCTGCACCTCTTCGCACAACACCTGTCACTCTCAGGAAGGGAGAATGCATGACTCCAAGACCTCACAGCACAAACAATAATTATAGGTTACTCTATTGCAAGAGGTTGTGCTGGTGGCATTTCTAGAAGAGAAAGGATATTTGCAAGATTTTCTCCTTCTAGGGAAAAATCCCTGCACCTTATAAAAAGGAAAAAATTAGCGGACAGCAACAGCTAATGAAGACAGTTGATCTTCTCTATTGATTTGAGAGAGTGCACAAAGTGTGCTCTTTTGAATAAGGCTAGACTGGGGTTTACCCTTTGTAGGATAACAAGGTTCTCTTACAAACAATGAATAACTTGTTTTGGTTAGAAGGGATGAATGCACACCAGCACACCATCATAGTGTGAGCTAAATTCCTAATGCAGTATGAAAATTATCCCTAAATGAAGATCATGGAAAAGGAATGTCATCAAGTTTTAATTTATTCCGTGGACTGGAAATGTTGATCTGGTTCTTACACGTTAATTTCCTGCATTCGATTGCATTGTTCAAGATTATTCTCACCCGAAGTGAGTCCAGCAGCTCCGGGAAGATTGTGATTCGTGGCGTAGGTACCTTCTTGGCCAAACGCTGGATCTTCACATTGCGGCATTGATCCGCCGCTTGAGCAGCTTTCTCCACAACGAATTCTCAATCTGTAAAATGAATTGATCAAAAACCGTTAAAACGTTAAAACCTAAAAATAGTCACAATAAGAAGCAGCAACAAACCTTCGCCAAGCATTTAGGATAGCACGCCGAACAGCGTCAAGGCTAATATAGCCGCCGATCACAGAACACAACTGCTCATTCGTCTCAGCATATGAGGTTGTAAGCGGGGAAACGTAAATCGGGTAACCAATCGGTTGATCACAGCTCGAATTGATAATATTCCTCAGCACCTACGTCAGAAAGTAGTACAGTATCGTGAAAATCACGAATAATAAATTTTAAAATAATACAGAAGGAAGAAAATTATCACGAAACAAGAATAAAAAGATCCAGAGCTTATGATTGGATAAGACATTGAGTGAGCCTCGAATTTCTGTCAAAATGTTGCACAATTAGGTGCTTTAAAGCAGCACCATCTACAATTTTTTTTTAATGAGATTCCAAAAGTCCAATTTTTAAAACAGCATGGAGAACTTCGCATTAGAATAGGCTGATCCCGGTACTGATTTCAATTACTCTTGCCTGATGTGTAGAACTTATTTTCTAGACCCAACTTCTGGGAAAAGCAGTACATGAGTAACTGCAGTACCAAAAGACATTTTTTTTTTTACCTGTTTAGCATTCTGTATGGAACCCCGTTCAGGATTTCTGTTGCGCAAATAGACCAGCTCTTGCTGCTGCCCGGCCCACAGTCCACGCACGCACTCACGATTCACTTTGATCACACGAAACGCCAAATACTTTTTCGACAGCATGATCACTCTGTATTCTTCGGCTCCACCTTCGTCTTGGACGTGCCGCAAAGCCAACATATGCGGTTTATTTTGCAATATGGAGGCTCTCCAAATAGGATCCGCTTCATGCGCAAGCACGTACTCCTTGTCGATTGAGACGATGGAGTCGTAAAAATACTCGTCGTCCGTGTGTTCATCCTTGGAAATGTAATGATCCTGAGCAAAAGTGGGAATGGATTGATCAAAACATAGAAGTACACCACAAGAGGCTCAAATGCTGCTCATCTTCGAATACCTGTTGCAATTTTAGAGACATCCGCACAGACGGGATGACTACCTTCTTGACCAAATCCATGTCCGCAGCGTAAATCCATTCGTCGCGAGTAGAAGCCGTATCAAATACTCCCTTGAATAAATTGTGCAGCCCATTCAGGAACATGTCGACCCTAAAACAAAAACAAAAAATTTAGTGAGTCCCAACACATAATTTAGATTAACAAGACAACGAACCCCGCGGAAAAATTTGTGGAATTTTGGCCCAACGTTCGCCTTGCAACGAGACACAGTCCAAAGCAGAGTGTTGCAACCCCCGCAAGAGCTTCTTGGCTGAGTGGCTGTGAAATAAATTTGAGGCGGATTGTCTTCAAATTTTAAGCTAGAATACTTTAAAAACACTTACCTTTGAGCGGCGTGAATTTACGTATTTGAGCCAATCTTGGTAGACATCCAAAAATCGACTTTTAGAAACCCCAAGCAAACGAAAATCATAATCTTCATCAATAGAGGAGTGAAACACAGGATCTAAATCCACGTAAGAATCTTCTTCCATCGGTTTCAGGGCAGCGAGCATGGTTTCATTCGACAACCAGTTCTCCAGCGAACCCGCTTGTAGGACATAGTAAATCAAACTCTGCAAGTAAGAATAGGAATAAAATATTGAACAGGAATAAAATTTTGTCTTCAACAAATTGATACGATACTTGCCTTCACACAGTACGTGACAAGTACTTTTCGCAAATCAAACATTTGGAACATGGATACGGCAGAATTGTCGCTGATGCTATAGCCTTCAACGATATATTTCGTGGCTGTCACTTCCCACGCCAGCCATCGCTGATTAAAAGCAGCGTTCCCGCTCAGCATACGGGGCAAGCGACCCAACTTACAGCAACAACAATCTTGAATGATCAATATACAGTCAATAAACAATTCAGTAATCATGTCCAATAAGTTTATCACTAGATTCTCCCACACAAACAGGAAAAATGGGTTAAATGAAGGAAAGTCACAGCTGAAAATGAATCGCTTTAGAATTATTTTTCTAAATCTCAACGAAGACCAAATCGCGACAAAAAATAAATCTATACATATTTGCTCGAATGTTACGCAAAATAAAACAAGGACGGATTCTTGACATTTGGTAGTATGTCACAGAACTCTTTCTTACGGCAAAAACTCAATTGAACCGAGCTCACCTCGATTGTCCCCAACGCCTTCCACGATCGCCTCAACCTCTCTCTGTTGACAGTACGTTCCTCGGAATTCAAGTCCACGAACTTGAAACGTAACTAACCCGTTTCCCATTTCAATTATGTGCACCAGACAGTTCAAATTATCGGACGCAAGCATGAAAACATCGCCTTGAGAAGTTGCTCCCCAGCGACCGAAAGTCAAATCTCCACACAAAGAATGCTGCAGAGATCGAGTCAGATGCTCGTAAAAAATCGAATTCAGGTTATTGTCATCAGCTCCGGGGTTTCTTTCAACCTGCGAATTAAATGCATCACGTAATTAATTTTCGTTCCCCTGAGACATTCGAAAAGTCACACATACCTGACTAGCCAAGCGAGTATTCGAATGATCCACCCGCTTCGTATTGTAATCACGCTCCCAAAATTTCACAGGGCGAACGTAGGAAGTCAGAAAAATGGCTGAGCCCAGAAAAGGCTGCAAGGGCGCAGATACAGTAGCAGAGAAGAGCCCTTGCAAAAATAGCATAGCCGAATGAGGGATGCTGAACGGTTGGGCAAATGCGTGGAATGCGGATCCCCACGTGATTTGCCACGGCGCTATATACGTTATCACAAAACGCATTTTCAGCAGGAACTCGTACAACTTTGAAAGGACGATGCGCGCGAAAAATAAATCCAGGAGATACGTTTCCGACCTCCCGACGTAGTCCACTCTGAAGAAAAGGGCCGTTAGAACGACCAACAGATACGTTTGCGAGTTATCGCAAAAGAATCCCCGCAACAGCTGAAACAAAATTAAACCAATCCAGTGCAGAATCAATTAGAATTATTATCTAAATCATCATAAGTTAAGAACATTTTTCTTAATTCCCTTAGGTTTGTATCGTAACTTTTTGATGAACAACGACGATGGAAAACTCGAAGATAAAAATAACATTCCGATGTTACATTATTTGAAAGGCTAACGAAGCTCCTCGCTATAAATTATTCGACATTAAAGAAGAAATGTCCCATATGATGTACGTTCCGCGTAATACTATTCGTTTTTTTTTTTTTTACAATGTACAGTATTTGATCCCTGTAATAGACTAAACGAAAAGCGATTATCCGAAAAAATATCCTCTTCGGTGGTCTTGAATTTATCAGGTTTTCAAAATACTGTAGATTACTTCTGGAAGCGGTCTTTCCGAATGGAGGAAATCTCACTGGAACGAAATAAATCCATCAACGGAGTATCACTGCACTACCTTGAAATTCTCAAGTTCTCGCGTCATTCCTGAGTAGCCACAGTTTACGACAATAGAAATAGTGAACACAAATTTATTATGCAAAATAAGGTCACTCACCTTCATCCCAGCGATTGTAACGATCAGCGCTCCCCATCCGACACCGAATTTCTCGGCGATCGTCGGAGCATCAGCAGTAATCGCTGATAACGACAACAACGTACAAAGCACATACTTCTCAAAAATGCACAGCCATACGTAGATCTTTTCAGGCACAATAATTTTTGCTGGCCCAGTAGCCTCCCACTGATGGTATTCAGCAGACTGAAACAAACGATTAAAAACGAGATCATCCTAGGTTTTTTCGTCAACTACCAAATCCAACAAAAGCGATCTGGAAATCTCGATTATGTCTCAAGTTAGGAGCACATAACTGGATGATTTGCAAAATGTATCGAGATAGAACCTTAAAAAGTAGTAATGCACACCAAAAATACGTATGATGACACAAAAATCCTTCTAAATTTTAGAAGAGATAGACAATGAGGTGAACGCTATATCAGATGGCAGATCCAAAATCAAAGGACTGGTCGAAATAGCAAGCGTACTTACAAGAAAAAAGGGCCTCGAAAAGCATTTCCACGGCATCTCCTTACGAAAATGCGGCAACAGGTAATGCAGATAGAACCCGAGAGACCCACAGGCAATCCACATCGCTTGACCGAACACGGGCTGGGCAGCAGTGAACAACGTAGAACAATGTACGGCAAAGGCTAATACACCAAATATCAGCCCGATCACCAAGTCAGAGGCGAATCTCTTCGACACAGTTTCTGCCAATTTGGCTGGCAACGGATCCACCAGATCGTCGTCTTCACTATTCTCATTTTTACAGACGTCTCCCTCAGGCTTTGGATTTTTGTTTTGGCGAACTTCTCCGTCTTTATGTTTTATATCAGCCTCACTGGTATTCTCCAAATCGTCTGGCTCAGGTCCCATCCAGATGTGACTCTTGACGAGCTCCCAGACCACACCCGGATCGCTTGAAAGACGGCTTAAATGATAAGAAACAGCAACTAGGAGTCCACAAAAAACAGAGAAGAAGATGTGCTGGGAAGACTGTGGCTCTTTGAGACCCGCGTAGGCAAAGCCGTACAACGCGGCTATTCCAGCTATTGAACGTATCACAACGTAACACGCAGAGATGAGGCCAGTTGAAGCAGTTCCGCCAAAATAATGAATGTCTACTTGCTCCAAGAAATAGTTCGCAAATGTGTTCACTTGCGGAAGCAGTCCAAAGCTGAATATCAGCGGAAAACACAATATGAGCAACAACACCGAGTCTCTCATCAAGTCCACCGTTCTGTCCACGTCAATGTTGAATCCGTAGAGAACGGCACTGTTTTGAGTACCCCAAGAACCCTTGTAGTGTTCCAATACAATTGCGATAGTGCAACACATAACGAAGTACACCGGGCGTGAGAAGACCACCATGGGATTGTAGCCATGCGTCGGAGACGCTGCGTCCGGTTGCACGCTCTTCACAAGCGAATATTGGCAGCTCGCAACGACGAAACAGAATAATAGGATGTTCAGGTCGTGGAATACTCCGCGAGCCAGTAACAAGGCACACAAAATTGCCACTAAAGTTGCAAGTCCAACGCACGCGAAGCCTTCCCACATGGTTTTGGAGCGGTCTAACAAGGCGATCAATTCTAACCTGTCGGTGCGCACTCGGATAAATTTCCAGGGAAAGATCCAGAATTTGTAGTATTGCTTCGGAGGACGTACAGGAATAACGCCAGACGCGGTTGAGTTGTCGGGCACACTCCTGTTAAAATCATACAAACTAGGCATTCTACCTTCAGCAACCAATCGGATTCCACGAAGATTAGTTCCACCCGTTTCGCTGTTCGACGACTGATTTGCACTCGCAGTGGCTGCTGCTAAGGAAAGTTGCCAGAGTCTTCGCCAATCTGGGGCGATACTTGATTGTAAAGATGGATTTCTATTCGGAGTATTCACAAGTTGAGCTGCTCTCAACAATCTCAGCTCGCCAGTAGTGATGGGATCACCACCCCCAGATAAACGTTGAGAGAGATGCGCAGTAGTAAATTCCGGCGCAATGTTCCTACGAGATCGGCTAAGAACGGCCAACACTTCCGGTCCGGGAAGGATCCGGACGGGTGGCTGACTTCGATCTCGAGTTCCGGTGAATCGGGCTCCGCTTTGAGGTAAATGCTTTAGATCCTCCCCTTCCCCGTTTTTCCATGTCCAACCAACTTCTTCGTCTTCATCCTCAGCCTCATCCTCGCGTTTTGATTCATCTTCACTGGACCGCGACGACGACAAGGGATACAAATCACTCTCATCGCTCTGCGGTTGTTCAAGAGGTTGGGACGGTCCGGCAACAGTCGTAGCCAATTCATTCTTTTTGCAATGTGCTTGAATCGCAAGAAATGCATCCGCAGGAAGAGCCACACCAAAGCCGCTCTCATTAAACGTATACGCGACCCAGTTTCCGAGCTCATCCTGGAAACAATGCACAGCTCCTTCGGAGGTATCTTCATGAGAACGCGCTAGGTGGTGCCCAGGAATACTTAGTAGCGGATGTACGGCTGATAAGGCTGAACTCAAAGAATTTTCCGCTTCTTTTGTTGGAGCAAATTTATCCGTCTCCACTCTCCTGGGGAAACAAGACGGAAGCCATGATATAATGTCCCTTGAATCTTCGGGAACAAGAGCAGCACGACGAACACAATATCCTGATTTCGATTTAAAATGTTGTACAGATAAGAATCTGCAAATAGAAGCCCCGTATTCAACAACACGATCTCGTGAAACTGAGCGCAGAATTTTGCGGAGATGTGTTTCAAAATTTCATTGAATGCAGTAATGCACACGGTTCCTTTTTTCACAAGGGGAAACTCTGAAATATGACCATCCATTCAAGATGGTCATAAGTGTATGTGTATACTGTTTCACTTGGATAACTTACAAATGAGTTCATTTCCGAAAAATGAATGACCAGTGAGGTTATCGATTGAGGTAGAATAAACCAAATTAGCTAAATTTCTGTGTTCAGGAAAGTACTGCACATCTTAAAAAGGCATCAAATTTCACGAAAACCGAATCCGTTTCAAATTCTGATGAAAGTTATAATTAAGCGTTAACATCGCAACCTGATTCGTTCCATTTTACGGGAAGAAAGAAAAGAGAACTAAAATTTGAAGTCCTTTTACATGAAAATTATTCCTACCTTGCGTCCGCCGCTGCTTCCGCGCGAGGATATACATGCGCCGGCGGCCTGGTATTTAGTTGAGTGATAGGACGCCTTGCGATGCCGAAAGAGCTTGAAGAAGGACCCGCACTATCACTCGATCCACGGGCGCCTTCTTCGCGTTTTCGGCGTCTTTGGGCTCCAATACGTCGAATACCGGTATTGCGAGAACCGCCAGCGCCATCAGGATCATTCGGTTCTTGTCCTTGAGGCAGTTTTTCACGAATACATACGGCTCTCAACCCGGCTTGTTCGGCAGCACACTCAACTTCTCGATCCATGAGATTATCACAGAAGAAACGTTGACCATCAGCCGCCTGGAAGATAAAAATCCGTTAAATCAACCTTATGATTTTAAAAGTTCCAAGAATTACTCCACTATCTGCCCAAAATGTAAGACAGAAAATCTCGATCCCTTCGTCTTTCGAAAAGCGAGCAGAAACTTTTGATTCACTCCAGAAATCACCGGCGTATAAAATGAATGAGAAAAGGGTAAGAAAAAGAAGTATTTACCCACAGTCCGTCCGAACCTGGCAGTACCTGCGAACCAGGGTCGGTGCGATCAACGCAATGCCTCCAGATCGGCACGTTTTCGTAAATGTGAGCTCCGTCAGAGGGGTACCGCGAAATTAGTGAAGTTCCCTTTCTAGCCGGTTGAGCTGCAGCCCCGGCGAACGAATTCCGCCCACGAGCTCGATGATGGTGCCTTCTACCACGCGACAAATTTGCCTCCAATAGTCCCATATGTGGAAACGCACGGTTACCACGTGCACCTGAAAATACATGATTCAAGGCTTTTGTTAATATTGTCATCCCTTCAAAAGCAATCAACAGTAAAGTGAAAGGCGAGCACGTTCATAATACAGTAAAAGCTAGTTACAACAAAATTATTTTCCAGTACTGTACAACAAACTTTTTTCGAAGTCCCAGCAGAAATCCTGTAGGGTACATGTTATGAATATCTTGTTACAACAGACTTCCCAATTCCAGTACAACAAACGTTTTCGAGAAAAATGTTGCCATTTTCCTACTAAAAAATACCCGATGAAGGCAGGCACAGTCGAATTTCTCATGCAAAGTGTGAATGGCCGGTTCTTGGGGCATAAATAAAGAGGGGAATCAAAGACAACAAAAATTTCACCAGAACATCCTCCTTTTCATACATTTTTCCTGGGTTAGGAAAAATGGGGGTTGGATGAAAAAGGATCGACCCAGCAAAACTCATGTTAAAAGGGGTGCAGGACTTTGTTTGAATACTTGAGAAACTTAACTGATGCCTACAACTGTAAGCCTTTTGGGGCCACCCTTTCAAATATGTGCATGAATTGCATTAAAAAAACTTGGAAGTCCACAAAAAGTGCTAGCGTTCAACTTTTATTGAGAGCATTTGTTTGTTATTGACATTTGAATTTATTTTTCAAGATCATAGTTTCTCAAACATGGATAAACATCTGAGGTCAGAGAAGGAAGATCCAAAATAAATTCAGGTTTAATATAAAGCAATCGTCCCAGTCAATCATTGTGAAAATCTTTTTATAACAAATTATCTGTTCAAACAAACTTTTTCTGAAGTCCCCAAAAGTTTGTTGTAAGGAGATTGTAATGTCGTCAAGTACTGTATTCCAGTTACACGGGCTACTGACTAAATGCTCTTGAATGGTTCTGGGTCGGAAGCCACACGTGCGAACCCCGGTCAGTTGGCGACTGGCGAGTGACTGACAGGACTTCACACGAGGGCGGCTGCCCAGTCACGCCAGTTAATCAAATATTACAGACAAGGAGTATTTCATCAAACGTTCAAAAGATTCAAAAATATGTTCCTAAACATGTGAATACTACCCTGGAAGTCTTCAATTCCTCACGCCGATAACCGAAAACTATCAAACAAAGAAAATAAGGCACCTGATATTGAAATAACTGCACGAAGGCATCTTGTACACGGTTTTATGTAGTTTTGCTGCCTTTGTTTTTCGACTGATGCCTCGATATTTTTTTATGGTCTCTTCAGATACAATTTTCAGATTACTAAGGAATCCTCCGAATTTTTCGGAGTTTTCCGAAGTACACTTACGACTGTCAGACTGATGAGCATCTTCCATCGACGCAATGATTTGCGGCGGATTCCGAACAGTTGATTTTGGCCTAGCACCTGAAACATTGGCCCCTGGAGCACCCGTTTCCACACTACTAGCTGTAGCTGCAGATTCATCCTGGGTATGGGAGGGGCCCGCAATCCAGCGCAAAATGGAAGGTCTCCTCACGTTGTCGACATTGTTTGATCTAGTCGAGGTATTTCCAAGACGGCAAAGCATTCCTCCTTCTTCTTCACTACACGTTTCATCTTTGCGATTACCACCAAGTAAAGGAATGCTGACGCCTTTTTCTCCGGGGCTACTGGTTTCACTAGATTCATAGTCCTTGTCCGCCACAGCACCTTATGAGAGAATGATCAATATTTTAAATGCATCAAAAGAAATTATTTGCCAAAAATTGCTTCTGTCAATAACGGCAGCGGTGACAATAAAAACTTTTAGAACGTGAAAATCTAACCAGTAGCCGATGTTTCGGGAAACAGCCATGATAAGCTAACGCTATTCACACTAGACGTTTCTTCTAAATTATTTGTCAAATACAGGTTCCTCGACTTGTCCTTCGTCTCTCCGCGTTCTAGACCCTTCTCGGTTGCATGAATCGGAAAGGTTTCGCCTTGTTTGGGATAATGTTCTGTTTTCGGAAGAGAGTCAACTGATCCTGAAATTGAGAAAAAGAAATCGGTCAATATCTAGAGCGAATTCACCCAAAGTCGCCCAAGAATATAAATATTTGGAACAATTGAACTAGTTTCGCTCAATTTTTTTAGGAGGGTAAATTGTGCATCCCGCATGCATCCATTTCTATGCACCCCGAAAAACTCACCGAAGTAAACTCGACCGTAGTTTGCCCACGTATCGACAGAAGCAGATTCCTGTATCACACCGCCCCTAACAGCGCCGGTAACGTGAGCCTTCTGCTCGAAGTGATCTCGTCGTGGCTTCATAGAAAGACTGGAATCCGAATCCGAACGCCAAAGCCGCTGCGAATCACGTCGCAGTGAAGCCGAATTGGGTTTGATTTGTCGGGGAGGCTTCGGAGGGGGATCCCTCGAATGAACTGAGTCTATGCTCTTCAGAGATGGTGAACTATTCGGTGGCGCAGGACTGCTTTCTGTTATTGGTCCGATCGACGGCTTCGGTCGCATTGCAAGACCATTGTCACTTCGTCTTGTTTCCAGGGAACAAGCGGCAACCGCGCTTTTTGTTCGCCGCACTTGCTTCTCCTTGTCAAATCGGACGCTCTTTCCATCTAATTTTACGACGAACAGCCGAGATTTTAAGACGAAATTCGAATCTAGCGTTGTCAAGAACAGATCAAGTCTATACGGTAATTATAAAATATTTCCAGATTCATCGCCCGGGAACGACAGTAAATCACGGCTAATCTCGGAAGTCGAACCTCCCTACGTCAAATTTAAAGGGACCAGCAAAAAACAATTTGATTTAGGGAGGTTTTGAGTTCAGACATTTGAGTAATGGAACCAATAATGTTTGTTGCGGGAAATATTGAAGAATTGCACCTAAACTGTAAATGGTGACATTCTCAGCATTAAATTACTTCTAAAACCAGTTGACAGGATGCTGAACTCGGAGGCAGGGGTTCATTTGACCAGTTTAGTAGGTCACATCCCTTCAAAATACTTCAGATTCAGGTTTTATTCCTTTTTTTCTTCCTCCATCAACAAAATAATAACCCAAAGGCCTCAGAGAATTCGACTTATTGAGGCTTTAGAGGATAGCCTTTGAGTTCGGGAGGTTTTTGATGCATTAATTCTAAGGGAATTCAGACAGGGAAATAGAAATATTCAACTTACGGAGGTATTCGAATTGAGGAGGTTCAAGTCTGACACAAATCTGAACTTTTTTGCATTTCAAGTACAGTACACTGATCACATCATTTTCTTCAAACTTGGACTTCCTTGCGAAGAAAAAGTTTCTCGCGGTAACTTAACGCCGATAATGAATCGCAATTGGGGAAAAAGTGATTTGCAGTTTCACGTGAAGATATACTATCCATTACCAACGATGTTTTCCTTCATAATTTTGGGATTAGCAACAAGGAATATGGAGATCATATGGCTCCTCGTATATTCACATCCTCACCTCTCACAGAACCCATCAAGTCTTCAATCATGCTCGTCAGTTCCAGTGACCCTCCAGATGTACCGCGGAGAGCCACGGTTGAATGTGACGCCAGCGTTGAGCCTGGGAGACTCTGCGCAAGATTGGACATGTTTGAAAAGCGGCGTCCGGCGACAGGTCTCCCATCGTTCATTGATACAGACATTGAGGCAGAAATCGATGCAGATAGACTTGACGCATCAACAGAATTCTACGGAATAAAAATTCAATTGATGAATAATATACATTTCATGCCTTCATTAAACCCATACTTCAGATGGAGCAATCCCATGAGATGGTGAAGTCAAATCGCCTTGATCTTTACTATTGACTGAAAGACGACTGTTGGATACCTTGGTAGCCCCTTGCGAAGCTAAAATCCATGATAGAAAAGCATGTATTTCGCAGGAATGTACCTAAACCTTAAGCTTACCAGTTTCAGAAGCCCATCTTGAATCATACCCCGCACTTAGCCTCGGTTTGTTGGCATCCTCAATCGATTTCTCGTCGTCTTCACTCCCAGAACTCAACCCATGATGTACATCTACCGTAAAATCTAGCGTATCAAAAACAACTTCATGATCAGCTGCTACAGCATGAAACATTCGTATACCCTGTGACCCACCAATAGACCCCGACTCATGAGAAGTTCCAACTGCTACATCCCTAGTTTTCCTCTGCTCAAAAGGTGGTTTCACTTCATCAGCTGGAAAATTGCACGCAACGGCCCCTTGATATCCATCGGTGTGAACCTCTTCGCGCAAAGATAATTTCTCAAAACTTCCATCTCGCTCACGCACGCTGGTATCTGGCTGACACCACGTCAAAGGATCAAAATCAACCACCGAGGATGATGGTGGAGTAGCCATCAAGGGACCCAAACGCGCAGGGCGCGTCAACATGGTCATCTCCAATTCATCTCTCGTGGGCCTGTTGAAATCAATCAGTTCATGTCATGGGCAACTTCATTGGCTCCACACGAAATAATACCTGGCTGGACAAATCGGAAGTGCAGGAGGCTGTTCTCCTGGTTCTTCTATTACGCACTCCCCTGAGTCGAACATGGCATGCAAGCGAAAATTAACTAACTTGATGAAGGAAAAGATGAATGCAACGAATCCGCAATAGAGACCCCATTTCAGGATAGTTGAAGCCATATACTGAAACAAAACTTCCATTCAGAGAGCAATCTTAAATTGACGGTAAGATAAACTTACCAAATGAAGGCTAAGGGGAATGCAAAGAAGGATCAGCCAAAAATACAGGTGGCAGGTATTGCAGAACATGCTCTGACGAGGATCGTAAAACCATCCCCCTGTGAGTGACGCCCAAACCCCCTGACGAAGGATTTCCAAGGTTTGGGAACCCATCGTGCATCAGCGTCAACTTCGACCACCACTCCTTTAGCCGCAATCATTTGCACTGTGACATTTATTTGCTCAACAGTTTTTCCCACTTTGGTGACGTCATTTCCTGAAGGTACAAGCGTAACGGTTCACCCATGAACGCCTAATCTCTAAACGTCACAATGACAAAAAATAGCAAATCAACAACATTCCCCGTTCATTCAACGCGTTTCTTTACTGCGTTCTCCTTCCATTCCAACAGTTCAATCGAACCAAAAATCAAATTTTACAACTTGAGCTTGGTCCTCCTCCAGTGACGACGCTTCGAGTTGTACCTGCATCAAAATATCAAACGATTACAAATGAGAACCCAGCGATCAAAATGATCCATCTGAACGCACCTGATGGTGTTTCCGGTTCTCAGTCGGATCCACTGGGGAACTGGACGATTTTGGCGCTGCTTTTTCGCCAATTTTTGCTTGATCCTGAACGTCTTATGTGCAGCCTGAAGTACATAATGACGCATAAGAGATTAAAATGAACCAGCAACATGAATTATAAAAGTTCTCACCATTTCCACCGCGCACTCTTTTCACTCTCAACACTGCTCAACAGCAACTCCTGTGAAAAATAAAGCATACTTGTTCAACGGTTCTAAAAAAAACCAAGACGTAAACAAAATCTGCACAGCGCGTCAACAATTTGAGTTCCGAACTCGTTGCATTGCCGACTGGCCTATTCCGCATCGGTTCAACTGTAATGCAGCCTCTTTGCTTTTCTTCAGTCAGCGCAGGTCTTTACAAAGCATTCCTCCATCCCGGACAGCTGTACATTTTCCATTCAATACATGCGAATTATGAAGAACTTATGAACAGCTCGCAACGAATTGACGAAGCGTAGAACGAGGGATGACTGCAGAACGATCCGAACACAAGGCTCAATCTACCTAATAGCAAATTCCCGATATTCATCCGCATCGTAGGATCGAATTTTCCCATTCGTAAGCTTCGTGAATAATAAAATTTAACTGCAAAAAACATCTGGCGAATTTTCCGAAGATGGAGTCGTCCCTTTACGTTTCCTAAAGTCGGGTGGGAGAATAAAACAAACCCTCCAAGCCGTTCCATCTCTTCTCCAGGATACAGGAAAGCGTATTCCTAAGCAGCAGAGTGCTGCACTATATTCTGCAAAAAAAAAAAAAGCTTTTGTCCCAACCTTTTTAGATCTCATTTCAGACTGGTAAATGATGGATAGATTGTTTCTTGGCCACAGGCAATTTTTTTCGACATGCAACAATCGGCAGGAATGGAGTACTGTACTGTTAGCCCCTTTGACACTTAACCCCCCCCCCGAATCGAAGCTTTTTTCCAATTAAGAACTATGAAATCTTCGGAAAAACTGCTGTGATTGAGGTTCTGTTCCCCGAAAATATAGATCTTCTTCTTTTTAATTCGTAAGAATTGAATTTGAACAGTAAATTTGAAAATTGAATGAATGCGTCATACAGCGACACCTGTATGATGCATGTAGACTTGCAGTGAGGATACTGCTGGTAAAAAGGTTGCGAACAAAAAAACGTACAAGGCAGCGCGCAAGGCTCCCTGAAGATTAAAGCGCGGCCAGGGTGGCTCATGTCCTGTCAAATGACAGAGATGCGCTGTTCTGAGAACCTGACTTGAGACCGTAGACCCGTCTTGTCGTTACGTAAGGATTAGTATCGTAACTTCAAAGATGCCGGAGTTGCGTGTGTGGTAGTGTGCGTGACTCTTATGATTCATAACTTGAAAGTGGTCCTGCTGTGGATCAGAGCCGATGTTCGCATTTGCCGTCAGCGTCTCTGACGGTATAGATGTTGAGGAACCCTATTCTCAGATCCCAAGAAGTGTGGAATTTGATGGAGAAGTCTTCTTCCCATCGTGAATTGGAATGGTTCAATGCCTCAAGACTGGGGAGCTCGAAAGCCGTGAGTTGGGTGTTGGAGGTTCCGCGCATCATTACTCATTGAAATTCCGTTGGACTTTGCCGAAAGCACAGCGGCATAAGTGGCCGCGGAAAGATGAGTCCCATAAGAAACGACATCAGGTTTCATCCGGGGATTGGCTGAAAAGGACTGATAGTATTGATGTTGCAATTCGTCATCAAACAACACTGGATAAGTTCTTGAAAAAGAAATCCTCGAGAGGCAACCTGTTCAGTAAGTGCGTTCATCAGATTTCCTTTTTTCGAATCTTTGGACTATCCATTTTTGAACTGAGCTGGTTCGCAGATTCAACGTCTGAAGATTTCGATGTTGCTCATCCTGAACCATATTTTCAGAAACCGAATGCAATGGAGTGTCCTGTGGTGAGAGCATGTTACTTCGGTTGTTCAAGCCATCTTCCTTTGACACTGTTGTTTTTAGATGGAAAAAGAACCCACGCCGAGAACACAGCGGATGTCGGAGACGAATGTGCCAAGTGGCGGAAATATCCCCGCCGTTTGTGAGGCTTCATTTGATTCATTTCATCCAGAAGTATTGCCAAGTGTGGACATCGCGGAGTTAATACCGCAAGATGAGACCCCCTCTGGAATGAAATCATCGCGGAAGCCAGAAGTGCTCTGTAAAATCTCATGCGCTGAAAATATGTTTCGTGCGGAAGACACGAAGTATTCGATGAGTGAAAATTCTTCGCAGTTGAACTTGCCGCTTTTGAACGAGGAGGTTAAACCAGCGAGGAAGCAAGTCAAGATTTACAGACCTGTGGCACTTAATCTGTCCTCTTGTGATGTGAGGTATAAAAAAACTGTATGTGATTGTCAGTCGCTTTTTACTTTGCGATATCGCCCGCAACCATTGAATTTACCTGCATACTTCCCTTGAATATAATATGAAATGTCGCGGGAAGTAGAATTTAGAGTTCTGTCTGGTGTAATGAAGCGTTTTGCTACAGTTTATTTAGTACAGTACATGCGGCGTTCTGTTATTTTATTACTTTTGGTTGGGTTATTGTGTTAGTTCTGTGTGGTGCGTGTTGTGTTATGACTCTGATGGTAACTCAAATTTCTTCTGTTCTCAGGGAAACTGCAAATTCAGTTTTTTTTTTCAAGCATACAAAGTGTGTTCGAAGCAAAATGTACGGTGGTTCATATGGCGATGCAGAAGCGGGCTTCAATGTCTACTCTTTCTCAGAAAAGAGTGTTCGCTTGGGTTTCATCAGGTAATGAGGATATGAAAATAAGAATTCTTCAAGCTTTTTTCATCCTGTCCTTTTCAGAAAAGTTTATGGTATCCTGATGACGCAGCTTTTGGTTACGGTGGCCTTCATCTGCTTGTTCCTGTACAGCGAAGGAGCTCGACTCTACTCACAACAACATCCTGAACTGTACATAATTGCCTTGGTAATGCTCTTCGCCTGTATGATTGCATTGGCATGTTGTGAGGGTGTGAGACGCAAATCTCCTCATAATTTTATCGTTCTTGGAATTTTCACTCTGCTCGAAGGTTAGTGCTTGTACTTCATCACATCGCGGATAGTGGGGTGACGTTTTGGAATATTTCAGGATTTATGCTTGGAACGGTAACGGCGCATTTCCAGAAAGATGAAGTGCTTATGGCAGTTGGAATCACGACGGTTGTGTGCCTCGGATTGACTATGTTCGCCTTCCAGACGAAGTATGATTTCACAGGATGGGGTGCCGGACTTTTTGTTTGTCTCCTGGTGCTGCTCGTTTTTGGCATAGTTGCCATTTTCATCCCCGGCAGAGTAGTAAGCTTGATCTACTCGTCTTTGGGTGCGATGCTATTCTCACTGTATTTGGTGTACGACACGCAACTAATGATGGGAGGCAATCACAAATATGCCATCTCTCCAGAGGAATACATCTTCGCCGCCCTCAATCTGTACTTGGACATCGTTAATCTTTTTATTTACATATTATCTATCCTTAACATGTCGAGAAGTTAAATAAACAAGTTCATTGGGGATTACAGGAAAATCTCACTCTGTGCTGGTCGTGCGAATGATCGTAATTCCAATGCTGAAGTTCAGTTATTTGAAGGATCTATTCTGTTTTTGTTCTCCTCTGCTTGTCAATTGATTGGTTGAATCCACAGTGTGATGAGTGTTGAGTGCTCCGCTTCTTTGTTGAACCGGTTGATATTGGAGCACGTTTGCAAGCGTGGTTTCTTCCCCGTCGAAGGCTATGATTGATTGTGAAACGGTGTGTGCAAATTGAAAATTGCGTGGGTTCGTTTTTTTTTTTCATCTGTGGGTTGGAATCCCCTCTGCTCTATACAAGCTTACATGCATATGGGTGCGCGGTCTCTGGCTTGAACCGAATAAAGCCTACGAAAGCAATGGTCTTCAAGATTAGTGTTTCAATATGAAGATTTCTTGATGCCATCCTTCGACCGATTGTTTTCTCAAGGTATCCGCTGGTGCTTTTCTCAATTGTAGGGTTTTTATTTTATGGGAAATCGATCTGCGATCATGAGTTCTCCGGTTGTTATTTCTGCTGGTGCGAAGCACACGGCCACGGTAAGTTTTACTTCCAATGCTATACCACGTGATTTACGACGTTTCATTTTACCTTTTCAGTTGATCTTCATGCATGGACTAGGGGACACTGGGTGAGTTGTGTTGAATTCTTCAGAAGGCAGCTTTAATTCGTCGATTGACTCCTTTGAAAAATTCGTAGGCATTCGTGGGCCTCTGTTCTGGCAACTGTCCGACCGAGTCATGTAAAAATTATTTGTCCACATGCGTAAGTCGTTACGTGTTCCATTTTTATTTACTGAATCTGAACTTCTGTTCTGTTCGCAGGCCGGAAATGCCAGTTACGCTGAATGCCGGATTCCGTATGCCATCGTGGTATGTTTGATTTTTCGATGTACAGTACCATGTATGAATTATCTCCGATCTTGTGCAAGGAGGGGGAATATGAGGGGTTACACGCTTCCCCGCGAACCTCTTATTTCGAGCTCCCTGTCAGTTCGGACCTTTTCCTACTCCTTCCTGCATTGCTGGAGGCTTCTCATTTTATTTTCGTAATTTTCCTGCAGGAGCCCTACAAGTTACCGGCGGCGTTTGCGTGGCCTTGACTGGGATGGGAGAGTTTCGAACTGTCATTTGGTACAACTTTTGTCGAAGACAAGAGTCATTTGCGAAAACTTCTGTCGTCTACAAAAGTCTTTTGCTACAAGTCATCTGCTGAAACTTCGTATTTGACAAAAATTGTAGCGAAAGGCAGTTCGAATTCTCTCCTAGTCATGGGCGCGCTAACTCCGCGGGAAACTGGTATGACATCACTTGTACGGCTCCTGCGCCCATCCATCTTGTTGGAAAATTACGAAAAAAAGAAGAGAAGCCTCCAGTAATGTACAGTATTGAGGAGGGAAAGGTCCAAAATGACTTCAAGCTTGAGATATGAGGTTCGCGCGGAAGCGTCTAACTCCTTGTACACGCTGTGTCGGACGAAGGCTATTGCGGAAAATGCTCGTCACCACGAGAATCTCGCCATATTTTGTCCGCTTCGCGAAAATTTTATGTCGTCATAGATGAATGAAAAGGGAAGAGACATTAATATCTTGATTCCCTGGAGCAAATTTTAAATTCGCATTTAAAAATTTCCTCATCAATTGATCCGTTGCCGTTTCGTGGCCTGAAAACTCTCTAGAGTCACACGCGGAAATCGGACGGAAATTTTTCTTCTGTATGAACGTACTGTATTTGCATTTACAATTGCCAGAAATAAATTAGAATTACAGTTGAATTGCTAAAAGAAAAATCATTTGCACTGCCCGATAATTCGTTTCTGCAGGTTTGATCTAAAAACTTTGGATCCGAAGGGGCCGGAGGACGAAGAAGGCATCAACCGAGCTCGAGCAACGCTTCGTGATATTATTGCGGAAGAGGAGAAGAATGGTATCAGCAGCGAGAGAATAGCGATAGGGGGATTTTCTCAAGGTGGTGCATTGGCAATGTACACTGGGTTAACCACACCGAAAAAACTTGCCGGCCTCATTTGCCTTTCCTGTTGGATACCATTGCATAAAAAGTTTCCTGCCGTGAGTATTTCGTAGTTTCCTTGTGTTGTTTTGCTAATATTAATGGCGGTTTGTTTCGGCGTAGGCTTTGGCGAAAGAGCAAAAGGACACGGCGATTTTCCAAGCTCACGGAGAAAGTGACTTCACCGTACCGTACCAATGGGGTATGCAATCTAAATCCCATTTGGAAAATCACGTTAAAGATTGGACTTTCAAGTCTTACCCAAATCTTGGCCATTCATCGTCTGATAAGGTGAATTTTTTTTTTGCGGACATCAAATGTCATGGGTTTAATTACTTGATTACATTTTTCAGGAAATGAGTGACCTGAAGACGTTTTTGGATAAGATTCTCCCGCCTGTTTAATGCGTTCAACAACTTGCCTCTTCCGCCTAATGGAAATGCTTTTCCATGAACCTGTACCGCTTCATTGAAGTCGTGTTAGTGTGAGCTTGTTTTTCATTCGAAGGGTTATTTAAACCGTCTTCTTGAACCTTGTTGGAAATTACTGCGACCCATTCAAGATTTTGTCAATGCTGAGTCTTGATAGTGTGTAATGGTGTCATATGTTTTCGTTTTATTTTGTTGAGGTTATGCTCGAGGTATACCATTCCGAACTGTATCCAATTTACGGTCGTCGGAGAAAACTGGGAAATGAAATACGAATACCTGCCGAATGATCGGACGAAATCGCGCATTATTTTCTGTCAATTCTGACATCCAAACGTTGAAAGTATTGATTTGCCGATTGTATGAGAATTTGAATTTCTGCAACACTGTTGTCAAGGTGAATAGGATTCATCCTCTCATCAGTCGGTGTATATTAGGACTATTCAAAATTTACTTGAAATGAAAATGCCCGTCAAAACTCGAAATTCTATAATTCTATACCAACGAAGGGGAAGAATAATCTGGAGATAGACTATCCAGTGAGTAACTTAATCATGAAAATCTGAATAGAAGAATGATCGTTGAAATGCATCACGGCTTTTCGAATGCTATCCGTGTTCATACCTTATTGTTGCCGTTGAACTCGGCCATGTCTGGAAAGTTACATGAACCAAAATGCTCACTCAGTATAGAGATCTGTCTAAGAATGAATAGTTATGAAATACTGGAGAGGATATTGGTAATCATTTAACAATTTCTTCATGCTTTCCTTCATTCTTCTGTGCGCTAAAATGCGTCTTTCAATTTACGTAGTACTGTACTGTACTTCTTGGAACTTGGTGCTCATGGCGATCTCCCAACCGAATACATTTTCGGTCGAGACTGTTTTTCTTGCGACGAATTGCGGTATCTCATGCTGCTGTAACCTTCGATGTACAGTTATTGCCTTGATTGCGGTGGACGGCAATACAGTACTCAGTCGAAAGAAATCGATCCGTTTGTTTTTCTCGAGTATTGGTTGCTCAAAACGGCAGTTGAGGGGATGATATGCTGACGAAAGTCTTTTACCAGTCTTCCTGATTCCTGTTGGTCTTTTGGAATGATTTCTCCCCTGTGACTGTTATACGAGCTCCTCTGATTTTACGACCCACCCGCCTTCACATCAACACGGTGAGGTGATATGGAGACGCTTTACGTATAACTAACTTATGAATATAAACAAGGTCGCGTAAGAAAATTTTCTGAAGTTCTGCATGCAATGCTCGATCGATACAGTAATCAACTGATTGATCCCTCAAGCGTTGGTGTCTGTTGAATTTCATGAGTGGTGTTTTAAAAATTGAGTGAGCGTAATAAAATAGCCAGCAAGATTCGGCATAGTATGTGTAGTGCCACTCTAAATTTTATATTACTGAAGGGTTATATTGCATTTTTGTCACTTCACAGATGGGTTGACAGAAAACAGTTGTGCATTATGAAATCGAGAAAGATTTTGAATCACCTTGTGCTGTAGAATCATCTGCAATGTTGAGATACTGCCAAACGATTTAAGCAAATCATCAGGTTTTCTCAAATGCATTTGAGAGATCCTGATGATTTTATTATCATGTTTTTCTCCTGATAATCAACCATGGTCGCCGGAACCATATCAACTATACAACGTTCTAAATCAACATTTTCAGATTTTTTCCTACATGGGTGTACATACTGCAGTACAGTACTGTACTTTATATTATTAGATTGAAAAACTAAAAATGCATTGAAATTGGAGTAAAGTCAAAAATGATGACTGAGTGGAGAAATTGTGGCATGGCATTCATGAGTGAAGAAGGAATTGTTTCTGCTGCTGGGTGGTTCGAGAGAAGGTATGAGGAAGGTGTTGAGGCCCCATCTTGCCGGAGCAGAACTCTTGGTCGTCCAAACTCTTTGCCACTGCGTCCCCCATCCCCTCACGCCCTGCACCCAACACTCTCTCTCCTGTGGTTGCGCATGAGTGACTTCAAGAATTGGGAATAAATCCCACAGTTTTAAAAGACAGTATATTGGCCTGTTTTCATTTGAATGAGATACTTGACAAGAAGCTAATTCAAACAATTGTAGAATTTTTGACACATGCAATGTCATTTGCATAAGCATGGTCATCTACTATATATGTGGTGCCTTGCCTAGCAAATGCACTGGCAAAAAAACAACCTGCCTAAGTAACACTAGAAAAATAAATGAATGACTTTCCTAGCAAACACTGACCTGCCTTGCAAATTTTTGCTGGCCTGCCCTTAAACAATATTTATTTAAAAATAATGCTGTTGTTTCTTTCCCTCAACAAAAATTCTTGTTTCTCAAGCATTTTTGTTGAGGAAAAGTGAGAAGAATGGAAGGAAATTGTAATTGGTGATATTCTAGGCCTAAAATTACTTCCTAAATGAGTTGACAGGATGCAGAACTTATTGGAGGCAAAGGTTCATTTGCCTATAGTTGATCCTGCACTTCCTTTCAAAAGTTAGTATAAGTTTCTTTTTATGGCTTTCATTTGACATTGTAACATTTTTATGTCTTTCATATTTCCTGTGATAATAGAATGAAAGGACTCCAGAATCAAATGTATGGAGGTTTGAGGGGAAAGTCTGAGACTCAGGGAGGTTTTAATACATGTTGTTTCTAATGAAATTCAGACGTAGACGAACATATTTTGACTTCAGGAAGTTCCAAGTGCTGGTTATCCCTATAGATCCATTTTAGCTTGCAAGAGGTCTAATCAGTGCTTGTACCTCATGCAAAAGTGACATCTATGCAAAGTCATAACAGAGAATTGACTCCTACTTTGCTCATAGATGTTGCATATGCATGAAGTACAAAAAGATGCCCTACAAATAATGTTCTACCTAGCAGATGCAGTCCTGCAACTGCATGCTTGTATTTGCTAGGCCAGTCACCAATGTATAGATTTTTAAAATTGTGCAATCCTAGCAAATAATCCAGGTATATGCAAGCATTACAAGCAGGCATGAGAGTACACCTGTTTTCAACCAATAATATATGCAGTTTGCCTGTTACAAATTTTTATTTGTGTCAAGTTTCCTCAGATTTATTCTTAAATTATAACTGCTCCAGTTGGCTAATTTTTTTTTTAATTCACAGGGGCCTATTATTTGCCTGGTGAGCCCATAATGCTGCAGCATCATTAGCACCTGATTTAATCTGGCCTTGCCTCAAGGTACTTATATGATGTGGATGTACTTATTCAAATAAAATTGTCAAACAGTCCTCACAACCAGTCAAGTTGAGCTCCATCTGCATCAACTTTTCAAACCACAGTTCAGGAAGGTTTGCACTTTTAAATCTGATCAGTGTAGAAGCTAGAGGATAAAACTTTGTAACACTTGAATGACAAAAAAGTGCACTCCTGTATACTTTGAAGAAGTTGTCCTGTGACACCCTTTATTCCAGTGTGAACATCCTTACTAGACCTGGTATCACTATAGTCCTGTGACACCACCCAGTGCACTGTAAACTCAAATCCTCAAGTCTGTCACTAGTGTGTGTAAAGAAGAGAGTGAGGAGAAGAGGGAGTGAGGGTATGGGGGGTGCAGTGGCCTAGAGTTTCGCTGACCAAGAGTTCTGCTCCGGCGAGAAACTACACCACCGAGGGAGGTAGGCGTGTTCAGCTCTCTACTTATATATGAGTAAGATCTGATATTGTGTTATCCATAACCAACAATACTGTAATTCGAGGTCAAGTCTGTATGGACCCCCATATTTGTTATCTGACATGATGGCGGCGTTCGACATGGGAAGGGGGGTTAGAATAAACAAGATTATCTGAGCTGACAGAGGAAAAAGCTGACTGATATGTCCTATTTCGAATCTGGCTGGGCCAGTAAATCATGTTGGTTGATGTGACTTCCATACTTTTTTCAGAACTTTTTCTGTACCATTTGGTCTTTCCATAGGTTTGTTGAAATTCTCCTTCTGCATATACTGTATACTTCATTTTACCTCCCCGTGGGCCAGTGAAACTGAAGGGATATACACAGGAATTACGTTACCGTGTAAATATTATTGATTAGACATACAGGGTGGACCAAAAAAAGTGAACTGATTTTTGAATTAGGACATCTCCATTAAAATTAAGCTAAAACAATGAAAAGAACACCAAATAAAAGCTTATTCAATTCTCTTTCACATGTTTTTCCTATGTGTCATTAAATGGTCACAAAAACCATATGAATGAAATTCTTTCAAAAATAAATGTTGTCATGCAACTCTTCCTGCTAAGCTGCTGTCTCCATATAAAAGCTCCTTAAAATTAGGACAACCCACATCAGTGCACCAGAAACAAAATCCAATAATACGGACAGGAAAATGAATAATCCCATAAAAACCCACAGCAAAAACCAGCAGAAAACACAAAATCATTCATGCACATGCCCTCAAAAACCCAGGATGCAGGAAATCATGCCACCAGACAACCACCCAATCAGCTCACTGAACATCCATTGGAAGATGATTATTGGAAAAAAAATCATGCCCAGGTGGACAAAGCAATATCTAAAAATCCCACCATGGTCCAGAGAAAAAAAGTCCACTTCTATCTTGACTTTTGAGGCATTTGCTTGGGGACTACGTTTGGTCCAGAAAATGTTTGGTGTCTGTGGGGCGCGGGGGGGGGGGGGGGGGGGGGGGGGGGGG